TTTATATATATTTACATATTTATATGTATATACATTTATATATATATATNTTTTTTTTTTTAAAAAAAAAAATCTTATAGTTTTTTTTTTAATATTTTAATAAAATATAAAAATATTTTGTATTTGCTATTTTTTTTAATCTTTATTAAAACTAGAACAAGAATTGCTATTTTATAAAAAAATAAATAAATATATAATATTCATTATATATATATATATATATATTTATATATATATTAATATTAATTTATTATATTTTATTTTTTCTCATTCATTTTAATTGTAATATTATTTTAAATTCTCTTTAATTTATAAATTATTTTAAATCTTTTATATTTTTTATTTATTTATTAAATATTTCAATTTTAAGAAGAAAACTAACTAACTTTTTTGCATAAAAAACTTATTTTATGGATTTTTAAAAAGTTTATTCAATTTTAATACAGTTAATTATAAAATAAATATTTATATTAAATTTTTTTGATTTTCGTTCTTTATTTATATTATATACAATAATATTTTTTATTTTTTGTTCTTTTTTATTTAATTCCAAATAGATTAAAAATTAAATAGAATTTTTTTTGATGAAATTTTCGTAATCAATTAAAATTTATTATATATTATATTACTTTAGCAAATAATATTAAAAGCTATCATAATTATTTTAGCAATCTAATAATTATTCTATTAAATACATTTTAAAATTTATAACAATAAAGAATTTCTTTTAAATTAAGTTTACAAAATTTAATTTATTTTATGTAAAAACGTAAAAAATAATACTAAATATATTATTAATAAAAAATACTAAAATATGATATTTAAATGCTGAGATATTTAAAGTTATTGTAATAAATTTTAGAAAAATAATTAACCATAAATACGAGAAATAAACAAAATAATTAATTAGCTATATAAATGAAGAATATAAAATAGCTTTAAATTTTAAATATTAAATTAATAACAAATTATTCATTATATAAAAATTAATTAATTTAAATATTTTAAATAAAATACATAATTTATCTTTGTGTTTAATATATCTTCAATAAAATAATATGTTTTGGGTTTTATAATAATTTTTCTTTTGATATTTATATTATATAATAAATTCTAATAATTAATAGATTATCCAATCAAAAAATAGATCTTTTGATAAAATATTAAATTTTTCTTTATTAATTAATAAAATACTAATTTAAATTATAATAAATATATTAATACTTTCTATAAATTATAAAGAAAAAAATTAATTAAATAAAATAAAGAAAAAAAGTAAAGTAATTAACAATGGGAAAATAATAGACATAAAAGACGATAAAGTAAAAATTAATTTAATTTTATTATATTAAAATTAATTTTTTTTATTAATTTTTTATAATCTAAAATAAAATGAAAATAGCCTGCTCCTCCAAAGAGACCTTTATCCAGCTTCTTCCTCTTCAAACAAGATAACTATGAAAAATTTAAGAAATCCAATCCAGATTCAAAGATTACTGTATTAACCTCCATGATTGCTGACTAATGGAGATAAGTTGGTGAAAAAGAAAAATAAAGATATGAAAAGCTCTAAGCTGAAGCTAAATCTAAATACGAAAAGGAAATGTAAGCTTATGAAAAGAAATATGGTAAACCTGAAAAATAAAAGAAGATTAAGAAAAATAAAAAATCTGAATGAGATGCTTAAAGAATGTGCCTTATAAAAAATAATAATTATTTTTTAATTTTTAAACTAAAAAAGGAGGTTTTAAATAAATGTTAGAAAATAAATAAAGATAAATTTTATGTTTAATTTATGTATTTTTTTAAATCCTTTTTTACTTTTTATAATTAATTTCAAAAAAAAAAAAAAAAAATATGCATATAATAAATAGTTTTCTTTTATTTTTAATTCATTAAAGAAATAACTTTTTTTTAATTTCATTTTATTATCATAATAAAAATTTTTATATTTTTATTTTATTTCGTTGAAACTTTTATATTTTTAGTTAAATTTTTTCATTTAAGGCTAAATTATTTAAAAATGTTATTTTTACTTTAAATATTCATTTATAAATCTTTATACAATCTAATTTTTTATATTCTTTTCATACATTTTTACATAATAAACATTCATATTATATACTTTTTAATAAATAGTTTCTCAAGCATTTTTTTTTATAATATAATATATTCAGCTAGAGGTTTAAATAAAACAATTATATAAAAGCTAATATTTATAAATAGATTATAAAAATACGAAAAAGCATATTAAAAGGTGATAAAATTATTCTTTTTTAGTTCAGATTGTGGTGTAAAAAAAAATTATACTCACCTTCTAAACTAAAAGAATATTTAAAAGATTAAGTTTTATTTTATAATCAAAATATGGTATATTTATTATAAATATTGATTTAATAATTTATAAGAACCAAAATAAAAAAAATAATTTAAAAAAATAAAATAAAAGATATTTTACAATATGATTTTTTAAATTTTTTTTTTTTTTTTTAAATTATTGTTTTGAACATCAATGTTTTTAGTTTAATTATATGAAAAAGTTCAATCAATTTATATTTTATTAAATATATATAACTTTTATTAAAAATTTGAAATAATTAAACAATTAAATATTTAGTTAATAGAAATAAATAAATATTAAATAGATATATAAAAAAAAATTATTATATAATAAGTATTTCATATATTAATTAATAAACTATAAATATAATTTAAATATGAAAATATTATATAAAGCATGTAAATATATTAAATGTAAAAACAAATATATATAAAAATTATATATTATATATTATATTAAATAAAAAAAAAAATTAAAATATATAAATAAAAAAATAAACAAGAAAATATTTAATATTAAATATATTAATTTAAGATATAAATATAAATATATAAATATAAATATATATATATATATATATATATACATATATATATTAAATAAATTGTATTTTTTTTTTAATTAACAAAAATCCATATTATGAAATTATATAATATTTTCTTAATTATTTTTAGAAAAAAAAATATATTATTTAAAGATTTTTTTTTTTCAAAAAACTTATAATTTAAAATGTTTAATATATATAATAATTTAGATGAGTTTTATGGATAATTTAATGAATAAGAAAAGTAACTTATTGAAGTATAAACAATACAAAGTAAAATAAAAATAAAGCAATTAATAACAATTATAAACAAACGTAAGCTTGAAAATTTATTTCCAATACGAGTAAAATTAGAGATAATAAAATTTTACTAAAAAAAAATATAAATATAGAAATAATACTTCATTTGTTAATAATAATGTTATAAGGATATAAATAAAATAGAAGAAGATTAAATTTTTTAATTAAAAGAATGTAAATAAAAATGTAAAGTCCCTTATTTAGATTTGATTAACTTTTTAGATAACATAAATTATTTATCTGAAAATAAAATGAGGATGTGTACTAAAAGTTGCAAAAAAACAAACGAAAAAGAAGGTATTGAAATTTTTAAAAGTAGAGGATATAATGAATGTTTATGGGTTTGTTATAACAAATTAGATAGAAGATATAGGGAATATTGGAAAAAATAAAAGGAAGATATAATTTATAGGCATTATCAAATTCAATATAGATGAAAATGAATCAAATTAATGATATTAATTAAAAATGAATTTTTATATTATTTCTTTTAGTAGTTTATTTAATTTTATTTTATTTTTTATTACTAAAATGATTAATAAAAACAAACACATGTAAATATATTTTTTTATTTGTAACTATTTTTTCAGTATTTTCCACATTCTTCAGCTTCTTTATGCGTATAAGGATCTTCATTTGCTTTTTTAACTTATTTTTTATGTAATTTAGTATCTAAATGGCTTTATAAACCCTTATCATCATTAAAATATCTTGCACAATAAATGCAATAATGCTATCCTAAACCTGGTAAATCTTCATCAATTTATTAATTAAACCATTTATCTCTGTTTTCTTCTTTTATATCCTCGTGTATTTAATCGACATCCCTTTTATAATGCTTTGTTTTGAATGTTCTATGATTAACTTTGTTTTTTCCTTTTGTTCCTTTTCTTCTTGAAGGTCCAGTCCATTTTTATTTTCTTTCTTTTTTTAAATTTATTAATTTTTTTTTGATAATTAATATATATAAAAAAAATAAGATTTAATTTATACTTTTTATACTTTTAAAAATAAATTATTTTAATTTTATATACTTAATAATAAAAATAAAATTATATCTTAAAAGCATTTAAATATAATTTTTTATTAAATATTAAAAATGAAAAAACACACAAATAAAATATTTGATAGGTTAAAACTAATAAAAAACAAAGAAAAAAGCATAAATTTTGGTCCTAACAGGCTTAAACCTTTGTATGATTTTTCAGTCGAAAGCATATGTGAAAATATATCAGCAATAAAAAGGAATTATTAGGATATTGCCTATTTAGGTCCATCAGTAAATTCATTTATAGAGCATATTCCTCATAGTATTTTTTTATATATATTAATATATTATATAAAAAAAAGATGTTTAATTAAAAAAAATATTTATATGTGATATTTCTAGTTAATTATTATAAGAGAGTATTTAAGAAATAGAAAATAACAATAAATTAAAAAAAAATTTTCCTGATGTAGAAATATATCCAATAATAATTGAAGAGGAGTTGTTTCCATTTAAATCTGAAAGTTTAGATTTAGTTGTATCCAATTTGAATTTACATTATGTAAATGATTTAGCTGTTGCATTTTCTAGAATTCTTGATTGTTTGAAGCCTGATGGAACGCATGTTGGTATTATTTTATTAAAAAATAAATAAATAAATTAAATAATAGGAGCTATTTTAGGCGAAGAAACACTTCAAGAATTAAGAATCGCATTTACTTTAGCAGAAAGTGAAAGATGTGGAGGCGTTAGTTAACATGTAAGCCCGTTTGTAAGTATAACTGAAGTAGGTAATTTAATTACGAGATTGAAATATAATTTGCCCACTGTTTTTTCTGAAAAAAGAATTCTTTATTTTGATACTTGTTTAGACTTGATGCAATACTTGTATATTTAATTATTAATATTATTTAAAAAATATAATGATTTTAAAAAAGATAAAGGAATGGTGATAATTCTTGTTTGTTAGATTAACGAAACGGCATTTATAAAGACACTTTGTATGCTACCATTGCTATTTATGAAAGTTTATTTAGAGAAAAAGATAAGAATTTATAAGAGTACTAAAATTAAATATTTTCTACTTTTGAAATTATTAATTTCGCAGGGTGGAAATATCATGAAAGTTAACCAAAACCAAAAAAGCGAGGAAGTGCAGAATTTAATTTAAAAGATTTAAGCAAATAAATTTAAGATATTGATCCTGAGTCAGCAAAAATAATGAAAAGTGGAGAAATTGGGGAAGATGATGATGAAAATAAATGAAATTTTTAATTTTACTAATATTGTTCATAAGTATTTATATATGAATTAAATTATATAATATTACTTATTCATTTTTTTATTTTTACTGTAATTTCTTTTTAAAAATTTAACAAAAAAAATAAAAAAAGTTTATTCTTCATTTTATATCTAATTTTAAGATTTAAAATTTTATATTTATAAACAGGTTTATTTTATAGTTTTGTAAATATTTTAATTCTTCGTAAAAATTTAAAAAATATAATTATAATATTAATTTATCAATCATTAAATTTATTAATTTAAATGATTTAAAATGTTTTTTTAAAACAAAAATAATCAATCAGAATCTTGATAATATGCTAAATCTTCCTAAGAAATTTCTTCAACATTATCTTCCTTATTATTTATTAATTTTTTTTGTTTTTTTCTTTTTAATTTATTTTCATGTTTTTTTTTAATATCTCCTGAAGAACTTACATCATCAGAAGAATACAAAAATTTACAATTAGGGTCTTATTCTTCAAGTAATTCTTTTTTTTTTTATTACAGTTCATTATAAACTTTAATCAAATACTTATATCTATTTTGTTCTGATTTATAATTAATAGTCCTTTATTTATAAAATTCCTCAGAATTGTTAAAATATTTATTTGTTTTTGGATCTTTATATTTGAATTAATTTTTCTCTTCGTTATACCTCTTTATTTAAGCTCTTTTTAAATAATTCCCTATTGTTTATGAATAAACATCTCTATTCGGAAATATAATGACGTTTTCATCTTCTTAGTTTTTCTTACAAGAATTTTTATATATTATTTTAGGTCCTTAATCTTGATTTTTCTTGCTTATTTAATATTTTTTTTTTTCTTCTTCTAATTTTAATAAATTTTGTAGATGTAAAATATTCGAAAATTCTGTTTAAACAGCTTCTTTAAAAAGCTCTTCTTAAGAAATAAAATTATGAATATATTTCTTCTTACTTTTTTAACCAATTTATTGATCCTATTCTTTTGCTACACTTTCTTCTTATTTTTGTTCAAGTGATATTTGTTTTTATTCATTATTAATAATAGTTTCATCATTTGTTTTTTATTTATTTTTAATTTTCTCAATTTAAAAACTTTAACAATTTATCGACTTTTCGTTTGTACTTTATCTTAAAGTTCTTTTTTCTTTAAAATCTTCTTAAATTACTTGAGCTTGCTATTATTAATCTTTATATTTTTAAACATTCTATTGCTTACTTTCTTAAATGTTTCTATTTTTTTGTAAATAAAAAGGGATTTTTTTTTTTTTTTTATCTTCTTATTAACTAAAGCTTTCTGCAAAATCATCATCTTCTTCTTCACTTGTATCTATAAAATCACTATCGAAAATATCCTTTACATTTTTATATTCTTTCTCGTCAAATTCTTCATCATCAGAGCTTTCTTTACCCATTATATCTTGTTATAAAACTTCCACATTTCCAAAATATTTATTATAAATTTAAAAATCATCTTAGTTTTCATTCTCTTTTTATTTTTATTAATTGATTAATTTTTTCATTCCCTCTCCTCTTCTTGATCTAAAAGTCATTTATTTTACTGCATTTTAGACTGGTTTTTCTTCTTCTTTTATTTCTTCATCATCATCTTCTTCTTCGTCGCCTTCTTCCGCCTCTTCTTCCTCTTCTTCAACTTCATATTCATTTTCATCTTCTTTTTCTTAAGAGTTTTATGAATTTGATGATTCTTCTTATTCTTATTCTGATTTTTTTAACTACTTTTATTTTGGATACGATTGTGAAATTTCTTCGCCATTTTGAAAATTTTCATCTTCTATTTCTTTATTTTCATCAGATTCTTCTTTTTATTTTTTTTAAGGTTTTTTTTTTTTTTTCATAACTAGATTTTTCTTTTTTTATTATTTAAATTTTGCTTGCATTTTATTGTTGAAGTTTTTCTTTTTGCCTATTTTTTTATTTTACTTTGGTATTTATTCCTATACTTCTGTAATTTTCAATGCTGATCTAGTTTTTCGAACACCTTCATTTGCTTTATATGTTTAAAAAAATGCTAACTATTTTTTTTAAATAGGTGCTTTTTAGTAATTTTTTTTTTTCTTATTTTTTTTTTATGTTTTTTTTTTATTCTTTTTTTTATTCAATTTTTATTGGATTTCTTCTTCTTCTTCCTCATCTTCTTGCTATTATTCATCGTTATCATCTTCTTCTTCATAAAAAACCTTTTCTTTTTTAACCATTTTTTAATTTATTTTTTATTTTTTTATTTTTTAGCTTTTTTAAAGAAATAAAATATTTGAATTACCCACTAAATTAATATATATTTTCTTTTGAAATTCAGAAATAAAAAATATTTTTTTATATATATAAATAAATAGAAGAGTATAATATTTTATTTTTAATAATATAATTTATTATTTATTTTATTAATATATGTATATTTTGATTTTATTTATATATTCTTATAATATTTTATCATTATTAATATTATTGTTATCAAATATAAAATTTAACTATTATTTTTAAAAAATCATATATATCAAATTTAAAGTATTCCGAAATATTATTAATTTTCCTTACTCTATTCTCAAATGTAATAAAAAAAATAAGTACTAAATGAAATTCTAAACAAGTTTATAAGACTTTTGTAATTAGCAAACGCTGCAACAATTAATAGATTTTTATTTTTTTTACAATAAATAAAATTAATTTTTTTTATATATTATTCTGCTAAGATTTAATTTTATAAAGAAAATTCATTAATTGTTCTTAATTTTTATTTATTTTTTTCGCTATTTTTTTTAAAAGCTAAATCAAAAAAATGAAGAGAAAAACAATAGATAATGGCTTTTTTTCTTCATTAAGTTTTAAAAATGTTTATAAACTTTTTTTATTATATACTCAATCAACAAAAAGGCCCTGCCCTGTTAAATTGATTTAGCTTTTAAAAAAAATTAAATAATCATTAAGCAAGATTTATATGTAATATTTATTAAATAATAATTAGTAAATTTGTAATAGCATTTAAAAATTTATTATAAATTATTTACAATTAATTGTAAAATTGAAAAATTTTTAGATATAAAAATAAATAAATACATATATATGTTATATCAATAAATTAATAAAATAGTAATAATTATGAAGCACATATATTAATTTATATAAAGTAAAAAATGAAAAGACTAATTGAAAAATTTAATTTAATTAATAAAATTTATATTTGAAATTAAATAATAAAAGAGTATAGTTAAAAAAAAAGTAATGAATAAAAGTATTTTATAAAATAATATTATATATTTTTAAAAAATATAATAATGATTATATTTATTTATTATATAATTTTATTTCTTAAACTTATAAAATAATTTTAATTTTACATAGATTTAAATTAAAAATAGAAATTTTATTATATAATATCAATAATATACTATATTGAAAAAAACATTGTTAAAATATTCATCAAAATAAAATAAAATAAAAAAAAAAAAAAGCATAAGATAAAATAAAGTAAAATAAAATATGTATATATATATATATATATATATATATATATATATATATTTAGCATCTATTTGAAAAATAAATCATAATTTGCCTTAGATATAATATAATTCCCTAAAAAGCATTTTCTGATTAATTCGGATATGAAAAAAATTATAAGATTTTTTGAATATTTTTGAAAAATTAATTTTAAAAAATTGATGTTAAGTGAAGGAGAAATTAATAAACAATATTATAATAAATTAATTCTTTTCTTTTTAATAAGCCTTCAGTAATTTTTTATATAAAAATTCTATTACTATATATGTTTATTTTATTATAAGAAAGGAGAAGAAAAATTAAAATATAATATGTGTAGTATTTCTTTGTGTTAGAAGATATGATAATATTAATGGAATTTTTTTTAAGAGCAAAGAAATTAAAAAGGAGGAAAATTTTCAATATAAATCAAGTAGTTTAATTTCTTGAAAAAAATATACAGAGAGTTTCGATCTTCTTTGATATAACTCTTGCTGACATTAAATGTATTAGTACATTAATAGGCCGAAGAAATAAATTTTAGAATCATTTTATTCTTACGATATTGTGAGAATCGAATTCTTATAAATATAATTTTTCTCTCTGACGTAAAGATATGCTAATTTATGTATCATATATCTGTTTACCATTAATTTTGAAGCAAAAATATTAATATTCTCGTATATTATTATTCATAAGTTTTTTATTTTATCTATAATTTTTTAAATACTCAATAAAAAAAAGACGATAAAAAATGGATAATCATTTAAGTTTAAAAAAAAAAATCTTTTATTTTTGGGGTTTGAAGTAAAAAATAAATTAAAAAGAATTTTATATAATAATTATTTAGATTATTTATATAATTAAAAAATATAGATATTTAATAAATTTTAAATATAATTAAAGATATTTTATTAATATTAATTATTTTTGATTCAATTTAAATATTATTTTTAATTTTATTGTTTTTAAAATAATTAGATAGAATTATTATTGAGAAATAATAAGTACTATATATAGAAATTTTTAAAAATATGAATATATAATAATACGACAAAAAACATCTTTGGTTATCAGCATATTTAAATAATAATTATTAAATTTCACATAATTTTATAAAATTACTAAAAAAGATATAGATAAATTGCAATTTATAAGAATGAAATTTAAAATAAACCTAAGTAGCGAAAATTCAATTTAAAATAATATAAATAAAATTTTAGTAACAATCGAAATATAATTATATGGATTAGTCAAAAGCGAATATTTTAAAATAAGAGAATAACTTGGGATAAAAAAATGTTGATAGCTTTGATATTATAAATAAATAAGTCTATAATTTATATAGTTATATTAAAATAATAATAAAAAAAATATTATTATATATTAATTGTTCATATCATTATTTTATTTTTTCTATATTTTTTTAAAAAACTTAGTTATTATTACAAAATACAATTATCTTGATTTAAAAAAAAATTGCTAAAAAAATAAAAAAAAGAATATAATAAATAATATTTATATATATTTATAAAAAAGAATTGTTTTTATAAAAAATGCTTTTTTATGAAGTATATTATAAAAAATAATAATTTTTTTTTATATATATTATAAAATCTCCAAAAAATTTTTTCTATTAATAACTGAGTATTATTGAGTAAAAATTATATAAATATTATTATTAATTAATTATATTTTTTTTATTTTATATATAATATTTTAATTATACCTTTTACTTTTATAATAATAAATAAATTATTAATTTTTACCATAAATAAAAAAATGATATTTACAAATGAAAATGATGATTCTTCAAACTATAACAATTAAACATTTTAATCTGAATTTAATAAAAGGAATTAAATTGGAAGATAGAAACTTTTTTATGGTAAAAAATAAAAATAAAAATAAAAAAATAATTATTTTTTTTAGAACATAGCTAATATTCTACACCTAAAAAAAGCTCAAAATTTGAAAAAGAATTTCAGTATTTATTTAGAGCTCCTAAGAAAAACTATAAAAACTGTGAATAACATAAAAAAATGACGAAAAATACTAATATAAGTAACTTTGATTTTATATAACTATAAAAAGATTTCGAAAATAAAATTAAGAATGCTCAACTAACTTTGTATTAAAAATATTTTATTAGTTTTCAATTATTTATATTTTAAAAAATAATAATAGATATTTTTAACAATCATAATAATAAAACTCATGATTTTTATTGAATTATTATTGATTTCTATTATATATTTGGAATTATAAAAAAAGAAAATTGTTTATATATATTTATATTTTAGTTAAAAAAAGCAAGCATATATACATATATTATGAAAATGACATGACCAAAGCATATACCTTTCTACTTTATTATTTTATAAATTTTTGTTTTGTTTGTTTATAAAATGAAAATATTACTTATTATTTTTTTTTGTTTTGAAAAAAATATTAAATAAATAATAATTACAAATTTATTTATATTAATCATATAAAAATTTAATCAAATTCTTGACATTCTTTTGTAAAAACTATCTGTCACATTTTGTTTTTTCCTCATAGTTTTATCATATAATTAGAATTATTTATATATAAAAAATAAAGAAATTAAAAGCTAAACAATACTAGTAGAAATGCAAGTAATTTTTTTCAAATAAACCAAATCAATTTCTTTTTTTAATGAATCGTAGCAAATTTCATTAATAGGAGGTCCTCTTAAGACACTTGTAAATTAATAAAATTGGTATTAATATTTTGTACATATACCTTAACAATTATAATATTATTCTAATTTTACCATTTTATTTAAGAAAGAGTTATTTTAATCTATTTAATTTAAACATCCTTATGAATTTACAGGTTTACCTGTATCAATCGATGTTACTTTAAATTTTGTTAAATCTGGATAAAGTTTTTGAATATCTATTTAAATATAACACTCACACGTGACACATAATTATGCTTACTGATATCTTTTTGAAATCTTTTCATATATTTAAAAAGTTTCAGATATATTGCAATCTTGTAAACCTTCTCTTTTGTGAATTAGTAAGAGTATTAATATTGAAATTGATGATAAAAACAATATTATATTTCCAACTGTATAAATAAATAAAAAATTGAATTTTTTGTGAATAACCCCATTTACTCCACATATTCCTACAATTATCATTAATATCCCATATACTAAAATTGATATTTTTATATCCCTTAAAAAATAATCATATTAATTTTTTTCTTTTTGTTTTTTTATTTTTTTTATATTATTGTTTATCTTTTGTTTATCTTTTTTTTTTACTAAAAAAATCATATATCCAACTCTCATTTTAGTTAATTAATAATCGATTCAAACCAAGAAATATACATATTAAACCTATAACACTTTAAAAAAAACCTCCTATTGCTACATAACCTCGAATTATATCTTATGATAGTCTAAAGGTCATTATTTTAAATAAAGGTTTTAAATAATAACTTTAAAGAAAATATTTATTATAAAAATAAACCAAATTAATATTAATTAATCACTTTAAGAATAAAAAAAATTAATTTATTTGTATTTTAATATATATATGATGTTTTTTAACCTGAATTTTTTTAATTCAAGTCGAATTTAAATTTTTAAAATTCCTAATCAAATAAGTCTTTTATTTTATTTTATCGAAATAAAAGAAATATTTTTTAATTTTAATTCAAGATTTTTTTCGAATTAAAAAAAAATATTATTAATAATTAAAAAATATATTTTATAAAGTATTACTGAAATTCATTTTATTTTTATTTATATTAAAAGTTTAATTGATATTTTAAGGAAATAATTTATTACTAATTTTTAAAAATATAAAAAGAGATTTAATAAATTATTTATTTACTTTAAAATAGATTTAAAAAATTTGAATAGGAATAAATAAACTATTTTTTTTTGTTAAAATTTAAGCTAAAATTTCACAGTTAATTTTGAATATAATATTTGATTATATTATCAAAAGAATAAATGAAAATTAAATTTTATATGTTGGTTAAATATTATATTGCTTAAATAATTAAAATTTATTAATAAAATAAAATTTTAATTATTAAATATATTCATCATAATTTTTATATATTTTTAATATTAACGATTTAATTGTAAAACCATTTTTATTAAATAAATTAATCTAACTGATACTTGCATTAAAAAATAACTTTAAAAAAAGTAGAATAATAAAAAAAAAAGGCAAATAAAAATAAAATATATTATAAAAAAAAAATTATGAGAGGTAATCCTGTTAAATAAAAGATATGAATATTTAAAATATATTTTTAAATCATTACATAAAATATAATAATTTTTATCTATATTTATAAAAAACAAAAAGAATTATAAAATATTTACATTAAATATAAGCTAAAATATTGAAAAATACTAATTTAAATGAAAATTTTTTATATATATAAGTAAAAAAAAAATTGTTTATATAATAAAAATATTTAAATTGTAAATCTATCATATATATATTATATTAAAAATAGTTAAAAAAATATTATATATATAAATATAAATATAAATATAAATATAAATATAAATATAAATATAAAAAAATAAATACAAATATAAATATGAATAGCCAGTTTCTAATTGTTCTTTAATTTCCACGTTAGAACGTCTGGATAAGAGGTAAGTTTAAGGAATCTAGGGATTAGTCAGCTTTTGCAGAATCAAATCGCCAGAAAATATAAAATAAGTTTTATGTTTTTTTTCTAAAAAGTTAATAAGAAATGTTTCTAGACCCTTAAATTTTTTACATTCACCACGATATAAGGTGCAGCAGATATTAAGGACAAATAATTGAAAAAATTAGCAAGTGATTTAAATGTACATGAGTTCAAAAGAGGAAGAGAGAGATTTAGTGAATTGATTTTATAAGTTTCTGAAGGAGAAGTGTTTAAATATTCCAATGCAAATTCCTCCTCCTAATCTTCCATTAGGAGATTAAGAAGAGAGATCAGGGTTTTATCTAAGAAGACAAACAATATTATAGGACGTGGTACTATTGACTACTCTCCGAGTTTTTTGCAAGCAGAAAACATGTGGTTGGAGGTAGCGAATTTGGTCCCAAATTTATATACCTTTATAGGATCTTTTATTCCATAGCATAAATCGGATTATTTAAGACAGAGGATTAGAAGAGGAGTTAGAAAAAGTTTAATTTATTTTTGATTGGGTAAAAAAAAAAATTTAAAATGGGGTTATTATAATTAATATTATTATATGTTTGTAAATAAGTTGGATGTGAGTTAGGATTTTTTTCATCATTTCTATCTCCCATTAAGAAATATTAGCTTTTCTCCTTTATAACTATGGAAAGAGCCTTCAGGAACTTAGGACTTTTGATACTGGGTAGGTGAGCTTTAAAGGAGATATAGTTTTTAAATGGTCTTCTATGTCGAGAATCTCCACAGAAGTACTAAAATTCCTAAGGGTAACAGTCGAAATCCATTTTTACTTTGGTTTTTTTAATCTTAAGGCCTTAACTATTCATAGAAAAAAGAAGAAATTTCATCCTTAATTTTTTGACTTTGCCTGTAGATAAGGGAGAAAGTTTCTCTATTTTATAATAGCTTGTCTTCGGGGAACGCAATAGAGTCAAGGGGAATTATTTTTCATAATGGAGATCACAGAGGGAGCGAAAGATTTCTTTCACTATAAAAAGTTAGAGCTCTTATTCAAAGATAATTCTTAATTATTTATAGAGAATAATTTAGAGTTAATATCAAAGGAAATTTTCTTACCCTAGTAGAGGAAAAGATAGGTAATGTTTTAAGGTTTTAGAATATTATAATCATTGAAATTCTGTAAGACTTTCTATAGGGCAGAAATGAGTTTCAGAAAGAAAGAGTAATAGGTCTAATGAGAATTCTGAAAAACTATTTAAGAGGGCTAAAAGGGATTTGCAGAAACTATGTTAGTCTTAGTTGCTATTTAGGAAGGTTTGGTAGAGAGTATATAATTTGAAGATTTAGCACCAAAAGATTTTTTCACGCCATTTAAAAGGCATCTTTTCTGAATTTAATCAGAGGGTAAAAAAATATCTGTTAAAGGGTTAGTGTGGTTTATAGAGGAGAATTCAAAAAGAACACTATCTAAAGAGGCGGTTTAAGAATTACCTAAAATATTCTTAGAGGATTTATTATAATCTAATTACTATTCTATACAAATAGATTTTTTTTTTTGATAATTTCTTTTTTTTTACTTTTTAAAAAGAAACTAGAGTGGTTAGAAATAAAAAAATATTCCTTTTCAAACATTTTTTGAAGAGAGAAAATAAGGTAATTTTTACATTAAATAAAATAAGATGATATATCTTTTAAAATAATAATACATGATTATTAAAACTAATAAAGTAGAGAAATAAGGGAGGAAAGAGAATCCAGTTAAAAAAATTGTAAAAAATAGTTATTATAATGCGCTAAAAACGCAAAATCATAAAGAGATGATTAAAAAATCCTTTAAATATAGATGGTATAAAAATCAAGTTCATAATAACATATTACATTTAATTTAATGTTTTTAGTAAAATAGTTTTTTTTATAAATTTATATTTATATTTATATTTATATTTATATTTATATTTATATTTATATTTATATTATATTTCTTTATTTATATATATCTTTTACTTTTACTTTTATTTTTTTTATTTTTATTCCTTTATTTTTTTAATATATTTAATTTTTTTTTTAATATTATAAATAATTTTTTTAGTATTAGTTTTATATAATAATTATAATTTTTAATATTTTGTATATTTTATTTTATGTATTACTTAAATATTAATTTTTTATTTTTTTATTATAAATATTATTTTTATTTAATTTTTTTATATAAATATACTTTTTGATAAAATTTTTTTTTATGAGTTATCAAAAAATATTTAACAAGAATATATTTTTTTTTTTACTATTTAATATTATTTTTTTTTTTAAATTTAAAAATATATTTTTATTATCTTTTTATAAAGATAATAATTTTTGTTTTTTTACACAATATAATAATTTATTTTATTTAAATATTGACTTCTATTTTTTTTATTTTTGGAATAATAAATATGTAATATTATTTTATTTATTAATAACTTAATAATATGAGTTTAATTAAATAATAAAATAAAATGAAAATCAAATAAATATCTTTATATATAAAACATAAAAATAAATTCATTTTATATAAAAATTAATTTATTCCATTTCATTTTCTTTTTAAATAAGACTTTGATTTTCGAAATTTTAATCACAAAAATATTTATTAAATAACACTTTATTATAGATAAGATTACCTAAACAAATAATTAAGAATGCGAAAAATTATCCTGAAACATATACTACCTAAAGGTTTTCCCATAAAAAGTCTTAATTACTTTATCCTAAAGTAATACTTAAAATAATCCCAATAATCCACACACATATAGTTCTTAAAACATCAGCAACAGTTCTTGTCAAAGCAGAAGCATTTTTAGTAATACTAATACCAGTTACATTAAGACAAGCTGTAGCAATAATTCCAGCAAAAATAATTATTTTTAAATTCTACGAATGATATATTTAATCTATATAAAGTTGTGGTTATTCCATATATAAATTTTGACATATAGTATGGTCGAAATTACAATTTATAGAACTTAATATTGGCAAAAAAATACTACAAATCGTTATCCCAGAAATACCTTCAATACCTACCATTTCAAGAGGATTAAATGCGTATTTCTAAAGTGTTTTTTCTTATATTATATATTATGCTGAATTTGTTATTAAAGATATAAACATTAATATTATTGCAAATAACTCATATGATTGCTTTTCTGTTTTTTTATGTATATTATTCGAAAACATTAATGACAATATACTTGTAAATAATATTCCAGATATTGTCAAAAAGCACCCTATAATATGTTATTTTTAAAGTTTTTTGTTCAAAAAATATACACTAAATACTGCTGTTATTACTATCGTTCCTGCCCTTAATATTTAATATATCGATGGACTTATGAATATAAGCGCATATTATTACAATAAGCATGTCGTGAAATCACAAAAAGAAGAAATTATTAAAAAAAATAAGGTTTATTACATTTCTGTTTTTATTAAGAATTTTTTTATTTATAATTATGAATACAAAAAAACAAAATAATTCTGCTATAAACATTTAAAATACTTACATAAAAGGATGATAAAAATATGCATCATTAATTTTGGTTGAGTTTTGTAATTTAAATAATATTGTACTGATTGATCCTGAAAATACCATTACTAGTAATAAAATATGCATTTGTAAATATTTAAAAATTCTTTTATATTTTTTATTTATTATATAAATTTTTATTTATTTTATATTTTAATATTATTGCTATTTAATATATTTATAGTAAAATAAAACTAAAATAAAAATAAAAATAATAAAAAAATGTAAGAACTAAAAAATAAAGACTGTTTTTAAATATAATAAGTTTTTAATAATATTAGAGATTTAAATAATAGTAAATATATAAATGATGCCTTAATGCGCATAGAAACAGTTCCAAACCGTTTATAATTATTATAAAAAATATTAAAAAGAAAAAATTAAATAATGCATGCAAAAGAACTTTAACAAATAAAAAATTTAGCTCCTCTTTTTAACATAATTAAAGATAAATTACTAGGTAAACTAATTAGAAAAAATTAAAATTTAGAAATTTAATCTATATCTGAGCATCTAGATAAAAAAGGAAATGATTTAACAATAGAAGATAGCCCTTTATTAATCGATTAGTCAACCTTAATTAAAGGAGCTACTAATGTTTTCGCTTCTCATGATACAGGAGATAGTATTAATGATGAAAAAACTGATTTAAATAATATAAAAAATATAAAAAGAAGTGGCTAGTTAAGTTATTTGTAAATAGATTATACGATAAAAAAATAATTTGCATTTTAAAAACTAATCTCTACTTTTGAATAAAAAGAAATAAAAAATAATTTAAGTAAAAAGAAACACTATTTAGTAATATAGTTACTATTAAATGTAAAAAACTTAATAATAATTTCATTATTGGAAAACCTAAAATTTTAAAAAATTAATAAAGCAAATCTGCCTTATTTTAATATATTGAAGAATGTGAAAATAAAAGAAATAATATTTTTTAGAAATAATAAAATACTTAAAAATGAAATAAATTATTAATTTTTTATAAAAAAAAATTAAAATAAATATTTTATATTTATTAAAAATTTTGTATTTTTATTTAAAATATATTTTTAATATTTTATTTAATAATGTATTATTATTTTATATTTAATATTAAGTTTATTTTTAGCTATTCATTTTTCAATTTCTTCAGGAAGTTATATAGGAATGATTAATTTTTTTTAATCAATAAATTATAAAAAATTATTATTTTATAGGATATTTTTACGTTTATTATCTTTAAATAACGTATTATTAAAATTTAATATTTGAGCCAAATGTTTTTAGTAATAAATAGAAGTTTTTTCAATTTTTTCAATAATTTCTTTGTTTTATTGATTATAATTTTAAATTACATTTTCTTATTCTATAATTTATGAATATAAAAAAATTTTATATTATATAAACTAATATTACTTTCTGATTTTTTATCTTCGAAATATTCTTAAATTGTATTATATTATTTTTATTTAGATAAGATTGTTGGGCGAATACATTTTTCAATTATATTATAAACGAAATTTTTCTATTAATAATTTAATTTTTGATATTGTTTACTTTATGAAAGGATTCTGTTCCATTATAAGTTTGCATTTGTTTATTAAGAGATTATTTATTAATTTTTTATATCATCAAATATAATAAAATAACTTTGTTTATGAGCTATTCTTAATATTTTTTGGATTTGATTCTTTTAATTATAGCAAAGTACAAAATTATTATTTTTATAAAAATAATTAAATTATATTTTACTTGATTTTATTAATAATTTGCTTCATAAAACATATTTAAAACACTTCTTCCTAATGTAAGTTCTTCAAAAAATTAGTATTCTTTATTCACAGTTCTTTTTATTCTAAATTGTTATGAAAATAGGGATAAATAAAATTAATTTGTGTATTCATCATTAAATAATTTTGCTTATTTTATTAATTCTCTATATAATATAATTACAATTTATTTTCTATATTATTTATGGTAAGGAATAAAATATAAATCCATTTTTGTATTTTTTAACCTTTTATTTTTATTAAGCAATTAATAATTAATTATATTATAACATAAAAACTATATAATATAGTCTTAAAAATAATTTAAAGTATATTAAATATAATATACATAAAAAAAAATTATATTATTTATTATATTATATTATTTTATTTAATTTAATTAATTTTTTAATGAATTGTTATTTATTTAAATTCCTTAAATAACTATATCATCAAATTATTTGCTTGTTAAAAATATGTAAAATTTTAACGATTCTATTGAAAAAATAAATAATAAGATATAAAATTGAAAAACTTTTTAAATAATTCTAAAATTATCAATTTATTTATTATCAGTAACTTAATATATAATTATCAAAATTTAATTATTATAAGAAATATTGTTTTTGGATGAATTATAAATTATTTAAGCCTTTTTATACATAAATTTTCAAAAATATCAGAAATTTTTTAAATTGAAAATAGTATATTATATTCCTACTAATATGATAAAAATTAAGGAAATATAAATATAATAAATTTAAAATTTAAACAAATATACAGAATAATTAAGAAGTAAAATTATATTAAAAATATAGATATTATCATATATAGATATTAATTATTATTTGTATTATTCACTTATTTTATAATAAATTATCTCTTGTTAAGTCAAATAATAATGCTACTTGTTCATTTTTATTTATCCATTATTATAATTCTGATTAACTTATAAATATATCCTTGAAAATTTCTTAAGAATTATTTTACAAATTTACGTAATTTTTTTTTATTAAAGTTTGTGTTTTAAATATTTTTCATCACAATTATCTATTAGTTCTCGTCTAAACTAAAATAAATTTTTGTGGACTTTGTAAGTTGCTTATTTACTAAACATTGTATATCCACCTAAAATAAAAATAGAATCAAGTATTATTCTTTTTGCAGACATTTCACCAAATTAAATAGGTAGTTATTTTCGTAAACTTAAAGATAATGTGAATCCTAATATGCAACCAAATACACTAGAGTTAAATAACATATCTATTTTTTTAATAAAAAATTATTAAATTTTTATTATATCACTAATATTTATAAAAATATTTTTTGATAAATAACTAGATTATTATCGCAATAGTTATTATTATTCTAGATTTTAAGAGTTATAAAAAAATAATAGATATTTAACATCATCAGATATTAATTAATATTTTTCATTTACTAAAATTTTTTCTAATTTTAAAAAATATTCCATTTAAAAAAAATAAAAACAAAAATATATATTTTTAAATTAATTATAATAATAATAAATTATTATAAATAAATTTATAATAAATTATTTGTATTATTAAATAAATTAAAAAATAAAATCAATTTAAGAAAATAAAAAAAAAATAAAAAAAAAATAATGAAATAATAAAAATAATAATAAAAAAATATAAATGATAATAAAATATAAAATATATTAAAAATAAAAATAAAAAGCTAAAAAATAAAAATTGTTCAAATTTTTTTAAAAATGACAAAAAAATTTAATAATAAATATTTATTTTCAAATATTAAAGAAAAATAAAAAGATATAATTATTAATAATATAATACAAAATAAAATAATAAATAATTAAATAAATATATATTTTATTTATTTTAATTTATTTTATATAATTTTATTTTGTTTGATATATTTTATTTTAATTTAATTCAATTAATAAAAATTATAAATACTAATATTTATAGCAAAATTTATTTTTTATTTTTTTATAATATAGGTCTAAATTTATAAACATATAAAATATATTTTAGATAATAAAAGAAGAAAAAAATAAAAAAAACATATATAATAAATAATAAATATAATATATATAAAAAAAATGGGAGCTTACAAATATTTAGAAGAATTATGGAGAAAGAAGCAATCTGATCTTATGTCATTTATTTTACGTTTAAGAACTTGGGAATACAGATAATTACCTGTAATTCACAGAGTAAGCTAATCTTCAAGACCTAGCAAAGCCAAATAATTAGGATATAAAAGCAAATAAGGATATTGTATTTGGAGAGTTAGAGTAAGAAGAGGAGGAAGAAAAAGACCTGTATCAAAAGGTATTGTATACGGAAAACCTTCAAGTATCGGTGTTACTTAATTAAAATATGCAAGAAATCTCAGATCTTGTGCTGAAGAAAGAGTAGGAAAAAGAGTGCCTGAACTAAGAGTTTTGAATTCTTATTGGGTTGGTTAAGATGGTACTTATAAATATTACGAAGTTATTTTGGCTGATCCATCTCATAATGCAATCAAAAACGATCCTAGAATTAATTGGATTTGCAATGCTACCCATAAACACAGAGAATTAAGAGGGTTAACTTCTGCTGGTAAAAAAGGAAGAGGTTTAAGAGTTAAAGGAAATAAAGCTAAGAGCATTAGACCTTCCAAGAAGGGAAATTGGAGATAAAGATAAATGCTTAAATTTAGAAGATACAGATGAAGCTCTTATTTTATTTAATAATATACAAATATAAAAATAATTTGTTTTTAATATTATATAATTTACAAAAAAAAATTATTTTTACAAAAAAAATTATTTAAACATTAATAGTTCTAAGTTATTTTTTACTTTTTTTAATCTATTATTCTTTATATGTATTTATATTATTTATAAATATTAATTAAATAAAAGTAAAAACAATATTATCTAAATAAAGAGAAAATGCCCAACTTTCATTTTTAAAAAAGAAAGTACTTAAAATATAAATATTATATTCAGGTCTTACTTCATTTAATAAAGTATATAATATAAAAATTAAAAATATATATATATTTATTTATATTCTTAAAAGTATTAATTTAAAAATAAAAAAGCACGGTGACAAATTAAAATAATAATAATTCGCCTTTTTTATATTATTATATAAACCTATTTAATATCCAGAATAAATATTATGTCACGTAAATTTATATTGAATAAAATCAAAAAGATTATTTGATATTGCCAAATATAAATAGTGAATATACAATCATATAAGATGAATAATTATATCAATAAAATTAAGGACAAATAGTTTAATTAAATGGAGAGTATTCTGTATATAAATTCAAAGTTTTTAAAAAAGCAATCATAAAATTTTAAGGTTCAAATTAGTTTAATCAAATAGATATTTATATTACCGGAAGTAAAATATTTAAGTAAGATTTCTCAATAAAAGGATAATTAGGGTTAGGTAGAAAGCAACAAGCAAAAAAAATAAAAAATAAAAATAATCTTTCTAATTTAAATTTATAAGATAATTATTCAATATTAGATGACATATCTATAAAATATAAAATAGATTCTAATTTTTTTTCAATATATTTAACTTAAGAAACTTTTGAAACTCGGCCTTTCATAATAATTGGGGGATATAATATAAATCTAATTTATTTAAGGAAATTTAATTATGCTCATTCAACAAGTCATTAAATTTGGAGTATAAAAGTATAGAATTTACAGATAAATCAAAATATGTATGCCATTCAAAAAGAAGTAATTTTTTCTACAATAAATAATTATATAGGAATAAATTAAGAAGAGTATAAAATTTTTAGTTAACATTTAAAATACTTAAAATCATATTTAAATAAAGAAAATTATGTAATTCTAAAATAAAATTTAAACAAAAATAAAGATTTTGAAATATTACCAGAATTAATATTTTAATAAAATGAAAATTTTTAAATCATTTTATAATCAAAAATGTATGCAAATCAATGCTATCTAATAACTTAAAAAAAAATGTTATAATGTAAAACAAATCTAATGGTTATTAAAGGAAAAAAAATTATTTTAGGTATACCTTTCCTAGAATATTATTATAGTTTTTATAATAATAAAAGCGAAATTATTGGGATAGGTGCCACATTAAAAGACTATAATCAATATTATTAAATAAATTATTAAAACTATATATTTATATTATTAGTTTTTTTTATTTGTATTGTATTAATTGCTATAGGAGTTTTTTATAGAGATTCAATACAAGAAATAATGTTTGTAATAAAAAATTTAATAAAATATATTATATGTAGAGATAGAGTAGCTAGAAACAACTTAATAGAATTTTTATATTATGAATGAAATTAAAATTAATTAAATGATATATATGATTAAAATATTTATATTTAAAAATTAAAATATATCTATTTATATTATTGAAAATTATAAAACTTATTTAATATAAATATGTACAAAAAAATAAAAAAGAAATATATAAAAAAAAAATAATAAAAAAAGAAATATTAGTTTTCTGAAAAATCAAATAAAAAAATAATAATATTAATTTATGACATAATTTATTTATTTATTTATTTATTTATTAATTTATTTATTTATTTATTTATTTATTTATTTATTTATTTATTTATTTATTTATTTAATAATTTTTTTTCTTAGTTATTCATTATTTTTTTATTATTTTTTTTAATTTACATAAATTATACTATAAAATTTTATTGCTCAAATTGACTTCTTTTTTTTCAATATTTTATTATAAAATTTATTTATATTTTTTAATTTACTTTTTAATAAATTATTTTATTTACATATATTTTAATAATTATTTATTTTTTTATTTTTTTTATTTTTATTTTTATATATATATATATATATATTTATATTTTTTTTTTTTTGGATTTTCCTTTTTTTTTAATATTAAATTTTTTATTTATTAATACTTTTAATTTTCAAGATAATATAATTTTTTTTTTATTTTATTTTTTATTTTAATTTTTAATCTAATAAATTATCTTATTTTTTTGTTATTTATTATGTTTTGATAACTATACTTTGTAATTAAGTATAAAAACATTTATGATTCTTCTTATTTCCTTTTTTTATTATTTATTTTTTAACTTGATTTTTTATTTTATTAATCGACCTAAATACTAATTTTGATGCTATAAAAAAATCCTAATCATAAGTTTAAATAAAAATATTTTTTTAATTAAGTCAATAAAATTTTTTCTGAAAATTTGTATCAGAAAAGAATAATAAGATTTTAGTAAATCAAAATAAATCTAAGACTAAAGATAGATTTGCCTTTATTATTGTTATTGTATTTTTATAAATTTTTTTTAAAAAAATACTAATTTTTTTTTGCATTTTAGTATATATATTTAAATATTTTATATTAATTACTTATTTAAAATCTATTTTTTTAGAGGTTAATAAAAACGCAAATATACAAATATAATCATTTAAGTGTTTAACAATTTTAAATATTTGATAAAATCGAATTAAATTATCATAATTTTCATTTATTAAAATACTAAACATTAAGAAGATCGTTCTTAATATTAAAAATAAGACTTTCATTATTTATTATAAATAAATACCTCTAATAAACCCAAAATAATTATAATAAGAAATAAAAGCTATATCTTCTTTATTTATATATTGATTTATATATTTTCATAATTCTAAAATTAATTATTTTATGTTTATTATAATTATTATAAGTCTTCAAAATTTCAAAATATATTTATGAATTTTTAGAATCTTATTCCTAACGTTTCCATTCTAATTATATTCTTATTATGAACATAATGACGATAAAGTTTATAATGAACTTTCTTCGTTTTAGTTTTTAATTTCATCCTTTTTTACTGATTTATTTATATGAAATCTTGTTTTATTTTATTATTATATATTTATTTTTATTTCTTTTTTATTGTTTTTCTTCGTTTTTTACTTTTTTATTATTTAATCTTTAATTTATATGTATTTTTTGTTAGTTTATTTTAATAAAACTTTTAAATGTAATTTTTTATATGTTAATCATATTACTTTTTCTATTATAATATTGATTTTTAATTATAATGTTATGATATATGTAAAACATATGCAATAATAAATTTATTTAGTATAATAATAAAATATTTATAGTATTTATTTATTTAATAAAAATTATTTTTAGTCTTTAATAATTAGAATTTTAAAAATTTATATTTTATCTTTTATTTATATTACAATTTTTAATATTGATAATATATATATAAACTCAGTATATAAATTATCATTTTAATAAATATATATTTTTTAAATAAAATATTTTTTGAATTTTTAATTAAACAAAGAAAAAAAGTAAAATGATTGAAGGTAAATATTATAAATCTCCTTTTAAAAAAGAACTTTAAAACAAAATCGAGTAAAAATTAATACAAATCCGCCGAGAAAAACGTGAATAAATCCTTAGTAAAAAAAGAAAGCAATTTAATATTTAATATTAAATTTAAATGAGCTTAAATTCTAACTTCTACTAAACAATCAAAACTTTAAAATCAGATCCCTAAATATAAATTTTATATTCTTATGAATATTCAATTGATAATTTATATAATCTGATTGAATGTTTAAAATCTTCCTAAAGTCCTCACTAAAATCTTAATGGTTGTATTGGAATTAGAAAGTTATTATCTTGTAAAAACTCTAGATTAAAAATCTAAACTTTAATCGATTTTTGTACAATACCTTATTTTCTTTCCTATATGTAATAATAAGAAAATCCTTTATTATAACTAGAAGCTTCTTGGTGTATAACAAATTTCACTTCAGGGACAACTCATCAAATTTAATTTTTGATTGAAAAAAATATCCTTTCTTTATTCAAAATACTAATTAAATCTTAATTCTAAGAAATTGTTGAATAAGCTATTTGGGCTTTAGGAAATATATCTGGAGATTGCGTTGCTTACAGAGACTTGGCATTTAAATTAAACTTTTTTTAAGATCTTACTTAAATTCTTTTGAATAATTCTGATTTGTAAATTATCAAAGTAGCAACGTGGACAATATGTAATTTATGTAGAGGAAGACCTTTTCCAGACTTTGAAATCACATAATGTGCTATAGAGCCATTAACTTTAATTTTAATATAATAAATTTAAGATTGCGAAATAATATCAGATGTATTATGGGCTTTATCCTATATAAGTTATGGGGATAGTAAAATTTCATAAAGAATATTAAACACAAATGTGTTACCTTATATAATAAATTATACTTAAGAGGAAGCATTAAGTATATCGATCCCATCATTAAGGATAATAGGGAATATATCTACAGGGACAAGTTAATAAATTGATTAACTTATAAGCTAAGGGGTACTTATGAGCCTGTTTGAATTAGTAATGCATGATAAAAAATATTTCCGTCGAGATTCATTATGTATTATAAGCAATTTAGTATCAGTAAGAGGTATAGAAATATTTAAAGTAGCATAAAATGAGAATTACATGAATATAGTATATGCAAAATTAATATAGGATTAATTAGAAATATAAAGAGAAGCATCTTACCTTTTATCGAACCTCACATAAAATTGTAGTCCAAATGATATTTAAATTCTTGTAAATTAAGGATTACTTATAGTTCTATCTAGTTAAATAAAACTTTCCAAAGATTAAATTTGTTTAGAATTAGCTTTGAAATGTATTAATAATGTACTTAAATGTGGGTAAAATTTTCTTTTTCTAAATGAAGATAATTTGTTTGCCATTCAACTTGAAAAATTAGGAGCTCTTGATGCTATTGAAGACTTATAATTACATCCCAGTTAAATCGTTTATAGAAAATCTTCTAAAATATTGGAAAAATATTTTGAATTAATGTGTGATATTGAAGATAATTGAAAATAGTTTTATTAATAATTATTTTATTTTAATTTTTAATAAAAAAGTATTAGAAATATATAAATAAAAAATATTTGTATATTTTATTAATATAAGTATTTTATTATTTTTAAATAAAAAATATCTTATAATTAAAAAAAAATATATAAAATTAAGGCATATTTTTTTTTTTCTTCATTCTTTAAATATTTTATTAAATGAAAAATCCATATTTTATTCTATGGCTTAATTTTTACAAGGCTTTAATATTTTTTATTGTAATAAAAAAAATTATAATTTTAATATATAAAATTATACTTATATTTGTCTTTTAGATTGAAAGCTTTCTAAAATTCTATTATTATTATAACATTAAATTTTTAATTCAATTTTAGATTTCTATAATATATTTATTTAATATTTTTTATTATTAAAAACAAATTTACATTTTCATGTTTAATTTTTTTTCTTATTTCTCCTATAAGTACTTTATATGTATATATATATTCTTTTTCCTGGTTTAATTATTTTTTAATTTCAACTATATTTTATAATATATTTTATTTTTTTTATTCATTTTCTATGACACTATTTTTCAAATTTCGAATAAGTTTTTTCATTTGACAACAATCTAATTAAAAAGTCTTATTAATTTAAATTTATAAAAATAGAATTTTAAGTTTATTTATAATTTTTACATTTTAATTTTTATTTATGGTAATTAATTAATTTTATAGAATTTTAATATGTTAAGAACATTCCAATTCCCATTTTTTTTCTAATTCTATATTTAATTTTAATTATATAATTGCATCTTGAATACTTTTTTTATTTTATAAGACATATTTTATATCCTTTTTTTTAATAATACAATTGGTATAAATAATTTTGAAAAAAAATAATAATAATATACATTTTCTAAAATCTAATATTTAATAACAGCCTAATTAGTAAAATTTTAATTTATGTTTAATTTGTTCACACTTTTTTGCTTATTTAAGTACTCACTTTTACTATGAGAAAAAGTAAAAGTTCTATTTTTTCTCACAACTTCCTAATTTTTTGTTGTATTATTTTTATTTATATTTTTAAAATTTTAGTTATTATATAATTTATATCTATTTTTTTTATAATCAGAAAGTCTTTATTTACTTAAATTATTACTTTTACTATTGTTGCATTTACAATTATTAATTTTATTGCTTATATTGTTAATATAGGAAGATAATGATTTTTAATTACTTTAAGGAGAAAACGTATAAAAGTTTTCTATAGATGCAATTTTCGGATTCGCATTTTCATAATTTTATACAATTGAAGAATACGAAGTGTTTTCTTTGATTTATTATTGAGCTTGTTTTTTTCGAAACAGTAATTATTATTATTAAATTTGTTTTTCTAAATTTTCTACATTTTATTAAGAAAATTCTTCTATTTTCTAGATAAACAAATCTTCGAAAATTATTGATTTCTCTTATTTTTCATTAAAAGATACATTTTTTTTAATTTATTCTTCTGTTTGATTTAATATTAATTTTGTTTTTAAAAATGCAAGAAATTGATTTTTTAAATTATCTATTATTATTTTAAATTTATATCTTAAAAATTTTTAAATCAAAATAAAACTTATTAGATTAAATATATAAAATAATGTAAAATATAACTAAGAATACTTAATAACCTGGAATTTACAGTTGATATTGTTTATTTACTAAAATATCAATTAATTAATTAATTAACGATAATTCTTCTTCTTAGATATTTAAATTAACTTGATCTTATTCTGAAGAATTACTAATTATCAATAAAAAATTTAATTAGTTGTTTATTTATTATATATACTATTGCTATTTTTTTTAAAAAAAATATTAGCTATTTTCAAGATCTCCAAAAGAAATATTTTTATCGTATATCATTTTTAATTATTAATTAAAAACTTAACTTTTTTTTTAAAAAAAAAATACTGTTAAAATTTAATTTAATTAATAAAAGATATAATTAATAAAAATATTTTAAAAAAATATTATAAACTTTATTAATTATTATTATTGTAAAAGTATATTAGTTAAAATTTCTAAGCTTTTTAATATTATATTATGCATAAGAAAATAAATATTTTAACATTGTAAATAAAAAAAAACACTTTATCAAAAAATTATATAAAATTGTTTTAATTAAATATAAATAATTTTAAATATATTTTAAATTATATTTTTTTTTTTAATAAAAAAGATTCTTTTTTAAAAATTAAAATTATGTACATACAAAAAATTATTTCAATATTTTTTTAATTTCTTTATATGATAAAACAAATAATTAATTTATGAATATAACACTAGTTATTAATTTATGCTTTTTACTTATTAAATAAGTAATAAAGAAAATAAAGAAATGTAAATAATCTAATTTTTTAAAATTAAATTTTCTAATTTTTAAGAAAAAATAATTAAAAAAGTAATTATTTATACTATTTTTATTTCTATGTAAATCTTAATGATATTAAAATAATTTCAAAATTATAAATAAGATAATATTTTTATTTACAAAATTTAAACTAAATAAAATTTTAATTTAATTTAAATATTTAAATAAGTTCATAACTCTTATTAACATTTACATGCATTTTTTATATCGTATCCAAGTAATTATTATTATTCTAATTCATTTTCTTCTTGAAAAATTTTCACTACTTATTCCCATTTTTATTACTTTTTTGAAAATTTAAAATAAAATGTGTTAAGTATATTTTTATTTACTTCTTATTAAAACTATTAAATCACTTTATCAAAAGTTTACCTTCCTATTAGATATAATTATGTATATTCTAAACAAAGAAAACAAACTTTAGTTCTAGTTTAATTTAAAAACTAATTCATTCCAATCCATCTTCCACTCTATTTTAAAAATTATATTTATAATTAAAAAATGTACTTACACTAAGGATATTAAAATTACAATTGTATTAACATTAAACATGATGTTTAACTTAAAATTTACCTTAATTAATATAATAAATATAATCCTAATCCATCTCTTCCTTAAAATAAAAAATAAAAAATAAAAAAAGCTAGGATAATATATAAAAACATTAAAAATTAATTCATCTTTAACATAAATTTATTCCTTCATTTCAGAGCAAAGAAATCTAAATACATCATCGCTAACAAATTGTAAAAAATGAGAATAAATGAATGGAATTAAAATTAAATATTTTTAATAAATTTCCAAATAGTGTTCTTATTACAATTTTTAGGGTAAAAAGGCAATAAGTTCTTATTCAGTTTATAAATTTCTTTATTTTTGATTGAAATATTAATATTCTACATATTATTTTATTTTTTATTATAACTCTTCATCTATATTTTTATCTTTCATAAATCTGCATATTGCATTCATTCGAATTTCGAATTCTATTTAATCACAATACAAATTTTGATAAATATCCGACACTTAATTTACTGTATATCCAAATATAATAGTAGCTCCGACCATAATAAACATTGAATAAAAAACTTCAGAAGGCTAAGTTGGCAATATTTATCCACCTACAGTAATAATAGAGCTCAAACTCCAATAAAAAGAGTACAAAAAAACGATTTAAGTGGAACTTTAAAATTCATTTATTGTTTTTTCCTTTACTATACCCATTGAAGTCATCCAACTTTTAAAAAAATTGGGTTAATCCTAGAGGTTTATCTTATAATAAACACAGGCTCCTATATCTGCAAAAAAAATAACAAATGAAGCTAAACGAAAAAATTAAAAAATAGCGAGGGACTTGCGATTTAATTAAAGTGCTTTTTAAATAAAGGTATCAAAATTAATAAAGGAAACTATTTTGAGAAAAAATAAAAAACATAATATTAGATTAAATTATAAAATAGATAATATTAGTAAAGATATTAAAGATATTATATCATATATAAATTCTCCATTATAATATTTTTTTATGTAATTTTGGATTATTTTAAGTCGTGATTTGCGAGCTTTCCCTCTTTCGTAAAAAAAAGTGTTTAGTTTTAAGACTATATCTATTCCGTATAAAATTATGGATAATAAAAACATATATAAAGGAATTATTTAGTCTCTAAAGGAGATTTATATTGGAAATAATAAAAAGTAAATGTAAGTTTGCATTTATATTAAAATTTAAAATGCTATATAATATTTATTTTGCTTATCCAATAAAGGGATTTTTTCAATTTTATCTGTTATTCGTCTTTTTTTTATGTATTTTTTTTTTTTATTTTACTTAAACATTTATTCTTTTTTTTTCGCAAAATCTCTTTTTTTATAACTAATTTCTTTGTTATTATTTATTTTTTTAAAAAAAAATTACTTAAATATTTAATAATATGTTAATATTATAAAAATATTTACAATTAAATAAATATAAAAAAATAACTTAAAAAAAGTATATAAAAATGCCTCCAAAGCCAAAACCTAAAAAACTTTCAAGAAAAGAACTTGTAAAAAAAATAAAATGAAATTTTATACAAAAAACAATATAATTTATAATTATAAAATAATTTAAAATATATATTGTTAAACAAAATAAAAAAAAGAGAGCTCTTTAAGAAGAGCAACGTCGTAAAGATGAAGAAGCTAGAAAAAAACGTGAGGAAGAAGAAGAAATATAACGTTAAATATTTGAAGAAAAACGCCGCAAAGAAGAAGAACGTTTGTCCATAGAAGAAAAAGCCCGCTTAGCTGAAGAAGTCTAAGAATTATAGCCATGGAGAAATTAAATATCAGCAATAAAGTAAAAAAAAAGATATTGTATTTTATAAATTAATATAAAATATAGAGATAAATAATTAAGATCATTAAAAGGAGAAATCGATTGGCAAAAGTACATAAATTGTAATTCAAAACCTGATGCAAACCGAGAGAATTAACTAACAACGTTTTTAACATAATACAAAGAATCCCCCAGTGTTTCGGATTTAAAAATTGACGAGGCTTTGTAATAAATCTAATATGCGGAAAATATTGTTTAAGATATAATACAGTTAGAACAAAGAGTATTAGCGGAAGGAAAAATAGAAGAAAGTTTAAAATATTAAGAGTTTATTGGAGAAATAAGAAATATAAGTGAACGAAAAATATAAGAAATAACTTCTCATTTGTGTATTAATGCTGAATATTTATACGAATAAAAATTAGAAGAGTTTTCAAGAAAAATACAAAGCGAAAGTCCTTCTAAAAATATAAAACCGCCAGGAGATGATAAACAGAAAATGGAAATTCATAAATTATACACTCCTTAATATGATATTAAATATGGAATGTGGATTAATCCTAATACAAAAACAAATTATAGACATCTTCCTATTGACTTTGGACATTTAGGTATGCATTGCGAAGTTCCGAGAAATTTTATGTCTATTTAATTAATTATGAAAGCTGTTTGGTGTTCGTTTGATAATTTGACCACTCCTGAATATCGACTTAATAGTAGAGATTTGGTAATAGGAGGAGTAGTCGATATAGAATGCTTAGAATATCTTCCAGGCAAATAAAAAATGCCTAATTATACATTAAAATTCCACTATGATGTCCAAGAAGCTATAAAAAAACTTCCTTATCCAAGTACAGAAGGAAACTAATAAAAAAATCCTGTTAAAGTAATATTTTAACTCCCTCCATATTTATTAATTTATTCAAATGACCAATTTAGAGTACATTCTTTTGATTTTCAAACTAAAAAATGGAGTCCTGATTGTATTGATGAAATTAAATATGATTATGACAAAAGATATGACCCTGAAAAAAAATATTTGCAATTTTCAACTACAAAATTAGCTCCATTTGCCTATATTCAAGACAAATGCACAGATTTCCCTTATGTTTCTTGGAAAATGAGATGCGTTAAACCTGATGTGGCGTATATAGATATTAGAGGAAAAAGAGACACATTCAAATTCGAAATTGGAAAAGACTATGCTATGCTTAGAAATAGAAAAGAACCTGAATTAGAGCATTTAAATAATAAGCGTATGCCTTTGAATAGACTTTTACCTCTCCTTAGCAAAAGTGGAATTCATCTCTTACCTAAAGAAAACGACGTATAACCTGAAGAAGGGATTGTGTAAAAAAGCATTGAAGCAGAAACTACAGCTATTTAAGATATTATATTCGCTATAAGGTGCTTTTATATTTAATCTTCCAGATTTTCTGGATAACTCCGAAGCGATAAAATATTGGTGAGAGTAAGAGAAAACTTAGAATTCGATGAGGAATTCTTGGAAGACCAAGAAAAAGATTGGAAATCGATATGCTTCTAACCTTTTAAATGCTCAATTATTAAAAGTAAAGATTCTTAACCTAATTGTAATGAAAATCTTTTGGATGATACTGTTACGCATTCCACTTTGGAGTTACTTTTAAGAAAACATGAACTTACATCGTAAAATGTACTTGAGAAAATGAGGAACCTTGAAAGTGTTTAGTTTATGAATAATATTGAAATGTTCCTTAAAATGACTAAAATTTTAACTTTTACAAGTGGAATTTTGCCTGAAAATTTACCAAAGAAAGTTTATGATAAGAAAAATAATGTTGAATAATAAAATGTTTCTAAAGAATAATAAGTATAATAAAATCTAAGTTAAACTAATATTAATACAGAGGATAAAAAAGAGGAAGGATAATAGTAAGAAAGTAAGGAAGAGAATAAAGATAACGATAAGACAGAAGAAAAAAAGAAGAAAAAAAAGAAGAAAAAAATGAAGAGAAAAAAGAAGAAAAGAAAGAAGAAAAAAAAGAAGAAAAAAAAGAAGAAAAAAAAGAAGAAGAAGAAATTAAATGAAGAAAAATATTTTATTAATTTTTTTATTTTTTATTATTAAAAAATATTATTATACTTAATATTATTAAATATAAATTTTATAAAAAATTGTTTTCATTTATACATTTTATAAAGAAAAAGTTAAATAAATTTCATAAACAATAAAAGAGAAAATTAAAAAGCCGAAAAAAATTAAAATCGAGAAGTAATAAGTTATAATTAAAAGTCAAAGTTAAACTTCTAAATAAAAGTAAGACAACAAACACAAGATTAATTGAGAAATTCAATATAAATAGCGAATAATAATTAAAATAATACTCGAAAAAAAAAAATATAACGAAATATATAGAACAAAGCCAAATACACACGTGATTTTCATGTGCAAAAGAATGTTATTCTTTTCTAAATTTTTAATTTGCTTTTTATAATTAAAAATAATAATATATAATACTATAATATTTTAAAATTATAGTATTTTTTTTTTAATATTATTAATATTTTTTAATTAATTAATTATTTTTTATTACTATTCATTATATAAAACAAATATATATTCAAATATTAAAAATATTCAAAAAAAAAAAAAATACATAATTTTAATGAAATTACAAAAAATATTATTTAAGTATAAAGATAATTTAAATTAATTAATTAATTAATATAATAAAATTATTAAAGGATGATCGTTAAATTTCATAAATTTAGTATTAATAAAATAATTAATAGTATATAAATAATTATCAAATATATAATAAAAATAAATATAAAAAATATTATATAATATATAAAATAAAAATTTAATAATTTAAATACGTGATAAATAAAAAAAAATATAAAATAGTGAGAATTATAAAAATAATAATAATTAAAAAAAATAAAAAAATTAAATAAAATAATAAAAATAAGAAAATAAAAAATTATATACTATAAAAAATTAAATAAATAATATATGTAATCTAAAATAATTATTATTAAAAAAAATGCTGTAAAAATAATAAAAAAAAAATACAATATATAATAAAAAAAATATAAAAAAAATAAAAAAAAAATGATAAAAATTAATAAATATTAAAAAAAAATAATAATATTTTATAAAATATAAATAAATAATAATAAAATAATTTAAAAAAATTCAAAATAAATAATAATAAAAGATAAATTAATAAAATAATAAGATATAATATAAAAAATAAAAATATAAAAAAAATAATAATAATATAAATAAACTAAAAAATCAAAATATTATTTAAATAATTTAATAAATATAAAAATAAAAAAAATATAATATATATAATTAAAATAAAAATAAAATAAAATAAAAAAAATATAAAAAAAAAATAAAAAATAAATATAATAATAAATTATAAATCAAAATAAATAATAATAAAAGATAAATTAAAAAATAAATAAAAAATAAGATATAAATAGTATAAAAATAAAAAAAATAAGAAATAAAAAATAAAAAAAATATAATTAATATAAAAATGAAAATAAAAATAAAAAAAATAAAAATATTAATAATTAAAAAATTATAAATATATAAAATAAAAAAAATTTATATAAAATGAATTAAAAAATAGATATAATAAAAATAATAAAATTAAAGAAAATATAATAAAGATAAATAAATAAAAAATTAATATAATACATATATATATATATATATTAATATATTATATATTTTATATAATAATTTTTTTTTTTTTATATATATATTATTTATTAATATTTAAATTTTAATATATTTTTTTATTTATATACAATATAATTATTATAAAAATATTATTTAATTTTATAACTAGTAGTTTTTTTTAAATTAAAAATTATTTTTTTTATATTAATTAATAATTTAAATCTTTTCTTTTATTATACATAAAATATTTAAAATTTGTTTTTTGTTTTTTTTATTTATATATAGTTTTATAATTTATTTTATTAAAGATAATATTTATATTTTATTTATTATCATCTATCAATATCTATTTTCTTATAGCCTTTATCAAATAAACCTAGTTACATCAAGCATAATTTAAATAATTTAAGATTTGATTCAAAAGAAGGCTTTTCTAACCTATATCAATAAAAATTGCATTTATAAATATTTTTTTTATATATGGTACATTCGCTAATCATGTCTTCATAATCTTAAATTAATTTTTATTTGCATATTAAAAGTATAAAATATTTTTTATAGCTTAATAAAAGTTAGTATAAATATTTATTTTATATTATAATTTAAGTTTAAATATATAATATATTTTCTAAAATATTAAATATTAAACATATAATATATATTTTAAAAGTTTTATTTTATTAAAAAATAATATATACATATAATGTATTTTATTAATTATATTTTATATTTATACTTAGCTAATCAATATATATTTACTATAAATACTTTTAGTTTAAAATAAATATTGTATTGTAATAATTCTGTTATAATTTCATATTTATACATAAGTATATTAAAAATAATTAAATAAATACTAAAAAAACATTAATTACAATTGTTTATATTTAAAATCTTAATAATAGTTCGACTAAAATATAAAAAAATAAAAACTAAAATATATTTATAAAAAAATTATATTTTTAAAGTTAATTCTTGTGTAGCAAATATATAAAATCGAAATATTATAATTAAGTCTTAAATTGAAACTAACAATTCGGCATAAATTTGCACTAATTGTATTTTTTTAAATATTGATTAAACTAAACATAAAAGTTGTTATCTTAAATAACAACAAAATAATTAAATAAATAATTAAATATAATTATGTATAAAATTAAAAATACTATAAATATTTATAATAAAACATATTTTAATTCAATAAAAAATATTAATATAAAATAAATTCTTAAGATAAATGATCAAAATATTATAATATACTCTAAATTATAATAATTTTTTTTTTAAATTTTGCTAATATACTACTTAAAAAGAACATTATAAATTTTAAGCTGACACAAATAGACTTTTAGAAATTTTTAAATAAAATGTATATACAGATAAAGATATTTTCATTAAAGAACTATTGTAAAATGCAACAGAAGCAATCGAAAAATACACCAAATATTATCCAGAATGTAAAATAGAAGAATAAAAAATAAACATATCTATAAATCCTTCTAGTAAGTAAATCATAATCTAAGATACAGGAATTGGTTTTACAAGAAATTAATTGCAAAATTTTTTAGGATATATATGTAAAATGGATGAAAAATAAGAAAATAGCAAAAAATCAACAGGATTAGGATTTTTTTCATCTTTTGTAGCGGCATATAGAGTTGAAGTACAAAAGAAACAAATAATATTTATTAATTAAATATTAATGATTTTATTATAAAGGTAATAAGTAAAAAAGATGGTGAAGAATTTTCACACGGATGGAAAAGTAATGGAGAAGGCGAATTCGAATTATATACAATTAAGGACATTAGATAAAAAAGAGGAACAAAAATTATTTTAAATATAAAAAATGAATTCCAAGAATATTTAAAAAGCGAATATTTATAAAATGTAGTTATAAAATATTCTAATTTATTGAATTATCCTATATTTATAAATGGAAACTCATTGGAATTATAAAATAATATTTTTATGAAAGATTTTAAAGAAATAAATGATTTTTAATACTTAAAAACTTTCCAATATTTAACTGGTTTAAAATTATCTTATTAACATAAAATTTTATACGAAAATAAATAATTAAAATTTGCATTTTTTATTCCTTCTACACATTCAGAATTCCAAGAATTCTATAAAGAATAAGCAAAAGTAATATTATATAATAACAGAGCACTTATTACTGAAAATATGATAGATTTCTTACCTAATTATATGAGGTTTATAAAAGGTTTAGTTGATATTTATCCTGTTGAAGTAAATGTTTCGAGAAATAATTTCCTTTCACATACTTAAAAGTATGTTTAAGAAGCTTAATAAATAGTTAAAGAGAAAATTATATAAGGGCTTTTGGAATATTCAGAAAAAGAAAGTGATAAATATTTGACATGGTATAAATAATTTTAGCATTTTTTGAAAGAAGGTATTTTAATATATTAATTTATTTTTATAAAAATAAAAAAAGGATTAATTTATGATTAATAAAATCAAGAAAAAATAGCTGATTTATTAAGATTTGATGTAAATTATAAAGAAAAAATGATTTCGATAAAAAATTATTTAGAAAAATCTTAAAAAAATTTAATTTATTATGGAATATTTTAAGATTATAATGATGCAATATAATCTATATTTGTACAAGAGTTAGAAGAAAAAGGTATTCCTATAATATTTTTATATGACAATCAAGAACAATCAATATTATAATAACTTTCTTTAATAAAGAAATTAAATGCAGTCAACATAATAACAGAGTTCGATAAAGTTTTGATTTTAGAAAGCTTTGATGATATTAATTCATTATAAAATTTAATTCCTTAAGGAGATGTTGATAAATTTTTAAAATGGATTAAAATATAGCTTTAACCAACAATTAGAAAAGTTGAAGAATATACTTTATTTGAAGATTAACCTGCTATTATGATAAAAAAAAAAGTAAATAATTTATATGATATAATTTTCATTTTTTTTAACTATTTTAGTAAGTATGTACTTTAAGAGTTAATTTGAAAAATGAACTAATTGAAAAAATATACACAATGTAAAAAAAAAATTAAAATAAAATAGCTAAAAATATGATTAAAATACTTTGTGATATTTGCATGTATAATGCTGGGTTTTAAACTAATTTTGCTTTATAAAATGAAAGAATCGAATAACTTTCAGAAAGTATCTTGGATGATTATATATTTAATAATAAATAAAAAACATATAATAATATTAATGCATATAGATAATTAGAAAATGATGAAGATGAAGAAATTAATATAAAACCTGGATAAGTATATATAGACAAAGATGGAAATCCCTAAATAAAATGAAATAATTAAATAATAAATATTATAATTCATTAACTTAATATATATTAATATAATTATTATATTAATTTTTTTTAAAAACCAAAACTTAATTAAAAAATTAAATTTATATCCAAATATAATTTAATTAATTAAAAAAAAAAATCATAAAATGAATACAAATAAAAATAAACTAATTCCAAAAACAAAATATTAAATAAATCCGAAACAAAAAACAACAACTTCAACTGCTCTTCCATTTAAAGGCTAAGTTTTTCTATTATTACCATCTATTGTTTTATAAACATTATCTCCAGTAACTGAGAACCACAAGTCTTTGAACTTTTTATAACTACTATGATGAATTTTTTATGCTTCTCTTAAAACATACCAATTAACCACTTCATCGCATCCAGGGGTAGTCAAAGAACCTTCATATCTGTAGGCAATAGCCCCATCATATAAAAAGCTAGAAAATATTTATTAAAAATTTAATTCGTATTCACTGGTTTCTGTTGGTTTAAGATGATTTTAATCTACTTAAGCAGGCCATTAAAATTCTTTAAATAATTAAGATTCATCTTCTTTATAAAGAGTTTTTTGAAATAAGACGCCTATTACAGTAATTGGTTTTGAACTATCTCCTTCCACTTTTTTATTTACTAAATGTAATTCTAAATCAGCGTATACTCCATCTAATGTATGCTCAGAAGGCTCATGTACATGGAATTAAGCTGTTTAATATTATGCTGTTTTATCATAAATGTCAGATATTTACATCTTCATAAAATGTCCTTCAATTTCAACTGAGTGCAGATTGTTTATTGTTTTTACTTACTATGCATCGCCATCATATTTGAATTTGTAAGTCAAACATTTAGCATTTTCTATATCTAAAGATGAAACATTTATATCTATTGGAGACTATTTCTAACCTGTAGCACATTTACCACCCCAGTTTTCACCGTGTTAAGTATAATCAAATATTTAAAGATGTATAAAAGACATTTATATAAAGATAAGGAGAAGTAATTTTTCCATTTTTAAAATATAAAATAAAAAATATATAATATAAAATATAAAATATAAAATAATAAATTATAAAATATAAAAAATAAAATATAAAAAATAAAATATAAAATATGATTATTATTATTATTATATATTTTATTTTTTAAATGTTAATAAATATATTTTTTCATATTTCTGTAATTTTTTTTTATAATAAAACATTATTATTTTTATTATAACTCAATTATTTAAAATTAAAATATATTTTTAATATAACTTTTATATATTTAAATATATTTGACAATTAATTTATATTTTAATAGATTTTTATAATATATATTAGTATAAATTTATATTACTTTAATTTTATATATATTTTTTTTTTATTAAAACATAAAACCTTTTTTAAATTTAAGTTATATTAGTAAATTATTTAAAAGAAAATATTTTATTTTTTTAATAATATTTACAAAATTTAATAAAATTTATTTTTATTATATTATAAAAAATGATTAATATAAAAATTCATTTAAATACTTTTATAAATCATTTAAATATTTCTAAAATTTCTGATTTTTTTTTTTTAAATAAATAGTAAATTATATTTTATTCAATAATCAATAATTTATATATTTAAAAAATATAAAATAATTAAAAACAAATTTATATTTATTTTTATTTATATATAATAATTTTTAATAATTAAATGATTTTATTTTATATTGTTATTTTTCTAAATATTATTTATTGTGAAATTGGTCTTCTTATTAAATAAACAATCGAAAATATAGGCAAAGAATTAAATTATTTTTAATTCCCAAACATTTCTTAAGTAATGGATTTATCAATATTATCATATAAAGTTACAAATATAATAATTTTTGATTTACAAAATCAAGTTGATTATAAAATTACAAAAGAGGAATATATATTTCTTATTTAATTTCCAAAAGTAACTGCTACACTGGAAATTAATAATGGTGACTATCAGCCGCAAGTAAATATATTAGATTTAAAACTTTAAGTTAATATTTCTAAAAATTTTTAAAAATGCACTCATTTGAATTTTATTTACTAAAAAATTGACTTAGATGTAGGTTTAATAGGCAAATTTATTCCTAATTATTTAATTAATAATAATTATATAGTTAAATTTCTAAAAAGACTAGAACCTTAGCTTAAAGAATAATTAAATAATAAATTAAATTCAATGAATGGATTAGTTAAGTTTTCAATCGAAGAAGGTTATATAGATATTAATTTAAAAAAAAAATCAAATTAAAGAGAAGAGCTATGATATATTAACTTTAAATCCATATAATTTTTAAATTTCAAAATTATAATATATATTTTATAAGCTTTTTAAATTTTAATATATAAATAAATATCTTTTAATTTTACTATTACAAATTTATTTTTAAAATATAAAAATAAAAAATTAATATTTAAAAAGAAATTTTTTCAGATAAATTTTTTAAAAATAAATTAACTTATTAATTAATTATATATGAAATTATTTTATTTAACTTGTATTTATTTAATATGTAATTATATGTATTAATAATTTTTGGCTATTCTATTTTTCAAAAAACATCATATATAATAAAAGCTCCAATTAAACAAACTGCTATATCTGCACCTAAATGAGCCAAAGAACTTGCAATATATCCAAACCTAGTATTTAATTATAAAAAGATAGATCCAGCAATAAAAATAATAATTAATGTTAAAAATCCGAAAAGAACAGAATTATTTAATAAATGAAATACGACTAAAAAATGATAACTGGAATAAAAAAAAGTACAAAAAAACTAAATAATATTAATTTTAAAATCCGCTTACTTAATATCTTCATATAATAATAATTATGAATAATAATTTTAGTTATCTTATATATTAAAATATTAGTTTAAATCTATATTTTTATATAAATTAATTTTAAATTAAAAAAAAAGTACCAAAAATAAAAAAAAAAGCCTAAGGAATAAAATTTCTCCAAAAAAATTCTTCCAAAAAAGGGTTTATCATACCTAAAAAAGTTAATAATATTAAAAAATTTATTGGATTTTTATTAAAATCTCTTATATTTATTTAATCTAATAAGCCTCTTTAAAATTTCAATATAATGAAATAATTTATTACTGCTATTACAAATATTAGTAAACCTACTAATAAGCCAATATATATTTATTGTTTTATGTTTTATAATTTATAATCAATATAATTTTTGTTTTTTCTATTTGTAAGTTTAGAAAACACTAAAGGTAAAAAAGCTAAAACTAAAATATTATATATTATAATCGTTAATGTATATTAATGATAAAATACTAAAAATATTAAAACTATTAATATTGGCAATATCATTAGTATTATTAAAAATATTAATTATTTTATATAATCTTTTTTCATTTATATATATTTTTTAATTTTGATTATGCTTTCCTTAAATATTATTATTTAAAAAAATATAATTTTTGTTAATTAAAATTTTTAGTTTATTTTATAATAATATATTATTTTCTTGTCATAAAATTAATAAAGTATTAATAGTTTTTTTAAAAAAAATGTTTTTTATTAATTAACAATACAATTATAAAAAAAGTAATCATTTTAATTTCTTTTAAATATTATTTTAATTTCTTTTTAATATTATTTTAATTTCTTTTTAATATTATTTTTGTATTTAATTTAAAAAATTAAAAATTATTTATTCATTTATTCAATTCATTAAATTTATTTTATAAAAAAAGTATTTATTTGTTTATATTATTCTATTAAAAAAAAATCTCAAATTATTTAAGGGAAATATGAAAATATTTAATAATTTTAAATATAAAATCTTTTCTACATAAACTATTTTATAAAATATATATATTAAAAAAAATATTTAATTTTATTTATAAACTATTTAGTTTTTTCGAAACAAATATATTGTTATTATTTTTATTAAAGAAATTTTTCTTTTTATTATTCACCTAAAATTAGTTTTTACTGATCTAATCGTATTATGATTTACAACAGACACTGTTCCAAAAGCCATTTAATATATTACAATTCCTCCTAATCCTGTAAATCTTCCTCCTTGTTATTTACTAAATAGGGAGAGATTGGCTGTGATTAATGATTATATTATTATGGAGGCCTTTGAGTAGTTGTAGTACTTCTATGAGTTGAAGATGATTATCTTCTATTTCCGAATCCAGCTTAATTAAAATAAATTTTTATATATACAATTAAAAATAAGATTTTTTTACATGGAGCTATTATTTTATTTTTATAATAAATATGTATATTTTTAATAAAAATATAATATTAGTATTTTTTTAATATTTAAAATAAAATATATTGTTTATTTTTATTCAATTATCATTAAGAATGTTATTATCTAAATCATATGATTATAACTTTAGTAATTTCTGAATTTTTTTATTTGTTAATTTATAATTTTATTGTTAGTTTTATATTATTTAATTTTTGCTTGCATATTTATTCTTATTTTTTTCTTGTTTATTTTAAGCCTATTATAAAGTGCTTTATTCAATAAAGTTTAACGAAAACATGCTTTCTTTTTTATTTTCTCTTTTAGAAGAAATATTATTTGTGCTTTAACTCATTGATTAGTAGTTTTAAAGGAATGATTTTCTAATAAAAAAAAAATTGAATTTAATAATATGAAAAAACTTACTGTTTTTATACTGTTTTAATCACACTTTTATCATCTATTGAGTCATAATAATCCATAGGTTTATATAATCTTTGAATTTTTTAATTCCTTTGTTTTATTGAATTATCTAATTGATCTATTTAATTATTAATAAACTTGTTTTGATTAATATTTTTTAAATTCATTAAATAATTTTGTTATAAAACATTACTTTCTTTGATATCTCTTTCATTTCTTACATATCTATTTCCTATTTGAATTTTATATTTTGAATAATTTTATTCTTTTCTTAATTTTATTGAATTTATTTTCTTGATTTAATATATTTTCTTTATTATTCATTTTTTTATTTTTGTTATGTAACCAAATTTTTAACTATCATTTCATTTTAAATTTCTTTTATTTTTTAGTTTTTTTTTATGAATTTTTGTTAAAAAAAACCTTTTTTATGATTTTAAATTTCATTTAAACGTAATTATGCATATAAACAATACTCTTCATTCTATATATTTATTTAAATTTAAATTTAATATTTTTACTTAAATATCCTAATGAAATTAATTAATTAATAGTATTTTATTTTCTTCTTTAACTTGATTATTTTATATTGAATAAAACTTAGATTTATTTCTTGAAAGTTTCAGTAATTTCTTTGCATTATCAATTTTTTTTTTATCAAAATCTTCATCCTTTATTATATTTTATATTCCTTATTAAATACTTTTTTTTTTATTATATTATTTTGGTTAAAAAAAGTAAAAATAAACTTATTATATTTTTATTTCTCGCAATCTATTAATTTTATGTCAATCCATTTTTAGACAATCTTATCAAGATTTTATTCATTTATACTATTTTTATTATTTTAAAAAGGAACATTTTGTTTTTGTTTCTTTTGTAAATTTTTAACATCGCTATATTCATGCATTCCATTTTCAGTAAAATCTAATAATAAAATAATATAAAGTAAGACAAAGTTAAAAATACATTTATCAGTTGTCAAAACTCTCGAACTAAAATTAGTTTTTATTTGATTGTTCTTATTTGTATAATAATTATTTGCAGCAGGCGTTAGTGGGTAAACCGTACTATATAAATTCGAAATAATGCTATTTGTTTAATTATCTCTAGAACTATAAAATCCTGCTACACTGTTCCTATGTATTTATTAAAGTTTTTAATATTTTTTTCCACTATTTAGATTATTAGGACTGTTGTAACAATTAGTAGTTTCTACAAAATAGTTTTTTAAACTACTATTTATCATATTAATTTAACTTTGGGTATTCTAATTTATAATACTTTTTGCTTTTTAGTTATTAGAACGAACTTTTTGATATTATACAACAAATTATGTTTCATTTAATAATTTATTATTCATTTTATTATAAAATATATTATTATAAAAAGCAAAGTTGTCATCTAATTGTTATTATTTGGTGGATACTTTTTTATTTTTATAATCAAAAATACCAAAAACTTTTTATAAAATAAAATTTATTTCTCTTTCTTCTTTTAGTTAATAACTATACTATATATAAAATTTTAAAAATATGAATATTTTTTGTTATTAATAGTAAATAAATTACTTTTTGTTAAAAAATATTATATTACTAAGATATCAAATTAGATAGTTCACAAAATTATTAATCAAAGAAACTTTTACAAAACCAATTAGCTAGAGATATTGACTGTAATGAATTCGCATAGTTTTCTTATAATTCTTCACTTAAACTTAAGATAAAAAGGGAGATTATAATAAATATTATCTTTTTTATATATTATATTAATTAATATTTTAAGTATTTTTAAGAATTATTTGAATTGTTTATTATTTTTAAATTATTTTTTTACGAAAAATTACATTCGTTTAAACTTTTTATTGATTTTTATATTTTATTTTAATTTTTTGTTTTAATAAATTTCTCTAAGCTTTAAAATTGCATCTTAAATTTAATTCCTTTTATAATAATTATAGAGCTATTTCATAGTTTTTTTAACATTCTTTCATTTAACTTTATTCAAAATAAACTTTTCCTATTTCCATATAACTTTAAGCAATAATACTTAAAAATTCTTAATTCTTTTTTGATATTAAAAATTTTTTAATAAAATATTATTTTTTTTTAAATAAATTACAGTATGTTATTTTAATTTATTTTACCATTATATTTAATTATATAGCATTTTTTAATATATATCGAATTTATTTTTTCTTTTAGATAATTGAGCCCATACATAATTTAAGAATAAATTATATTTAATAAATTATTTGATATGAAATTCAACTTAATAAATATATATATTTATTATTTACTATATAATAATATTTACTTTTATTTAAAACATTTTATTAATCTTCTTTATTTTTAAAGTTAAAAAGATTTTAATTTTATGTTTATATTTCTTATTCTAAAGTCTCATAAAATTCATTAATTTTATTTAAAGAATCTTTAATACTATTTTATTTTAAATTGTTTTTTGTAGAACATAACTTTTTAAAATTATAATCTTTAATTACAATAATAAATAATGCTTCTTATTTCTATAAAATAAAAGTACATATAAAACATATTTTTTCCATGTTAATTATCTATGTTTTTGATAATTCTTATTCTGAAAAATACTTTGTTGTTAATTTTTCAAGGCAAATAAAATAACGTCTACTTATTTTCAAAAAATTTTAACAATTCAATATAATACTATTTTATTCTAAATTTGATAGTAACTTATATATTCGCACAATAACTCTACGATATTTTCCCTTTATATTATTTTTTATTTTTCATATTTTATAAATTAAGTAAATTTTATATTTATAAACCTTTTATATTAATATATCAATGTCTTATATTATTTAAATTAAATCTTTAGGCTAGAAGACATGATTAAGAAGTATTTTCTTTTAATCAGAGCTATATAAAGGACCTTGAATATTAAGTTTTTACATATAAAAATATAGAATTTATAATAATTAAATATGAAAGAATAATTAATTATAATTTAATAAAAAACATATAATAAAATATATAAATAAAAAATATATATTATATTTTATATACAAACAAATTCATATTTATAGTTAAAATATATTTAACATTTATTCAACTAAAAAATGTAAAAAATTTAATCGATGTAGCCCATTAGTCTAATGGTAGGACAAGGGATTCCGGCTCTCTAGGTCGGGGTTCGATTCCCCGGTGGGTTGCTTTTTTTTTGATACTATAAAAATATTTGTAATAAAGGAAAATAAAACCTAATTATAAATATTTGTTTATATATATTTATATTTTTAATTTTCTGTTTGAAGAAAAACATATATATGCAATATTTAAATATTAATATATTTTAGATGAATTTCATATGAAAATGCATTTTTTTATTTATTAATTTAAATTATTTTATATTTTATAATTAAGTTTTTTATTTCTATCAAAAATATTTAAATTATTTCGTTTAATTGATATTTTATATATATTATTTGTTTCAAATATATACCAAACTATATAAAAAAACTTAAAATTAATCTTGTTTATAAGATTGTGTTTTATTTATATTTAATTATTATTATATTTTATTTTATCCTATGTTTAATTGAAAAAATAAAAAATCTCTAATAAATATAAATTGTTAGAATGTTTTTTTTATTTTTATTTTGTAACTTTAAATAAAGTTCATAATTAATTTTTTTCGCCTTTATTCTTATCAGTTGTGTTTTTAAAAAAAACTACAGAATAAATAAACGAATTATATTATTAAAAAGTAATAATTTTAAATAAAAAAATAATCTTATCAATTTAGTGTAAAACTAACATTTTTTTTATAAATTTAAATAAATTGTAAAATATAAATATATTGATATTTATTTATAATAATTAATGAATATAAATATAATTAATTTAAAATAATTATAAGTTTTTATTATTTTATATTTATATACCAAACTAAACAAAATGTATTGTTTTTTTTAATATTTATGTAAAATTAATTTTTAGTTTTAAATAATTATTGCTTTAATTAAATTATTAAAATTTTTACAAAAAATGTCATTAATATAATATTTTTATAATTAAACAATAAAAAAACATGAAAATTAATATGAACTTATGTATACCAGTTTTTGCTTTAAATAAAGATTATTATTATATATAAATTATTTGAAAAATTATGGTTTTTTGAAATTTAAAATATTTTTTATAATTTTTTAGACTATTAAAATCAAATATAATTAATTCAATTATTTATTGATGATTTTGCTTATTTTTTGATTAAAATAAATTTACTAACATTTATTTTGTTTCGTTATTATTTAATAAGCCAGACAAAATATAAAAGCAATTAAAAATTCTAGTGAGAATTTTAAATTAATTAGATTTCTAAAAATTATCAATATTAATATTTGTATTTTTTTCTGTTATATTAGGATAATTAAATCAAGGCGTAACAAAAAAAATATAGTTTTTCAAATATCAAAAGTAAAAAGGAAACCTAAACTTTTTTAAAAATATAGTTATTTAAAATATAAAACGGTAAATGTTATATAGGGAATGATATTTCTAATAATTAATAAGAGAAAACAAAAAATAATTAAATAAAATTATAATAAAAAACAAATGAAAAAATATAATCTAAACTTTATAAAAAAAAATAGTTTAATTATCTTAAGATATTTTTATAATTCTTATTATGTGTCTCATAATGTAAGCGTATGTTTAAGTATTTTATATACTCCCTATTTATGAAGATTTTAAATTAAAATAAACTTATTTACTAATTTAAATTTCTTAATACATAAATTTATTGATAATAATAAGATGATTAGTTGGAATGGAATTATGGAAATGATACTTCCTAAACTAACTAAACATAATACTTATAAAAGGAAAAATTTAAATAAAGAAGCTAAACTTCGGGAGTTAAACATCAAAAATATAAATTAAACAGAGAAGCCAAATTTAAACGGTGAAGATTATTAAATAGCGAACTTCACGATAATATAGCTAATCTCATGATAAATAAGAATTTTAAAAAATATACCGCGAACTTTAATCTCCCAACCTCCAAACACCTTATTAGCTTTCATGTACAAAATTATCTTTTATAAATTTTTGTTTTGATTTATTTTTTGTATTTATAATTATAAATTTTTTATAAGAGTAATATATTTTTCATTTATGTCTTGATATTTATAAAAAAATAAATAATTTTCATTTAAAAACTATTTTAATTTCATATATTAAAAATATATTATCAAAATTTTATTTTTTTAAAATAAAATTAGGAAGAACTTTTTTACAAAATTCTGAAATTAAGTTTCATAAAATATATATATATATGCCATTTTATTTAATAGATATTATATAAAAATTGCTCTAATAGGGTTATTATATTTTCAGTATCTTTTTTTATAAAAAAATATTAAAAAAAAAATGTAATAAAAATAAATAATAACATTGATTTGTATATTGATTGGTTTTTTAAAAATAAATTAATGAAAAAATGAGAAAATATATATATATATATATATATATATATATATATATATATATATATTTTATTATTTAAATTATTTTTTTATATATTTTACATCTTCATATATCTTTAAAAATAGATAATAAATGAATTAATTTTATATTTTACTATATAAAAATTTTATTTATTCATATTGATAGTTTTTAAAATTTAATTTAAAAAATATGATATTTTATTAAGATCATCTAATTAATATTTACATATTTTCTTTAAAAAAAAAAAAAATTATTTAAGTTTATATGATAAATATAAAGATTTATTTTTAACAATTAAATATTATGTTAATATATATATATATATATATATATATTAAAAAATTATCTTTAACTATTAAAAAATTAATTTCAAAAGAAAATGCAACAACAAGATTTTTAATAATAATAATAATAATCATAATCGAATGAAAAATTAAACTAAGAACAAGAAGATTTAAATCTCATAAAAAGCGTTATTTATGGAAACTAAGTAAAAAATTCATATGGATGCTTTCGTGCTTTTTGCAGTGCTATATCAAATGTAGGTGAGAAATCATATGTATATTCAAAATAATATATTTTTCTAAATATATAAATATAAATAGATCAAATAGAAAAGATCTTAAATTACCTTAAAGAAAAAATAACTTTTAAAAATATAATAAAATTGTTTATTCTTATAGATTATAGTCTAACCCCGGAACTTTTGTTACTTAAGATAACATGATTAGAATTGAAGTTATATTTTTATTTTAACATTAAAATAAAAAATCATAAAAAAGCCAAAATTCATAGAAGGATATTAAGATGATAGTACTATAGAAGGTTGTGGAGAAAAGCTAATGCATTTATTACAAAAATTTAGTAAACGAAACATATATATAAAAAAATACAAATAAAAATATATTTATTTGAAAAAAAGATGTTGAGAATGTATTAATTGCTGTTGGTATTGAGTAAAATAATTAATTGAGTATATTCGATACTTCAAATTTTAGAATAATTGTAGAAAGAGCGAAAGTAATATTTATTTAATAATAATAAATTTTAGATTAAAAAAAAGGATTTATTGAATAACCTTTACTAAAAAGTTGTTCAGTCTTAATCTGAAATTAAAAGTATTGAAAATAATAAATTTACTCTAAATTAAAAAAAACTTTAAAATAAAAACTTTAGAATAAAAAAATAAATTTATCAACTTGCATATATTTAAAATGAGCCTAAAGTTATTGATAAAAAAAATAATAGACCTAATCATATATTTTACAAATAAAAACCTACTTTTTTAGATAAAATTAGTTAAAATTTAGAAAGTGAAAGTTCTTAAAGAAAAAGAAAAATTTAAAATTTAAGTAAATTTAATTTTTATTAAGATATAATTATTTATTTATTAAGACGAAAAATTAAAAATTCAAGCTTATTAATTAGAAAAAATTCTAACAGCATTAGATTAAAGAGATTATTTACAATTAAAATTTGCTATTTAATATGACTAAAATAAATTAGTAAAAAAAATTAAAAAGAAAAAAAAAATATTAATTTTAATAAAAGACTGAAAAGTTATTATTAATATTTTTAATAATATGTGATATTCCCACAAGGTAAAATAATAACTTAAAAAAATTAAATAAAAATAAATAAATAGAGAATAACTTGCATACGAGTACGATTTGAAATAAGTTTTAGAAAGCATAACAGTAAATAATTTAAATGATAAAAAAATAAAATAGATATATGAAATGGTAAGAGGAGATAAGAGATTAACAATAAAAACTATGAATTAAATTAATGAATCATTCGGACCATTATTTGGATTTATTTAAATATTAATAAGAAGTTATGAAAACTGTTAAAAATAAAAAAACTTTTAGAAGAAGAAAAAAATTATTAATACAACGAAAATAATAAGAATTAAGATTAATATAATAATAGCTTGCCAAAAAACAAAAAAGTAAAAAATTATTAATTTCTAATAACTATAAAAATAAAAAAAGATATTTTTTATTTTTTATAAAATATATAATTATTTTATTTATTATTAAGACAATTAAGATAAAAACAATAAATAAAAGAATTTAGAAATAGTATCATAGAAAATGAAAATAAAATGCTTTTTAAAAATTAAAAATTGAAAAATATAAATAAAATTAAAAAAAAAAAAAATTATAATATATATTTATTTATTAATTTTATAATAATTATAAATTAAATATAAAATAAATTATAATTTAATATAATATTTTATATATAAAATTTTTATTGTTTATATAAAAATATTTTTTTATTAACTAAGATATTTTATTAATAAAATATATCTATATAAAAAAAAATTATATAAATATATAAATATATAAATATATATATATATATAAATATATAAATATATATATTTAATTATATTTTAATTATTTAATTGAAAAATAAATATATTATATTATTTTTTTATAATTAATTTTTATTTTAAAAATTAAATTTTAAAATTTGAAAAATATATATTACATTATACAAACCAAAAACACAATAAATAAAAGAAAAAACAAAATAATATAAAAAAAACAAAATTATCGAATATAAAAAAAATCACATAAAAAAAAATAAAAATAAAATGCAAGAAGATATTTATAAAGAATTGTAAAAGATTAATCAATTATTTAATTTTTCTTAATATACTATTGAATAAGCTTTGATTTTATTTCAAGATTATTAAAAAAAAACAAAAAACTATGTAATATAAATTAATATTTATACTAAATTAATTTTACATTATACAAAAAAATAAAAAAGATTACAACTGATTTATTAAGTTCTGTATTAAAAGCTATTTTATTCATATGCTCAAAACAATAGAAAATCTAAATAAGTATAAATACAATAATAAAAGATAAACCAGAAAAATTAGATGAAATTATATTGATATTTAAAGAATTAATTAAATTCAGTGTTTTAAATTAAGAAACCCGTGAAGAAATAAAAAATCTCACTGATCAATTTTCCTTTTTATTAACAATTTATAGTAAATTTGAGAAGATATTTGTATTTTTAGATTTTAAAGAACAAACATTCACATAAAAATCTTTTAATAAATAAATACAAAATTTAGCTTGGCTTTTATTTATAATTACTAAACGTAAAAATATAAATATAAAAAAATATTGATTTAATAAAAAAATAATTATTTAAATAAAAAAAGCTTAAAATACCAAATAATAATAAATTATTGAAACAACTTTTTTATTAATAAGCATTTTTGATTATTTATTAAGTAATTTAGAAAAAAGTCATTGCAATTTTTTAGAAGAAAATAAATAAAAATATTAGGAAATTCTTTTATAACATTTTTAAGTTTTTGATACAGATACATATAATAATATATAAAAGATTTTTTTGAACAATAAAGTAAAGCATTTATTTTATTATTTTCATTAATAAAAAAAAAAATAGATTTTTGAAAGCAATATATTAAATCTAGTTGAAAATGATGGAATATTTAATATAAAAGTTATTGAATAGAATATTTAGATATTATAGAGTTATTATTATAAAAATATTATGAAAGAATTTGATGAATAGTTTTTTATTTCTTTTAAAAAACAATCATGTAATCCTAATAATTTCACACCTTTTAGTCGATAAGGAAACTATAATAAACGTGTTGCATAATTCCCTATTGAAAAATTTAACAAAATATATTAAAATGAGAATATAAATCCTAACGAAAGTAAGTAGATATTCAAAAACAATAACAGTAAGCTTTCTTCTTAGAGGTTTTTGAATTATGAAATGTGCTAAAACAATAATACTAATATTAAATAATCGATTTCAGATTATAAATTTCCTTTGTAAAATTAAAATAATAATATTACTTCACCTTATGTCATTAAATAATTAGCTAAGCCAAATGCTACTCCTGTTACTAATGCAATCTCGTATAACTTCGTATAATGGTTAAATTAGAAAAAATAATAAAACTAATAAGTAAATATATATATATATATATATTATTAAAAAAAAATATTAGGAAATAGAATTAAATAAAAAAATTGAAAATTTAAGCAATTGGCTAAATGAGAATTTATAAAAAGTTGTAGATTGCGAAAAATAAGAAATAAATGTTTTAGAAATCAAATCTTAAGAATAAAGAAAACAATAAATACAAACATTATTTTATAGGTAAAACAATAATATATATATATATATTTTTATTTTTAAATTAAAAAAGAATTCTAAATGAATACTATTAAGAAGAAAAAAGTATAGATATAAATATTTAGAAAGGAATTTTAGTATGTGCTTGTGAATCTGTTTATTTTATATTGAATATAAAAGGAATGTTTTTTGAAAAGATTGTTAACTTAATATAAATTTAAATGTTTGAGTTATGGAAAATAATGGATTTTTATATGAGATTAGATAACTCTATGCCTCTTCTTTTAAAAGCACATATATTAGATATAGAAGTAAAGTAGTTTCGTATTATGTATGGAGATAAAATTCTTAATTAATATAATTTGTAAAATCATACATAAATAATACTGAATTCGCCAAACAATTAATTAATGATAAATAAGAAGGACAAAATATAGAAGTAAAATATTTATTTATATAAATAAAATATATAACAAATAATTTATTTAAAATAATAGAAATTCTTTAGAAGATTGTTACATTAATGTGCTTATATAATAAATTAAATATGTTCATAATTAAAGTTAAATGAAAAAATAAGCGAAGCAGTATGGATTACAATGAAGCACATATTAGGAAATTAATCTGAATTGTTAATAAATAGACATATTGATTAATTAATATTATGTTGCATTTATTCTTATTGTAAAATCTGCAAAATAAATATTTTATTTAAATCTATTATTTAAGTTTATGAAGTAATTATTGTTTATTTTATTTATTTAATTAAAAAATATTATTTTATATAAAAACAGAATCTTAATTAACATAATAGTAATATGATAAGAGAACTTATTTATGATATGCCTTTAGGAGAAAACAATAAAACAGGTGACATAGTGACTTTATACAATAATATATTTATTTAATCTGTGAAAAATTATATTCTTAATACAGCTAAAAATATTAATTCTACAAATGAAATTATTAATAATACAAATCAAATCAAAAATCCTGCAATTACAACTCCTATATTCACTTCTCCATTAAAATCTATGCTTCCTTCAGATGTTAGAAAGTCCCTTTAGAAAATGCCAAATCATGTAACTCCTTAAACATAAATGCTTTATGCATATAATGAATCTCCCATTTTGAGAACTAATGCTTTTGCGAAATTTTAATCAAAAAAAATGATAAATTTTGATGATATTAATTAAAAAAAAAATAATAAATAATTAGATGCTATTATTGAATCTTATTAAGAAAACGAAGCTTCTAATTTTATTAAAAATAAATGTAAAATATATATATTTTATAAATTTATAATTTTTTTTTTTTTTTAGTTATGAAATATACTTAAATTAATGAAAATAATAATAACGATAATAATTAATTTTGTGCTACTTATATTAGTAATAATAGTAACCTTAATACTTCTTGTTCTTCTACTCCTATTATTAAATAAATTAATAATGTTTCACATTGCAAAACTTAATAGAATGCAAAATTATCACCTGGGATTCTCAATAATATTAGTAATTAAAATATTTAATAATAATTGTGTAAATCTCCTAATGTTCAAATTAATAATAATGACAATAAATAAACTTTTTAAAAGAATCTTTTAAATAAATTTAAGTGAATTTAAAATTAATTAAAGAATTTTGTGTGAATTTTTATGTTTTTATATTTCAAAAAAAAAAAAAAAAAAATATAATTATATTTTTTTAATTTATATTATTATAAAATTTTTTTTTTCAATTAACAAATAAAAATTTAAAAATAAATATTTATTTTAAAATATAAAGACAAATATATTTTATAATTTTAACTTTTTAATATATATATATATATTTATATTTAAATAATTATTTTTTAATATATTATTTTGAATTTTATTAAAATCAAATTATATATATATATATAAAATTATTAATAATATTTTTGTTAATAATATATTTTTTTAGAAATTTAATTAAATTAAAAAAAATTAAGTCATATAAAATTATAATTATTTTTTTTTTTTATCAAAGTAATTGAAAGATAATTAATTATTATACAATATTTTATATTAATTTGATTAATAAAAATGAATAAAACATTAATTCAATTAAATTAAAGATAATTTTTTGTTATTTTACTTGATTAATATATTTATAATTTAAATATAAAATTTAAATTTTAACGGAATTTAAATCTGTTAAATAAAAAAATTCAAAAAAATAAAAAATATAAACATAAAATTTTGAAAATTAAAATCAAATTTTAAAACTAATATTTATGTGGGAAAAATAAACAAAAATAAAAAATAAATAAAAAATAAATATAAAATAAACTAATAAAAAAAAAATACAAATAAAAATATGAAATAAAGTCTTATAAAAGAATCATCCACATCTTAATTAAAATAATAAAATACATCTTTATTAATAATGTAATAATAAAACCTAAATAACTTCAAATAAAAACCATTATAAAGTCCAATTATCACTAAATAATTCCAAGACTAAGTATAAAACTTGAAAACGACATAAATTCTTTAAATAATAGCCGCAGCTTAAAAAAAAGAAAACCAAAAAGTTGAATTATCTGAAAATAAATAAACAATAATATCAAATTAGCGATCTCCAAATATACAAAAATCTAAATTATTTACCTAATAAACACCTACTTCTCACAAAAATTCTTAATCATAAAGTAATAGTAAATTAGTACTGACTGGATAATTAAAAACTGAATCTTAACATTATAAGAAACAATCTTTATTTTAAAATATTGAAAATATATAAAAACCAAAAATTGGATCTTTTTTAAAAGAGTAAAAAGTAGTGAAATAATTTGTTTCACCTTAAAATAAGGAAATCAAGTAAGATTTGGTGAATAAAAAATTGAATTAAAAAGATCTACTTTCTTCTGAAAATAATGAATCTTTTTCATCAGAAAGCAATTTTTCATAAATATTGGGGTTTTCAAATAATAATAATAATACTAAGACATTTTATTGTATTAATCATTCTAATAAAAAGGTATTTTTTTATTTTATTTTTTTAATAAATTTTAATTTAAATAAAAAAATAAGGCTAAATATAAATCACAAACGAATTTTTTTTGTACAAAATGCGCAATAAAATAGGCTTAATAATAAACAAAAATAATATAAATTTCTGAAAAATTTCCTTAAAATTCTTGTAAAGAAAATTTCTAATATAAAGACTTGGAAGGAAATGAGGCTTTAAAATTATAAAAAATTGATGATTTTTTGGAAAAAATAACATATAAAGGTCCTTTATGGGAAGAATTAAATCATTCTTTAATAAAAAAGAAAAAATAAGTGAATGATTTTTATGAAAAAGAAAAAAAAAAATCGAAAATACTTATGAATAAATTCTTGAAATTTTTAAAAAATCAAAAAATGAAGTTTTAGAATAAATTAATTAAAGTAAAGAAAAATAAATTAGCGAATATTAGAAATGGGAAAAACAAAGTAAAGAAAAGCTTACAGACTATTTAAATATAAAAGCTGATATTTAAATGAATAAAGATAATATTATAAACTCAATAGAAATGGAAAATTTTGTAGAAATCATGTAAAACTATTCAGACAAATTAGAAAAAAACTCCCTTTTTTATTAAAATATGTAAAATTAGGGTCTTAATTTGGTTAAATTTGATTAAAATAAATGTTTTTTTTTCTTCTAACTTATTAATTAGGCTTTCTGTTTAGATAACTTTGCGTGTAGTCTAGTTTAAAGGGAAGATTTTTCAGTTTAAAATTCACCAGAAAACAAAAAAAGTAATTTTTTTTAAATAATGAGGATGCTCTTAGAAAAGATATTCAATATGTTAGTTTTGGAACATTAAGTAATAATAATAATAATGGAATGTTTTTATAAAAAAACAGTCTTCTTTTTAATTAAGAAAACATTACTAACCTTTAATAAATATAAGAAAAAAATGAAGAAAAAAGCCAAACTAATACACCAACAACAAATGAAGAAGAATAAAATTCACATAAAAATATAAAAATGCCTTTCAGAAATCTTTTCGAAAGCGAGAATTTAACAAGTTCTTCTTTTGGAAAAAATACTAATTCTTTTAATAAAATTTCACTTTGGAATATATCAAAATCTCCAAGATATACTTGTTTTGAGGAAGATATGATAATTGATGATTTTCTTTAAAATAATGAAATTATTAATACTTATGGAAATTAATAATTATAAAGTAATTAACATAATAGTAATATTATTGGTGATGATTAAAAATTTCATCTTTTTGATTAAAATTTTGATAATTAAAATGTTATTGTTATTCATGATGATGATTGTGAGGTACTAACTGATAATAATTGATTATTATTATTTTTTTTAATGTTTATATTTTTATTTTTTGTACAATATTTATTTATGTTTATAATTTTTTGTTATTTTTGTTATTTTTTTTAAGATTAAAAATATGAAAAAAATATTAACTTTTTTGACTTTTATTCATTAAAATATAAAAATAAATACTAAGTTTAGGCTTTAATACAATTTTAGTTTAAAGATAAGTAAAATAATTAATCTAAATTTAATTAAGAGTTTGTTGAATAAGCAATTGTTTCTTCTTTAAAGTGCATTTTTATTATATAAAAAATTCATTAAAAATAAAATAAAAAAAGAAACATGTATGGAAATTTAGATTCAATTTAATATTAAATAAAACTGCTTAATTGTGATATTGAATAAATGAAAGCAGAAATCGAAATAAATGGCGAGTATAATTTTATATATTTATTTTTTTATATTAATTAATAATAGATTATTTATTTAATTTTGGAGTGCTTTTACATTAAATAAACAATAAAATAATATAGCTTATAAAGCAATTTTGAACAGAATTTAAATAGAAGATATTTTAGAATGAGAATATATATATATATATATATATATATATAAAAAAACAGTTTTATAATATTAAATAAATATATACAAAGAAAAAGAAAAAATATTTATATCTATAATTCTTTAAAAAAAAAAAAAGTAATTTATATATTTATGTATATAAATCATAAATTAATATTCTCAGCAATAAATTCAAGCAATTAAATAAAAAATCCTTTTAGTTAACTAATTGAAAAAGTAAGAATACTATAGAAATCCTCACAGTCATAATAAGTTTAATCAATGACTTTTTTATTTTGAATAATAATAGGGTTATATTCCACATCATCTGTATTATCAATTTAGTATAAATAAAATTCAAATCTAACGTTATTTTTTTTTTTTAAATAACAAAATAAAATCCATCTACCATTTAATCATTATTATCTTACACTTTTTAAAATTTAAATTTAATATCGAAAATTTTTTAAATGTTTTAAAATTAATCTAATATTTCATTTATTAATTATTAGTTAAAAATATTTTCTGGCTCTTATTATTAAATTTTTATTGACTTTTCACTTTTTCGTTTTTGAAAATTATCAATTCTATTTTCTTAATTATCGCTTTCTCGTCTATTTTTATCTATATGTTTTTTTATTTCGTTAATATCTAATACTTATACTTCCTAAATGGGCTTATTTTATATTAGATTTAATGATTATTATATTGAATTTAACAAATTTTAATTACTTTTTTCGTACTCTTGTATTTATTTTTTCAAATGATTTAGCCTTTATTATTAATTAACTTCGAACTAACTTATTATATTCGTCAATTCTTCATTTATATTATTATTTGCATTTGAATTTAATCGATTTTAGTTTATGTTTTAGAATTCATTTGTAAATATGTTTATTTCACTTGTTGGTTACATTTATTCTTTTTACAAATTTAAATTTTCAGCGATTTATTATTATTAAATGGGTCTTTTTTTATTTTCTTTCATATTTTTTTAGTTTCAAATTTAAATTTTTATTTTGTAGTAAAAAAAAAAAATTAACAATACATATAATTTTTTATTTTTTTTTAAATAGAAATATATAACATGTTTATAAATGTTTTAATTTTTTTTTAAAAAAAACAAAAACCGGGAACAATTAGTGGAGATTGACCTTTTTAAATTAATTTAATTTAAAAAAAATAAAAAAATCTCTAAACAAGTAATATATATGTATTTTAGTAAAATATTAATGTTTTTATTTATTAAGAAAGCCAAAATTTTGATTTATGTTCACTTACTATAGTATTTTATAATTGTTATTAATAGTAAAAGTACATATATTGTTATTATAATCATCATATGTATTTAAAATAATAGAATAGTTTGATGAAAATGAAAATTAAGAAATATTATTAGAATTTTTTTATATACATTTAATTTTTTTTTAAAATAAAATAAAATAATAATTTGTTTTGTTTATAATTTTAAATAAAAATATATTTTTTGTATTGTTTTCTTTAATAATTTAATTATTTTTCTTAATCTTCAATATTTTTAACAAAAAGTGTATATTAAAAATATATATTTTATGAATATTATTTTTTAGTATTTATATTTTAAATAACTATATTAAACACAGTAAAAAGACCATTAATCTTTTTTTTTTTATAGATTGAATTTTTAAAAAAAGAATAATAGAAAAAATTTAAAAAAATAATAGGAAATGTAAATATCTGTATTCGCTTTTTTTTGATAAATATTATTTCGCTCTTTATATTTGCCTTTATAATATCAAATTTTTCAATATAGTCATTCGAGCTGAAAAAACAGCACTTTTTGATAAATTATGTTCAGGAAATTACCTTTTTACTCCTAAATTATTAAACAATAGAAGAGAAAGGAAATAATTATCAAATTAAATTATTTAATATAAGACTATGTTATGAACAAAAAAGCTAAAATAGTATGTTTAGCCTAATTTTGTTTCCCCTTTTTCGTCTATTAATATATTATAAGGTCTCAAATCTGTATGATAATCTCCTTTTTTGTTCCAAAAAAAAAGAAATGATTAAAGGTTTTCAGTTAAATATAAAATTACGTCTTTTATATAAAATAATTGCTTTACTTTTCTATAATTATTCCAGATTTTAAGTTATTTTTAAAATGCTTTATATACAATTGAATAATTTATATATTTACATAATTAAAATAAAGAATACTACTTCTTTTTAATAATAAATTTTTTAAATATTTAGATATTCTATTTTACTTCAAATTTCTATATATTTATTGGAATGTCTTCAGAAAACATTTACATTTATGGTTTTTGGGTTCTGTATATAGTTATATTTAGCCATATCTTTCTATATTTGTCTATGGTTATTTTATTAATTGTATTTAGAGGTTCTAATTATTGGTTAAATTGTATATCCCATTTTTTTATTATTTTTATTTTTTTATATAATATAATATAATGTTTTGTTAATTTATTTTTAGAAAAGGAAAATATTTTAGATATTTTTTGTTGTGTTTTTTTATTTTATTTCATAAATTAAAATTTTTAGAAATATTTAATTATTAAATAATTATTTAATGAAATATCCAAAAATAATAATAAAAAAAATATAAATATACGAATTTAATAAATAAATTAATTTTTTTTATAAAAAGATTAATTTTATAGAATTTCAATACAAAAAATACAATAAAATTAAATATAAATAATATATATAATAATTATTTATAATAAAATTTAAATTAATATAAATATAAAATTATATTTAAATTTTTATGTAAAAAAATATATATTATCATTTTAATAATATTATAAAGAACAGAAAAAATTAAAATTATTATATATATTATAAAAAATTTCGTTAATAAAATATATAATATAATTAATAATTTTCTAAAAAAAAATAAACAGAATATAATAAAAAACATATTTTTTTCCACATAAAAATAAATAAATAAAATGATACTAACATTTATAGTAAAGTAAAAAATAAATGTATATATATTCTATAAAATATAATCTAGTTTAGCTGGATTTATAACATTATTTACAAACACTTGTAAAAAAATATTTAATAATAATATAAAATAAGAATTACATGAACGATAATTAATGAAATGGTAATATAAATTTTATAATTTATATTTTTTTATTAATAAAAAAAGGATTGTATATATATTTTTTTTTATTTTGATCAATTATTTATTGCATTTGCAAATATAATTCCCTTTGGATTTTATGTTTATTCATATTTTAAATTTACAATATTTTTTAGTAAAACCGATGTAAAACAATAATTAAAAAAATAAATTATATTAATATTAGTTTCATATAAGAATGTTAAAAAAGATTCTACAAAAAGCTGATCCAGAACTTTTAAATACATTTATATAAGCTTTAATTGCACGTATTATAATTAGAATAATGCATAAAGTAAATATTATTTATAATACAAAAAATGCATATTATTATTATTTTTTATAATAGACTTTTATTGCTTTAAAATATTTAAATTTACCAATTTCAGAAAATGATTATTAAATCACATAAGAAATAAGTGAATATTTTTAATAATATGACCCGAAAATAATAGGAAATTCAGCTCTTAATAATACTACTTTTATAGGAGAAAGTAGTTGTTTAGTAGATGATACTATGAGTAAGGAATTACTTGAAATTAACAAAGAAAAAAATTTATAAATAGAAATTGAAAAACATAAAAAATAAAAACATATAATTGTTAATAATGATTAAAAAGATGATTTAGAACTTATTAAGTAATTAGATTAAGGAAAAAATAAAACCAAAAAGTTTAAAAAGAAATTTCAAGTATTATTAAAAATAGTAATAAAAATATTAATTCTGGCTAAGCTTATGAAATTTATAAGCAAAAGCATATAAAATTTGAAAAAAATAAATGAGAATAAAAAATAACTGCTTTTTAAAATAATTTTTTGTTTTTTAATTAAAAATTATATATTTTATTTATAGTAAATTAATATATATAAAGATCTTTAATTTTTAAAAGTAAATTAATAAATATATTATCTTAGTTTATAAGTATATTATTTTTTGTTTTTCTCAAATATATTATTTTATTTATATTAAATCAATCTTAATAATTATTTAGAAATATAAAATACTAATTCTAATTATCTATTTATTTAAAAAGTTACTTAAAAATATTATATTTATTGAATAATATATTGAAATATTATATGTATCACAATTAAATATTTTTATATTTAAATAAAATAACATATCTTATTTTTATTTTTCGAAAAAAGAAAAAAAAAACAAACATAAAAAATGAAAAATTTATCAAAAATTATTCTGCCAAAATACCATGCATAAGTAAATTAATAAATGCCAAAATAATATTCAAATTATGAAGATTATGAAATCTAATGGGGGTAAACATATATATAATTATTTTAATAAGAGAATTTATTAACAAATAATTATAGATAGCAAGATGATTATGAAGTATTAAAAAATATTGGTAAAGGTAAATATTCCGAAGTATTTGAAGGAATAAATGTAATAAATAAGTAAAAAGTTGTAATCAAGATATTAAAACCTGTAAGAATAAATAAAATAAAAAGGGAAATAAAAATACTTTAAATGTTAAAAGGAGGTCCAAATATAATAGAATTATTAGATGTAGTTCGTGATAATTCATCATAAACTCCATCTTTAGTAACAAAAAAAATCAAAGCAATTAAATCAAAACAAAAATAAGATATTTGAATATATCGAAAATACTGATTTTAAATCTATGTTCCCTAAATTAACTGATTTTGATATTAGACATTATTTATATGAAATATTAAAATCTCTTGAATTTTGCCACAGTAAAGGCATTATGCATAGAGATATTAAACCCTAAAATGTTATTGTTAATCCTAAATTATAAATACTTAAAGTTATTGATTGGGGTTTAGCAGAGTTTTATCATCCTTATTAAGATTATAATGTCAGAGTATCTCATTAATTTTATAATTTTTTTATTTTTTATTAAAAAAGGTTGCTTCTAGATATTTTAAAGGGCCTGAATTACTTACTGATAATATTTATTATGACTATTCTTTAGACATTTGGAGCACAGGATGCTTATTTGGAGCTATGGTTTTATATATATAATTAAATACAATTTTATGTTTTTTTAATAATTGTTAGATTTTTATGAAAGAGCCACTTTTCTAAGGACAGGATAATCGTGATTAATTAGTTAAAATTGCGAAAATATTGGGGACCGAAGATTTATTTTAATATGTTTAAAAATACGATTTAAAATTAGACCCTTATTATAAAGCTTTGGGAAAGTAAATATAATTATATATTTATTAAATTATTTTAATAATTCGCTTTTTTTTTTTTAGTTAACCTAAAAAATAATGGAGTAATTTTATCAATTAAGAAAATAAATAAAATTGTAATGAATTAGCACTTGATTTGTTATCATAAATGCTAATTTATGATCATGTATATTATTTTTTATTATTTTCTTTTTTTAGTTTTAATTAAAAGGCTTTAAGAATAACACCTAAAGATGCTATGTAACATCCTTATTTTGATTTAATTCGAAAATAATAAAATTAATGAGATATAAAACAACTATCTGCTGTATAATATAATATTATTTTTATAACTTGTAAAATTAAAAAATGAAGATTAAAAACTTATAAATAAACAAAGAAGAATATTTATATAAGACTCTTTATAAAAATTTTAAATAAACTTTTTTGTCTAACAAATTGAAAATTAAAAAATTTGATATTATTTTTCATTTTTTTTTTGTTATAAAAATAAAAAGATTTTAAACTAAAAATACATTTTTTTTAAAAAAAAGCAAATTTAAAGGTAATTCTTGTAAGATGAAAAATTAAAAATCAAACTTTTTATTTTTCATTTAAATACTCTTTTGAAATTTATGAAGCTTTTTATTTAATTTAGTTAAGTATTTCCTACTTTTATAGAATAATATTATTATCAATATTAATTTCTTTTAGTTTATCTTATAAAACAATTTCAAAATAATTATCATTTTCATTATTATTTTCCAGAAATTCCAAAAACTAATTAAAATACACAAATATAGGTTATAACTATGCCATATCTGATAATTAATTTCTAATAAAGATATCACCTTAATATAGATTACTATAAATAATAAAAATAGGTGTATTAACTAATTTTAGATCAAAAATAAGATTTTAGAAAATAGCATTTTTTTTAACAAATTCAGAATACTTCAAACTAAAATACATTTTATGTAATAAAAAAAGTTATTTGTCTTTTTCGATACACTCATATTCGAAAGTATCAATAATATTAATGTATTAATAGGAGATAAGATTTTCAATAAGAATAGTATTTTCTTACATATTTTTTTGAATATGGAAATTAAGCTATATTATTTTATAAATACTTTCTATTTATAAACTAATTTTTATTTTAGTATAAAGTATAATATTTTTAATCATTTCATTTAATAAATTAACAAATTCCTTAGTCATTTATTTATCCATTTCTAAATTAAATTTCAAAGAATTAACAAAATAAGACCAAAAAACATCAATAAAAAGTTAAAATTAATAGATATAAACAGTATATATTTTATTTAACTTCTCAATATTATTTTAATAGGTGGAAATTTAGGTTTTTAAATGGAAAACTTTATAAAAGTTTTTTATTAAATTATTTCTTATTTTTACCTCACATAATTTATGATGAGATTTTTAAATTAAAAACTTTTTTGTCAAAAATTAATAGACAATATGGAATTAGAAATAGTTAGATTAAGGAATAAATTATTCGAAATGTAATAAAAAAATTTCTTGGAAAGGCTCGAAATTCACTTTTGAATTACTTTAGAAAAAAATGATAAAATTCTACAAAAAAAATATTTATTTGGTACTTTTTAGAATATTAAGTCCGACATTGGCGACTTCATTTAAAAATGCTTCATTTTTGTAATATTACAAATTAGATTTATGAGGAAAGTTTTAATATTAAATATTTTAAATATCTTAATTATCTAATTCATAATAAACAAGAGAATTATTTTTTATATTTTTTAAAATATCACTGAAGTATCTAATAAATGATATATCTTTTTACTATGCCATTTCGTAAACTCTTTAAAAAATAAATTTCGCTAATTATTTCTTAAAAGGAATTTTTTTACTTATAAAAGCCACAAAAAAATCCAATTACTATTTAGGTCTGTAATTAGGGGTTTCATTTATAAACCTATTTTATAATTTTATCATTACTTATTGAAGTTAGTTAATAATCATATTTTCATAACGAAATAACTTTACTAATGTATATATATCAACACTTGTAAACAAATCTACTTCTTTATTCATTAACACTTCTACCATTTATTATTAAAGTTTGTAATTTATTATAGTTTTTTTAAAATTTCCATATTAAGACAATATATAAAACATATTTATATGATTTTTTATATTTAAACTTAACATTTCTTGCTAATATCTTTCTATTACTATCTCATACATTTCTTCAGGTAACTCATTATCAAATTATACTAAGGTTTAAAATAAACTTAAGACACTTGTTATATTTTTGCTTTTCTTTTTTAAAAATTACATATTTATAATTAATATATAAATTTATTTGTTTTACAAATTTGTATATTAAAAAATTAATTAAAAATTTATAACTTTAGTGTTATTTTATTTATTATTTTGTAAGAAATAAGGGAGGATGTATGTTTATATTTGGATTTTGTTATTTGAATACCTCAAACTTTTTAATTTCCAAAATTTTATAGTTTTCTTCATTTTTGAAATTCAATTACATTTTTTTTATTAAAGAATAAATTTAAAGAAACGTAAAATGCCTTTTTTAATAAAAATTATTTTTTATATAATTAAAAATAAAAATTAATTATAGTTACTTTTAATATTTCATAAAGAAGTTCAATAATTTATTATTTACATTAATAGTTTATATTATCTAATCTACATCCCTTGTGCTTTCGGGTATTTTTTTCATTTCAAGTGTTTTTTCCTCATCATCCAATTATAATGTATTTTAAGATTAATTTTATTCATCAATTGGTTCTTCAATAATTGATTGAAGTTTTTCTTCGCTTAACTTTATTTCATCTTCTGTAACTTAAATATTTGTATCATCAAACATAATTTATTCTGTATCATCGTAAATATCTTGAATTTAATGCTATTTATCTAGATTTTCAAAGTCATCGAAATCTTAAAATTATTATTGTTAAGTTACAGTTTATTCAGATCCATTAGTTGATTATACAATTGAGATGTTTTTTGTAAATTTAGTTAATTTCAATTTAGAAAATTAAGATAACATTAAAAAGGGTTTTAGTTTAAATTTAAACATTTTTCTTAATTTTTTTATTTAATTATATAAATAAATACATAATTAAATAATATCATAAGAATATTTTTATTTTTCTTATATAAATAAATAAAATAATTATTATGTATATTATTTATAAAAAAATAATATTAACATATTATTATTTCTTTTTAATTTTATAAACTTTTAATTTATTTATTTTATCTATACTTTTTATTTAACAATAAATTTAAATTTATATATTTATATTAATGTAAATTATTATATTTATGATACTTAAAAATATTAAATCAAAACTAATAAAATAAGTTAATTTATAATTTTATTGTTGTTAATTAAAGAATTGAAATAAAGTTAAAAAATAAGTATTTATATTATTATAAAATATATTTTATATTTTAAATAAATATTATTAATACTATATAATTTCTTCTTATTAATTTCTTTTAATATTTTAAAAATTAAATAATAATCTTCTTTATTTAAATATTTTTAATAATTAAATAAAAATTTAATACATTAAAAAGAAATATTTTAACTTTTAAAATAAAAGCTAATCATATATTTTTTTTCATATAGACAAAGATAATATAAATATTTGCTTTTTCATAATCTCTTATAGTTTATAGAAGCATATAAAAATATTTCATATAGTCATTATAATTATAAATTAGATTAATTTAATCTTATAATATATATTACATTTAATAATGATGATTATTTATTTTTATTAAAAACATAATCGAAAATAAAAATGCAATAATCCTTTATTTTTTTGCATTTAATTTTATTTTATTTTTTGAAAAAAAATTACATAAAATATATAAATAATTTTAAAAATTAATATATATCTAGTAAAATTAATTAGTTTTTTGATATTCATTAAACTAAAATTATTCCCATTTAATTTTTCAAAAGAAAAGAACTCGAAACAAATTAAAATACTATGAAATATTAATACAATTATAAGAAAAATTAATTTTGACAATTTAATTTTTTTTAAGTATTATTAAATTCGTTTTTGATTCAATTAAATTTTAAAGTAAATAAAATAATAAATCTTAATATGAAAATAATTTAAAGTTTATTATTATTACAAAAAATATATTTCTTTTTTTTAAAAATGTTTTTAACTTTATTTTATTTCACTTATTAATATTAAGATTGAAAAAATACAAAAATATATATGTTTTATGTTAGAATCTAATATATAATTTCTCTCTTTTACTTCTAAATTAAAAAAACATATTTATTACATAATTTTAATAATAATCTTATTAAAAATTAATTAAAATACAAAAATTTAAATTTTATAAAATAAATAATAATTTACAAGTTATTTAATCTAAAAATACATTTATTAATATTTTTTTATTATTTTTTGAAAACAAATCAAATTATATAAATAAAGCATTAAAAATTTTATTTATATAGAATTATTAATACATTAAAATAAATATAAATATAATTAATTAAAATTTAAATTAATTAATAAATATTAAATATAATTTATAAAAAATAATGGGAAAGATAATTACCTTATTAAAATAATGTGATTTATTTAATCGGCCTATTGGTTTGCATATGAATAATTCATTTTTTTATAGAACTTCTTTTGGAGGAATTATATCAATTTTATTTGTTATATTTATGATACTGTTTTCATACTCAAGTAGCTATAAAAAAAATAAAAAATAAAATAAAAAAAAATAGAATTCATATAATTTGTGAATAAAGATTAGGTGTTTGTAAAATTGGATAAAATATATGATAATAATCCTTTAGTATCTAATATAAGCTCAAATAGATTTATGTTTGCTTTAAGAATAGTTTAGAAAAATAATGATTTTCATAAAAGACCATATTTTAATATATCAGTTGAGCAAGGGTAAAATATTTTCTAAAAAAAAAATAAAAAAAGATTTTTTTTTTTTTTTTTTAAATAAAAAAGACATTTTTTATAAACAACTGGAGAAAAAAAATATCGATAAATAATTATGGAAGAATGTAAAGATTATCATTGGAAATAATTAAATACGAAATCAGATTTAACTTCATAATTTTAATAACTAGGAGGAGATTTTATATGTCCAAATTTAAATCAAGAAATGGAAATAGAAGGAATGTTTGGAAGTCCTTCTTTTAAATTTTTGAGAATAAGAGTAGTTCCTTGTTAAAATTCTACAAACGAAAATAATTAAAAATGGAATCCTGTATGTGCACCGAAAGAACTTGTATTAAAAAAATTAAATAAATATAAATTTCTTTGTATTTTATAAGATTGAAAAAGAAGTTGAAAATAATGGTATTATAGGTATGAATATATTTCATAATAATAATGTATTGAATTAAGATTAATCAGAAAAATATTATACAGAGTTCATTAATACATAAATGTATTTTACTTTTGTCCCTTATAAAATGTCAAAAAAGGCAGATATTTTTATTTAAGATGTTTTAATTAAAACAGATTAATCTCTTTCTCCTTTTAATGATTTTTAAGATGAATGGAAATTGGTATAAAACTAAAATGATATTGTATAAACTATAGAATTGGAAAGAAAAGATGCTACATTTGTCGAAATTACTATAAGAAAAAGTCCTTATTAAGTAATTATTAATAGAGAATATAAGAAAATTTCATAACTTTTAAGTGAAATTGGAGGATTTATTAATATAATATTATAGATTATTACTGTAATTATGTATAAATATAGTGATTTTTATTTTATATTTGATTTAGCAAATAAGCTTTATAGATTTGATATAAAAAATTAAAAAATATAAAATTAAAAAATTGATAATAATATGCGGTAAAGAATAAGTACAGCAATTAAATAATCGGCTTCGAATTTAATATAAAATCCAAAATTCGTAAAATTAAAAAGAGTTGTAGAAAAAATAATAAAAAAAGATGAAGACTTTATAAATTATATAAAAAAATAAAAAAACAATGGTTTTTATTTAAAAAATATAATAAATGATATTCTTAATACAAATAAAAAATTAAAAATGAATTTTTCATATTTTTTATCGGTTCTAACTTGCAATAAGTTTTTCTTTAATTAAAATAATGCCTTTATTGAAAAAGCTGTTAAAATGATGCATAATGATTTAGATATTTATAATATTTTAGCAAAATTATAGTAAATTGATAAAATTAAATAAATTATTTTTAATTATGATTAGTTATAAATATTCAATTTTACTCCTAAACCACTAATTACATTAGCTAATAAAAGAACTAAATCTTTAAAAAGTTTATCTATTTTTGTGGGAAATATTTAATAAGCAACTCGAATCTTTAAATATAATAGTAAAATTAAAAAAAAAGAGAAAAGAAATTCGGGATTTATAGAAGAAAATTTATTTAAACCTGATAATGTCAAAGATTATTAAGTATTTTTTAATATATGCATTTATTTATTTTTAATTAATAAAATCAAAAGAAATTGTATGAAAGTTATTTAAATTTATTGTAAAGTGATAATTAAAATTAGTAATACTTTTATATAGGTTTATTTTTTATATTTATTTATTTTTTTTAAAAAAAAAAGAATAAGTAAAAACCTTATAAAATAATTAGATTTAAATATTGTGAAAATATTCTAATAATACTTTTAAAACTCTTAATAATAAATTTAGATTCATAAGCTTTTCATTACTAATAATAATAATAATTATTTCTAAAATCTTTAATAAGAAAAAACGAATATATTAAATTATAAAAATATTAATAGTAATGACACTAAACAATTTATGTCTTACTAATTTGAATAAGTTTAAAAAACAGAAACAATTAATAATGAATAACTATCTAATTAGAAGAAAACATATTCATTGAATATTTATAAATGATATAATCTTTTGAATTTATTAAATAGATAAAATTATAATCATTTCTATATTAATTTTAAAATATTTATAATTTATTTAATTTTTTTTTGACTTTAAGATTATTTGTATTAAACTTATAATTTATAAAATAGTTAATAAAACCTAATATATTTAAAATCTTATTTTCTAACTTTTAAAAATTATAAAAATAAAACGACTTAAACCTGATATCTTATAAATTATTTTAAGTACACATTTTAAAATTTTATATTATAAAAATAACAAAAAAAATAGAACATAACAATAAAATATATATATTCTTTTATTTTATTAATTCTTAATTCTTTAAATATTTATTATTAAAAAAAAATAAGAAAATAACTTTATATTTAAATCTTTTGTTTTACTATTAAAATTTTATAATACAAAAAATTTATTACCATATCATGTTTTCAATCTTCTTGAAAAAGAAATTGATATTATAATAACAAATAAACAGGAACATTAGTGTGCGTTAGTAAAAGTAATTTTTTTTTTTTCAATTACTGTTGGTAACTCAATCATTTCAACATTAATGGCTCTTTATGATTTATAATTAGATATTTAATTATTAAATAAATGAAAAAATAAAAATTTATTTATTGGGAAAAAAAAATTAAATAAAATTCTAAAAGTTAATATAATTTATTTTTATTCATATTTTTTAAAATAATTAAATAAAAATAGGTTTTTGCATTTCTGAATATATATAAAACCTCCTAATTTTAATTTATATCTTTTAAATTTTTATAATTTGTGTAATACACGTGAACTAAAATATATAAAAATTTATATATTACCGGTTAAAAAAAGGAAAATAAAGCACAATTTAAGCAATATAAAAGATGAAATTTTATAAGGAAGTATTAAAATTTACATGTGTAAAAAAATTAAAAGAAATTTTAATTACTAAAAAAGTAATTAAAAATATATTTTAAAAAAAAGGTTTTAGTGAAACATTAATATATGCATAAAAAAATAAGATAATAATAAGATAATAATAACAATATTTCAAAAAAATAAAATCAAAATTTAAACAATAGTAAAATAAAAAAAATTGTAAAATTTAAAAAGAAAATATATTTACAATTAATTAATACAATTTTATATTAATAATACGCATATATATAATATAAAAGTAAAAATTATATATATATATAAATATCAATATAAAAAAAAAAATATATCAATATATATATTATTTTTATACATATATACTTCTTAATTAAATAAAAAAATTATATAATTTATTTTATTTTGTCTAATTATTTTAATTTATTATATTTTATATTTTTAAATATTAGATATATATTAATTTTTTAATTTTTATTACTATTTAATAATAGTATAAAAATAATTTTAAAACTAAATTTAATTTAATTATTTAGTTAAAATATAAAAATAAAATAAAATATGTTATCATAAAAATATTAATTATATTTACAAAAATGTTATTAAAATAATATAAACAATATGATTTTTTTTTTATATTTTAATATTAAATTATTTTTTTATTTTATTTTTTAATAATTTAAATAGATTAATATAATTCAAAATAGAATTTATTTTATAAATAAAAAATTAAAAATTCTTTAAATAAATATTAGAACAAAAATTAATATTATTTTAATTTTTTATTATTTATATTTTATTCTGAAATAAAAACTAAAATATATATGGACAATTTAAATATTAATTATTATTTTATAATTATTTAATTTATTTTATATTTTAAATTATTTCTATGAAATTCTTCTAAATTGTATAATTAGTTTATATTTTAATAAAATTAATATTAATATATAAAATGAGAATTGCAAATATATAAGCTATTTAATAATATGAATAACAAAACACATTTAAATAGTATTTTTGATTTAGTACCTTATCTTTTAAGGATTTGAATATAATTATCATATTAATATTATATTTGGCTTTATAATAAATTGACTATATACTATCTCAAATTTTCGGACTTTTTTTCATTTAATTAATTAAATTTTTTATAAATATGTAATTATTATATTACTAAATTAATAATATTCTAAGAATATTATATTTAAATATATAGATAATGTTATTCATATAAATATTATAATCAAAATTTTATTATTTATTTAATATTAATATAATTTTATAAATAGTTTTATATATTAAAAAAAATATCTATTGAATATAATGGTTTAATTGTTTATATTGATTTTCATTTAAATTAAATATACAATAAAAAATGAAAAATATTAACACCATCATATTATATATGTGAATTAATAATACTGTAAAAATTCATCTCTACAGGTAAATAATATAATATAAATTTGTCTTTTTATTTGAAATATAATATATATATATATAAATATATAAATATATATATATATATATATATTATTTAATTGTCTATAATAATGTATTTTATAAATTTATGTGAGAACTAATTAATCAATAAAAATTATTTAGCTTAAGGAATTAAAGAACTAAACTAATTTTTAAAGAAAATAGTTTTATTAATCTTTTATACATATTATCATTATTAAGGTTTATTTTTTTAGAAAAATATATAATCATTGTTATATTGATTAAAAAAAATATCATATAATTTAAAAAATCAAAAAATTAATCTCTAATTTGTTTTAATAATAGTAGTTTCTTGTAAAAATTGTACAAAGTATTTTATTCTAAATAATTAACTGTTGTTGTTGCATAAAAATTATTATATTTCTACAAAAGATAAGTCTATTGTTATTAACATAATATTTCTTTTATAATAATTAATCAACTAATATGAAAAACGTATTTTTAAGAATATTATTTAAAACTATCATTAAAAAAGATATTTATTAAAATATCTTTTTCATATCTTTTAGTGATTAGTTTTTATTTATATTAAATAAAAAATTAATTAAATCATCATAAATTTAGTAAAATATTGCATAAAAAACTGTATTTTTATAATTTAATTTATTTTACTAAAGTTTTTATAGTATCATTATATTATTAATTATAATTGTCTAAGAAAATAAATGATATACATCATTGAAATATTTATATAAGTTTTATTAATAAAATATAAATATGTTTTTAGTTTAAAAAACTTATTACAAAATAAGTAATTTTTTTTTTATTTAAAAATATATAAAAATGATAAAAATAAAAAGATTAAATATTAAATATTAAATATTATTCGGAAATTAAATATGTTTAATTAGAATTTGTTTTAAAATTAAAAAAAAAATTAAAAGTTTTTAATATCTTATTAAAATATTTGTTAAAAATAAAAAATTAAAAAAAAAAAAATGTATGAATTATATTAAAAATTAAACGATGAAAAAAATAATTAAAATATAATATAATAAAAATAAAAAATATATATATAATATATAATATAAAATATTATTTAAATAGAAAAATTAATATATAATAAATTATGATTATAATAGTAATAATTAAAAATATATATAAATTTAAAATGAAAATAAAATAATAATAATAATAATAATAATAATAATAATAATAAAAGTAATAAAAATAATAATAATATTTTTTATAATATTAATTATATAAATAATAATAAAACAAAAATAAAAATAAATTAAATAAAATTAAAAAAATTATATCAAAAATAATATATAATTTTATATATTTATAAAAATTTTACTTCATCATTAATTTTTTTTATAATATTATAAATAATGGGAAATTGTCAAAACCTTTGTTAAACAATTGATTAAGAAACATAAACAAATTAAGAATAATAAGAAATAGAATAATTAAGGACAAAATAATAAAGCTAAAACTGAATCAATACAAATTATGATATAAATAATTAAAATATAAATACAAACATATAAGCAATAAACTAAAATTCAAATACAAACACAGAATCAATAAGTTAAAATTACGAAAGTGAATATGCAATAAATAGCAAGCAAAATACATAATAGCGTATTAAAATATCATCAATATTACTCAGTAATGGAATTATTTATGAAGGAGAATGGTATTAAGGAATGCGAGATGGCTATGGAATTTAGAGATGGCCTAATAGTTCTTAATACGATGGATAATGGAAACGGGATAAAAGTAATGGAATAGGAAAACTTATTCATTCTGATGGAGATATTTATGAAGGGGAATGGATTGATGATAAGGCAAATGGAAAAGGGACTTATTATCATATTAATGGAGCTAAATATATAGGTGATTGGAAAGAAGATAAATAAGTATTTTTTAATATTTTTTTTTAATATTAAATATAATAAAATAAATAAAGCATGGAAAAGGCATAGAAATATGGCCTGATGGGGCTACTTATGAAGGAGATTATATAGAAGGAGAAAAAAATGGAAAAGGGATTTTAAAATTTACGGATTAATCTTAATATATAGGGGATTTTAAAAACAATAGTATTGAAGGATATGGAGAATATAGGTGGATTGATGGAAGGATTTATATGGGATCTTGGAAAAATAATAAAATGAATGGATTTGGGAAACTTAAATGGCCTGATAATAAAATTTATGAAGGAAATTATAAAGATGATATTAAACATGGGTTAGGTACTTTTATTTGGGCTGATGGGAGGAAGTATATTGGATATTGGAATGAAGGTAAATAACATGGGTTAGGTATTTAAATTAATAAAGATGGAGTATATAAATATGGGGAATGGGATTAAGGGAAAAGAATTAAAATTTTTTTGAATGATGAAATTGAAAAAATGAAAAAAGAAGGTCGTTTTGAATTTGATAAGTTATAAAATTGATAATGTATAGATTTAGTTACTAAGATATTTTTTTTTATGATTTTTATAATATTTAGAGTTCAATTAAAATTATACTGTTTAAAATATAGATATTTTATATATATTAAAATTAAATGACTCCTCCTCTTTCTTTACTCTGATTTTTTTTAAAAAAAAATACAAGGTCTATGCTTAACTTTGATTTTAATTTATTATTATTTTTTTTATATGTATTTAAATTTTTATATTATTTTAAACTAAAAAACTCGTCGAAAAAATTAATTAATTTTTATTTTTTTAAAAAGAAGATATCGGAAGTTAATGTTATATCTTAAATAACAAAGATTTTACTATAATATTTATTTGTTTATTATATATATTTTCATTAAATTAATTTTCTATATTTCAATAATCGCTTGCACTTTCTTTATAATTCCTACATAAAGAACACCCTAAAGGTGTTTCTTGACCGTTTGGATTATGTTTTTCTTTAAAAGGACAATCTTTTCCTTTACATTTAGGTATTTAATTTTATATTATGCCAGCTTTGATATGACAAGGATCACAAAAATGGGTTGTACCACTTTTTTTATAAAGAAATATTTATTTATATATATTATATATTACATTTTATGATTTTTTTTTATTTTTCTGTATTTTTTTTAAAAGCTCAATCTAAATAAAAAAGGCAATTACCCTTTTTATGTTAAAGAATGAAGCTTTAAAAAAGAATACAGAATAAAAAATGAAAACAAGAGCAAATAATATATATATATATATTTACAAACAAAACCATACTGCTATAGAACAACAATACCTACATTTAAACTCTAAGAAATCTTATCCATGTTTTAGGCAGTTTTTTACTGGAATATCACAACAGTTTGGGCATACTAGGTCTTTGGGGTTATATTCTTTTTGATTTTCATTTAGTTATCTTTCACAATCTTTAAGACCTCCAAAGTAAGGGTTTTTACATTTAAAACACATATAATATGAATATATTGCCATTGAATATTCTTAATGATTTTTATAAAAAGGGCTTTTTTCGTCAGCCAATTTCGGTTCATTTTCTCTTTCTTCAGCTTTAAGTCTTTGTAATGACTTTTTTTTAAATTATGATTTTAAATAAATAAATTCCTTTTTTATTTTACTTTAATTTTTATTATATCATATAGTTTCGAACTTTCTTCAAGTAAATCGAAAAGGTCAAGTTCGGGTGGAAATTAAAGCCATTTTTTACATATAGGGCAAACAGAATAATTAAAATTAATTCTTGGAGTCAACCATTTAATTTCTAGCTTTTTTTTTATACAAGAATAATGAAAATAATGACCACAATTTGATTTAATTATTGGAGCATTTATTAATCCTTCAACGAAGCATATATTACAATAATCCTACCCTTTTACATTAGGATTATTTAATTTACAATTATCGAACAAGCAAGGTATACATTCTAATTCATCTTTTACTCCACAACAAGGATGTTCACACTATTTTATTTTTTACTAAATTAATTAGTATTATTTATTTACTTCAAGCATTTTCAAGCATGCATTATTTGATTTTGTTTAGCATTCATTTTCAGTACATATATCTTGTAAAGCTTTTGGTTTAGTTTTATCTATTTAATTCATTGTTTCATTACAGTATCTACATCGCCTAATATTTATTTATTGAAAATATTTTAAATTTAATAAAAAAAATACTTAGATTTTTAAAAATTTTTAAATTCATCACATAAATAGCCTAAATGATAAGGAATACTACTACAACCTTTACATTACTCTTATTTACAAGCATTATTTTAACACAAAAACCTATTTTAATTATAATGGTTTAAATATTTATCCGATAATTGATTTCCTTATTTATCTAAAACACTAGCATTAGGTGCACCTGTTTAAAAATCATATTTTTATTAACATTTTACACAAGTTACTATATTATATTGTTTTTCTAAAAGTCTATTTTCTAATTCTTCATATTTATCTTTGGAAATTATATTTATATAATCATCTTCAATTAATGATAAAGAACATTATTTGCATTTTATTTGTCCATTTTTTTATATAAATTCTTCTTAGATTTAATTTTATAAACATTATTTGCAATAGGAATGTAAACAAGTTATTAAAAATAAAATGTTATCCCCGTCTATATTTTGTTTACATGAATTACATTATGTTTTGTCTTTTTATTAGTCCTCATTGTCAAATTATTTAATTAGCTCTTTGAAATATTCATCGTCTTATTTTTCTTATGATTCTGATAATACTGTTGAATCTATTTCTGTTTTACTTTCTTGTTTTATTTATTCTTTATATTTTTCGTTTTATTTTCGTTTTAATTTTGCTCTTATTAATTTATTTTATCATTATTGTTTATTTATACACAATTTTTTTAAATATTCTCTACTATTATATCGTTTTTGTTATCATTATTATTATTTAAAAAATACTTTTTTTCAAGACTATTTATATATTTGCTTTTATCAAATAATTATGATATATTATAAGTTAGGTTCTAGTTTTATCTAATTAATTCATTTTCTATTTTCAATATATAATTTATAAATTCAGCTCTTAATGCATATAAGAATTTAGTTTCTAAATGCATTAATTCAATTTAAAAAAACTCTTTGGCAAATGGACTTTCATTTTGGAATTATTTACAATTTTAAATATGAAATATAAAATCTCTTTCTGATTTACCAGAATAACCTTATTATGTATTACAAAAACATCTAAATTATTAAGTTTAATACATATTTTTATATATATAAATTTTATTTATTTATTTTTTATTATTTTTTCAATAATTTATTTTTAGATTTTTAGTTTATGTATAAAATATAAATGATAAGAATTTATAAGAATATATTTTTAGTTTATTTGTTATTTTAAGATTTTAAATATTTCCTTTATATTCAATTAACTTTTAATTTTATAAATTGAAATATTTGCAAATATAATTTTTTAATTAAAAATATTATAAAGTTCAAATCAATTTACTTTTACAATTTGTTTATAAAAAAAATACTAATATTTTTTTTTTTCTTCTTAAATAATATCATTTGTATAGCAACAATATTATATATAATTTTATAAATATTAAATTTTCTAGTTAATTTTAAAAATATATATTTTTATATAAAAATAATATATATTACAAATCTATATTTAAATTTAAAAAATTTATTTGAGAATCTTTTAATTTTTATTTTTATTTTTTATTTTAAACACCTATTATTATCTTTATTACTAAATAAATACTTTATTAAATATAAATCTAATATTAATTAAAAAAAAAAATCTTTTTAAAAATAAATAAAAAAAGAAAAGCTTACTAATATTTTTTTATTTGAAAAAATATTCAAAAAAATTAAAAAAAAGAAACAAAAGAAAAATAAATTAATATTTACAATGTCGAAAATTAAAATTAAAATTAATTTTTTTTTTTTTTTTTTTTTTCTCATTCACTCTCTTATATTTTCCAAACACTAATATTATAATCATATGATCCTGAAACTAAGGTATCTCTAAGAGGTGATAATGAAAGAGCAACAACTGCTTTAAAATGATTTTTCGTTGTATTTTTAGGTTCCTAAGATAAAATATCATAATAAAAAATTGATCCATCTTCGCTACCTTAAATTAAGAACCTATCATCAAATGAAAATATTACATTTGATTAATAATTAGATGTATTATGCCCTGTATAACTATTCAAAACAAAGCCATTTTCTCTATCCAAAAGTCTTATATTACTATCCAAACAACTTGCCGCGTAAGTTTTTTTATCATTACTTAAAGAAAAAGAATGAACTGGATGTTTCATATCATCAGTAGTTAAAATTCCCATTCGAATATCAAAAGTGCGTATTTTTCCGTCTATACTTGAGACCAAAACTTAATGAGAGTCCACAACTATTTTCGAGACACTATCTTTGCATATTTTTATTGTGTCTATAGGTTTATATGAATGCGATTTTAAATCCCAAAAACAAATTTTACAATCATATGAACCTGTTATTAAAACAGACTCGTCATCACTATATACTATTGTATTTATTTTGCTTATATGACCTTCAAATTTTCTAAGGATATTTCCTGTTGATACATCCCATAAAAATGCAACTTTATCTCCTTTTTTAATTATATTTAAAAAAAATAAAAAAAAATTATATTAAAAAAAAACCTCCAGCAGAGCCAAATTTGTAATTATCTTAACTTATACATAAATCGTAAATATCATAATTATGGGCACCTGTAAATGTTTTAATAAGGGTACCTTTATGAGGATTCCATAAATTGATGTTACGGTCTTAGGAACAAGACATTATGTATTCGCCGTTAGAGTTAAATTTAACGGAATATATAGCACCTTTATGACCTTAAAGATTTTTATGTATTTTTGAAGGAATTTAAAATTTTTATGGAAGTTATTGTTTTTGATAATATTATTACATTTTTTTATAGATATTTAATTCAGGAAGTATTATTTTGTTATATTAAAAAACAATATTTAGAATTTTTTTAAAATAATGATAATTGTTTAAATATATATAAATTAATATATTTAATTATATATATTATTTATAATTAAAAAAAATTAAAATATAAATATAATATATATATATATATATTTATATTAATATTAATAAATATAATACATATTTGTTATTTATATTATTTTTATTTTAATTTGTAATAGAAATTATTTTTTTATATATATTAATAATTAATTGTTAATTATATTTTAATTTTTATATTTAATTTTTTTATGTAATTTAAATTAATATTTAGGCATCATTTTTATTATATATATTTTAAGTGGAAAAAGTAATTTATAAAAAAAAAATTATATAAATTTATTTTTTATCAATATAAAAAGGAAAATTAATAAAAATAACTAATTTTCTTAAAAAAGGAAAAATAATTAAAATAAATGATTTAAACATAATCTTTAGCTAAGTAAAATATATGTACAAACAAACCTATAAATAATGTTTCTAATCCTAATCTATAATAAAATATAAATTCGATTAACAATAAATTTATTAAAACATAATAAAATTTAGTTTTATGCTAAAATGATTAGAATTTTAGAATTTAAGGAAGAATAATCAAAAAAAATGAAAGGTAAAGATAATTATTTAATATAAATTATATAAATTCATTCGATCTTATGTTAAATAAAAATTGTTAATATATTCTTAATTATGCCTGAAAAAAAAAAAAAATTGCCTTTTTTTTTGTTTTCTTAAATTCATTTAAATAAATCTAAAAATAATTTAAAGATCATTAAATGGATTATTATAAAATATTTCTAATTGCATCAAAAAAAAACTTAATGAAAAAAAAAAATTACTTGATACTTTAAATTTGTTTTTAATTTAATATTTAAATATTAATTAATTTGATTTAAAAACTACTACTAAAAAAAAAACAAAAACAAAACAAAAGACCCTTTTATAAAAAAATTAAAAAAAAAGAAATTAAAAAAAAAAAAAAAAACTAAAAAAAAAAAAAACTAAAAAAAAAAAAAAAAAAATCTTAAAAAAAACTATGTATTTTCTTTTTTTTGTTTCTTTTTTTTTTGATGCATTTAGATTCATTTGGTAATTTAGTTTTTTTTAATTTTTATAACAAATTAAAAAAAGTAAATAATATTTCTTTAATTGATTATAGAAATTAATAATTTTTAAGCTATAATGAGAAATAAAGGCTTTTTGTTAAAAAAACAGAAAAAAAAAAAAAAATGATTCTATTTGATAAAAATAAAATAGAAATTTATAATATAAAAATATAAATAAGAAATATAAAAAAAGAATAGAAAGAAATTTAAATAAAATTAAATATATATTATTAATATATATTTACATAAAAATTTATTTTATAAAATATTTTTTATTTAAATAAAAAAATCTAAAAATAGAATCGATGAATTACCCACTCTTAAAATACCATAAGTTTAAAACACATAAACAAAAAGTGAATAAGAAAAAAAACCTAAACTTAAGCTTAATTTTTAGAAAAAAAGTGCTGAGTAAACAAATTTTGTTGCTTTAAGAAGAACTTCTAGCTCTTTAGATGAAAAAAAAAGAAAGAATTTAGTAACTAATCCTATTTTAGAAAGTAAAATATAAATAAAATAAGTTTGCTTAAATGAATAAAAAGATATAAATTTATAAATAAATATAGAAAAATAATCACCAAATAAAATAAAAATATAATAATTGTAATAACAAAATAAAAAATAATAATAATAAAATATATAGTTTTAATAATTTTAATAATATTAATAATAATAATAATAATAATAATAATAATAATAATAACAATAATAGTAATAAAAAAATCAATAAACATTAGTAATTAAATATCCTAATAACTATAATTAAAATAACAAGAAAATCAAAAATTAATATAATAAAATTAAATCTCATATATTAAAATTAATAAAATCTTTAAATAAATAAATAAAATTAATAATAAAACATATAAAAAAACAAAATTAAACATAATAAATTTAATAAACATTATAATCATAATAAATTAAATAATAATAAAAGAACTAGAATATATAATAAATATTATAAACATAATAATATATTCAATAATAATCATAATAGTATCCTGAATTATAATAATAATAAAAATCATAAAATTAACCATAATAATAATAAATATAATGTTAATAATAATAAATATAGTAGATAATATAGTAATAATAACAATAATAACAATAATAACAATAATAACAATAATAACAATAATAACAATAATATTAATAATAATAATAATAATAATAATAATAATAATAATAATAATAATAACAATAATAATAATAAATTTCATAAATGCAATAAAAAATAAAAAAAAATAACCTTAAATTTAATTACCTTAAAGAATAATACAGAATAAACATTTTTAATTAATAGAGACTGAAAGTAATTATAAAAAATCTTATTAAAATTTGATTTATTTAAAAAAATATTAATAGAAGTACAAATTGAAGAATAATAAGCTTTAAAATAAAAATAATCTTTAGATTATATTAAAATAGATGAAGAACAAATATAAGATTTATAAAAATAATCTCCAAAAAGGAAATTTTCAAAATAAAATGAGTGTTCTACTTCTGAAGAAGAGAAATAGGATGTATTAGAAGGTGAATTAAGTGAAGAAAAATAAAAAAAAATTAGAAAAAATGATTAATTTATATAACCTATTTAAAGTGAAGAGACATAAGAATATGAAAGTGAGGAAGATTAATTATCTAAAACTGCAAAAACTTTATTTTTAGAAGAATTTAGTGAAAATATTAATAATAATAGCAATAAATAGACTCTTCAACGTAAACTAAGTAATTAATTAAGAAGAATCTGATGATTTGAAAATTTCTGTGTATTCTGTATAGAGTAATTATTTTTCAAGTGGTAAATAATGCTCTCCTTCTTTATTTATGAAAAATAAAAGAAAATAAATGAGAAATAGGAAAAATAATAAAAGAAATATTGAAGTGATAAAATTATATAAAAAACAAATTTAAAATGTTGTAGATTTACTTAATTAAAATCTTAATCCGGAAATAAGAAATTTAATTTAAGAATACCAAAATTAAAAAGAAATGGACTTTAAACTTAATAATAAAAAAACTCTATATTGGAGAATCGAGCAAGCTGTTTAAACTATAAATAATTTGAAAATTTCATGATTTTAGTTTTTTTTTAAATGATATTAAATTTATTATTTTTTATTTTTTGATTATTTTAAATAAAAATTGTTTTAAGTTTATTTTTAATTATTTATTATATTTGAATAAATCTTATTTAGTTTTAGTTTTATTTTAATTTTTATTATTTTCTTTTTTTATTTTAATCGTTATTAAAAAATATATTAAATACTTTTTCAAAAAGGAAAAATAAAATAATATTTAAGTATTAATTATATTTTAGTAATTTTTTTTTTTTATTTAGTAAAAAAATACAAATAAAGGGTAGTTTGATTTTAAAATAATATCTTAAAATATATTTTTTTAATATTCTTATATTTATTATTAAGTAAAATAACACATATTCTAAGTTAACAAAAAACAATGAAAAATAAAAACAAATTCAAAAATGGATAAAAAACCTAATAAATTTAAAAATAATAAAATAATCATCTAAAATAAAATGATAATCGAAAAGAAAATATTATTATAACAAAATTTGTTCATAAGAGAATATCAAAAAAGAAAAAAAATTAAATTAAAAAACTTAAAAAAAAAAGTTAGTTAAAAATCTCTTTATAATAACCTCTACTTTATTAGCCTTTAAAATCTTTAAAAGAAATATAAATAAATCCTGAATAAAAGAATAAATAAATTCTAATGTTAAATTAAGTTCTTTTATAAAATATAAAATAAATAAGAATTTCAGAATAATCTAAAAGCTAATATAAAAAAAAGGAAGAAAAATATAAAATATATATTCATAAAATATATAATAAAGAAGAAATTCATTCATACTTTATACATAGTAGGAAAATTTTGAAAATAGAAAATATAAAAATACTTGAAAAAAAATATCAGATTATATATTTAAAAAAAGAAGAAATAAATTAAGAATAAATGGAAATTATTTATAGATTTAATTTATAAATAATAGATGACTTTTCTAATTAAAAAAATGAGTTTTTAATTTTAGAATTATATTTAGAAAATTAATAAATTTGTAAATTTTTAAGCATTTTAGTATTTAAAGATGAAATTCAGTTTTATAAAATGAAGTCGGTTTTTTTAAGAAATCATTAGAATATAGATAATAAAATTTTAAATAAAAATTAATTGTATTATGTCAATAAAATTGTGTTTTAAATTTTCGAAGTCTATAATATTTAAAATGTATCTGTTTTTGATTTTTTCGAAAGTATTCTTAATATTACTAAATGGCCTTGTAGAAATAGCCTTAAAAAAAAAATTGGGTTAAGGATTGATTTAGATGAGGAACTTTTAAAAAAAATAAACTTATAATTTATTATTTTTAATTAAAATAATGAACTTTATATGTATAGAAATGGAAACTTCTTTTCTTGTTTAAGAAAATAATTTAAAGAAAATCAATTTTAAAATATAGCTGTTTGTAAGTTTGTTTATGATTTAAAAAATTATGAGTTTTTAGATGCTTTAAAGTTAAAAAAAGTAAATAAAAATTGTCTTTAGAGTCCTATTGGTGAATATATTTAAGATTAAAATAAATTTAATATAACATTATTTGCTGAAATTTAGCTTGTACCTTATTCTATGTAAGTTTCAGAAATTGTAAAATTTTTAAGCTAAATATAAATTTTTTAATAACTTAATTAATAATTACTAACTTTATAATTTTGTTAAAAATTTAATGTTGAAAATTAAATTAAATTAAGTTTAATCTAAAAAGCTCTTTCAAAATAATAATACAATAAAGATAAAAATTTAGAACTATTGTAAAAATATAAATATTAATATATTTATATATTATATATATGTTTATATATTTATATTAATATTTCAATTATTTTTTATATATATTAATATATTCTAATATAGAGAAGTATTAGGAGACTCTGCTTTAAAAGTAATCTCTTCTTTATATATAATTTAATTACTAAGTACTTCATAAAAGTTTAATAATGAAAAAGCTTTTACATTTGCTCGAGCTTAATTTATTAATAATAAATATTTAGCTATAGTTGGATTTAAAAATGAAATTTAGTTATATTTAAAATATATGCCCGAAAATATTGGTGAATGAAGAGAGAATTTTAAATAAAATACTATTTTTAACTATTTAAATAACTGTATTTCTTTTAATTGTATATCTGATTGTTTAGAAGGTTTAATAGGCGCTTTTCTATGTAATAATAATGAATTTGAACTTGAAAGAAGTATAAGTTTTGGTAAAAAAATGGGTTTAGTTTTTTGTTATGGTGTAGGTGAAATATATAAAGAATAAATTAAAGGAAATATTTTAATAAAAGAAGATTCGTAAGAATAAAATGAAGAAATGAGCTATTTGGATTTATTTAATTGTAATAGAAATAAATAAAAAGTAAGATAAGAAAAAGAATAGAAAGAAATAAATATTAAGTATTATTGGAAAAAATTAATTTTTTTTATTGAATAGGAAGAATTCTATGAAAAAGAAATAAAAAATTGCAATAATAATATTAATTAAAGAAATATATTTTTTTAAAAAAAAACATTTTATTAAAATGAACATGAAAAATACCTAAATTAAATATTATAAAAATTTGAAAATAAAGTGCTTTTTTATAAATTTAAAAATAAATAATTTTTAATAAATGCATTAAATATTTCTAAATATACCAAAAAATATCCTTATCATGAAAATTATGAAAAAATGGAATTTTTAGGAGATGCATTATTGGAACTTTTAATAATTAGTAATACTTATAAGAAAGTATAAAAAAGTCACGAAAATAGAAGAAGTCCGTTTTTTTTTTGCGAAGTAAAATCTAATCTCTTATCTAATATTTTTATGTGTAAAATGGTTGTTTTAAATAAATTCTATAAGTACATTTTGAATTTGGATAATTATTAAGAACATTAAATAAGTTATTTTATTTCAAAAAGTTAATTTTTAAATTATCAGTTTAAAATTCAAAATAATGAAAATGTTTAGAGTCCTAAAATTTTGGCAGATTTATGGGAAAGTGTAGCAGGAGCCATTTTTCTTGATTCTAATTTGGAAAAGGTTAATGAGGTTTTTGGAAGATTTTATTAACCATTTTTAAATTTTTTTATTTCTTTTTATGATATCATGTAACTTAATTAAAAAGAAAAAATCGTTCTTTTAGGAAGAGAATGTCAATTAGATATTAAAGAAGTTTCACAAAAATTAAACTAAACAGAATTTTAGGTATAAATTTTTATAAGAGGATAGTTAGCGGGGGAAGGAATAGACTAAATATAAGGTTTGGCTGAAAAAAAGGCTTATTTATAAGCTTATTAAAGGGTTTTTATTTTAAAAGATTTTAAACTTTTTGTACATTATAATGGAGTAGATTATTGAATTGTTTATTTTTTTAAAAAAACCTTATATATTTATGTTTATTTTTGAATTAAGATATTTTTGTATATATATGTATTAAAAATATATATATAAAAAAATAAAAAAATTAAATTATGGAAGAATAAAAATAAAATCTTAAAAATATAAATAATAATCCAGATTTACTTAAATTAGAATTTGAATAGGAAAAAGATAAATATAAAGTTTATTTACATGAAATTATAAATAAGACAACAAACAAAAAAGTTTTTATAAATTTTATAACCAATATAATAATAAGTAAAATAGATGAAATATCCTTATAAATTTAAAATTAGAATAATACATAATTATAAACTGAATAATTTGAAGTAAAAAATATAAATGTAATGCTTTTAGATAAAGAAGAAATTAACTAAATATATAATTTTAACACAAAGATTGTAGAGTTTTTTAATAGAAATCAAACTATTTAATATATGGATTTTGAAAGTTTTAATAAATAAAATTAAAGTTTAAAAATGCTTTTAGTTTTATTAAAAAAAGATTAATTTTTTATTGATTTTTTAGGAATGGAAAATGTTGTCGTTGAAAAAGACTAAGAAAAAAATCTTGAGAAAATATTTGTTTATAAATAGAAACTTTTTTAAATTTATGAAATTTATGATATAAATGAGACTACTGTATATTAATTTATCGAAAGTCTTAAATAAATTACGAAGATAGAAACTTCTAAATAAAAAATTGGAATAAAAGAAAATGTAACAGATGAGTTTTTGAAATAAATTTCTTTAAAGTTTTTATTAACAGAAATAAGAGCAGATATTATTAAAGAAGATAAGAAAACTTTTCCTTAATTAAATTTAAAAGATAGTGATAAAATTGCTTTTTGTAGATAGGTTTTCGATTTAAAAAATTATGATTTTTATTGTTTAAGGAAATTAAAATTTAATAGAAATTGTTTTTAATAACCTTTATGTTTGAAATTAGTTTAAGATTAAAAAAAATTTGATTATAAAATCATTTATTTTAATGATTTTGATGTTATGAAGTTTAGTAATTATGAAAGTTAGGAAATTTTAATGTGCTTTTAATTATTTTAAATTATTTTTGAGTATTTAAAAATTAAAGAATTTAAAATTTTATTTAATTTAGAAAATAAAGTCCAAAAAAAATATTTATTTTAAGCATTTTCACTTGCTTCTTATTGTTCAATTGATAATTTGGAGTGTTTGTAATTTTATATATATATATATATTTTTTAATAAAAAAAAAAAGGGAAGTATTAGGTGATTCTGTATTAAAAGTAATATTTAGTTTTTATTCTTTTCAGTTATAAAATGATTAAAAAAATCAAGGTCTTTTAAACAAGAAAAGAGAATAATTTATAAATAATAAGTTTTTTTAAAAAATCGCAGAAGAAAATAATTTCTAAAGATATGCTCTATTCGAGAAGCCTATTTTAAGTGATTGGAAAGAAAATTTTATTTAAAAAACAAAAGAAAAAAAACAGGTTAAAATCCCGAATTTATGTGATGTTTTGGAAGCTTTGTTTGGGGCCATTTTTGTGAGTAATAATTGTTGTTTTTGGGAATGTTTTGAGTTTTTGAAAAGACTAAAAGGATGGAATTTAGATTAGGATATTATAGAAAAGCTTTAAATCGAAGTTTTTTTAGGGGATTTCAAGTTTAATATTAGAAAATAAAATATAAAGGAAGAATCAACTTATTAATAGTTATTTGAGAAAAATAAAGATGAAGAAAGGAAAGATTTTTTGGAAAACAATATTACTTTTATGAATAAGAAGAAAAATTTTATTTAAAGAAACGAAGATTTTATTTAATAATTTTCCAATGAAAAAGTCGAAGAATTTTAGTAAAAAATAATAAAATATAAATTTCTAGATAAAAAACTTCTCTTAGAAGCTTTAAATTGTAACTCTTTACAATAAAAAAACTTTGGGAAGAATTATTAAGTTTTAGAGTTTCTTGGTGATGCTCTTTTAGAGGTTTTTATTATTGCAAACGGGTTTCTTTTATAAGGAAATAAAAATCCTTATTTTTTTTCGACTTTAAAATAAATGCTTTTAAGTAAAGATTTTATGTGTAAAATTAGTTTGGCTTATAACTTTTAGGACTATGCATTAAATTTATAAATAGAATAGAAAAAATAAATTAGTTCTTATTTTTAAAAATGTAATTTTGATGTACTATTTAAAACTCAAGTAGTTGAATTAGAAAGAAGTCCAAAAGTTTTAAGTGATTTATGGGAATCTACTTGTGCGGCTATTTTTTTAGATGCTGGGGCTGAAGTCTTTATTTAAATTTTTGGTAGATTTTATGAAAACTTTTTGAGATATTTTGAATTGTTTTATAATAAAATTATCTATAATTTAAAGGAAAAGGTTATTAATTTTGCGGCAAAAAATAAATTGAATTTTAAAATCGAATCTTAAAATTGCGAAGAAGGGTATTTGAAATTTATTTATTTTGAAGAAAACATTGTTGGAGTAGCACATGATTTAATTGATTTTATAGCAGAAAAAAGAGCTTTCGAAAACGCTTATTAAAATATTTTTACTTGAATTAATTTTTTTCTTTTAGAAAAAAAAAAAAAAAAAAAAAAAAAAAAAGAGAGAAATGATGGTTTGTATTTTTTATTTTATTTCTAAATTAGACTTATTTTTGAGTTTTACAAAAATTAATTAATTTTTTTTTTTTTTTTTTAAAAAACTAATTATTTTTTGGAAAACTCAAAAAATTTTTAATTTACAATAAATATTTATGGAAACAAATTTAAGTAATAACATTTTTAGATTTTCAAAACAGTATTTATATTTTTTATTTAAATATTTTATTATTAAAATAAATAAATAGTTATTCTTTTTTTTTTTTTTTTTTTTTTTTTTTTCAAAACAATGTTATTAATACAAATGAACAATAAAATAAAAATATTGGATATCCTACTATATATATTTTTTCTTTTAAAAAATATTCTTCTGATAAAAAGCTTACAGCTAAATATTCACAAACAGTGGAAGTTAAAAATGCAATAATATAACCCATAAAACATCTTTTTTTTAAAAAATAATAATTTTAAAAAATTTACTTATCTTTTACTTTAATTCAAAAAATATATCAATAAATGCAAGTCCTAAAATTGGCATTATACAATATCCAAGAATACTTATCAGTGTATAAAGAGGAATTATTTTATTTTACTATTTTTTATTGATATTTTTAATATATATTTATATGATTAATATTACTTAACATTATAAATTTGTTGTTATATATAATAATATTGTTCCAAAAAACCAGAATCCATAAATATATCCAAAATGAAATTTACCAGACTTTTTTTAATATTTTAATTATTATTATTTTATTTTTTCATTACGAATATTAATAAAAAGCCTAATAAAAAACATATTATTAATGGGCCTGATAAATCAGGTTCACTTAAAAAATTAGCTTCTCCTTTATCTAATTTGAGTACTGCTATAATTCTTTTCTTTATTATATTTAAATCTATACCTAAATCTTTTTTTTTTTTTATTAATAATGCTTTATGTATATTTTTATATTTATTTACCTTCTAATAATGGCGGCTCATTTTCTATGTCTAATTCAGTATCATGTCCATAAAATTAATTTTATTTTTTGCTTTTTACTATTTCACCTTCAATATCAATATTTTTATCAAGAAAATACTTATTTTAAATTAATTTTTTTTTTTCTTTTTTTTTTGTTTTCTTTATTTTTAATGTAAAAAAACATTTTTATCTGTTTGGTGATTGTCTAAATCAAATACTAAATTATTATGATCTTTATTTTAATTATTTTATTTGTTTTCATAATTGTTTTTACCTTCTTATTAATTTGATTAATCTATTTAATCCATTTGTTTACTCTATTTTTAATATTTTTATTATTTTTTTTTTTTTTTGTAAAAGAAAAGAAAGATTTTTTTTTATTTAGTATAAAATTATACATATTTTACTAGTTAAATTTTTATTAAATTATCAAAATTTTACTTGTATAAGTAAAATTTTTAAAATATTATATATAAAAAATATATATTAATTTATAAATTATAATATGATTATATCCTATTTATACCAAAAAACAAAACAAAAATTGTTTAAAATAATATTAAAAAAAAAAAATTAGAAAATGTTTTAAATAAATTAAAAAAAATGATAATATAATAGCAAAAAAATGATTAATTAAAAAATAAATAAAAAATTCAATTAAAAAAAAATATTAGAAAATAGTATCATTCCTCAATTGGATATCTTTATAAATAAAATATTCCTTCAAAATGCTTAGTTTATGGGAAAAGATCACAAGCGAAATATTCTACAGTATGAAAAGCGGGTGCTTTTCTTTTTTATTTTCCGTCAAGCATAATCCTAACAAATTATCTTAAACCGCCTAAGGATTACAGGCTACATAAATTAAATGATTTAAACCTTTACAAGTCCTTAGAGCTTTTACAACACTTTAATTAAGTCCTGCTCTAGGAGGATCTACTACCCCAATAATTTAGAAATTTTAATTAATTAAAGGTTATACTACATTTTGGATAACGTCTTCTACTTTTCCCTGAACAACTTTGTAGTTTTGGACATTATTTATTTTTATATTTTCTTCACAATCCTAGCAAGCAGTTTCTACGCATTCTATTCCTATGATTTATTTTGCTTTTTGAGCTAAACATATACCTATAGTACCTATACCTGAACATATATCTAAAAATATTGTATTTTAGTCACTTATACCTATCTTTTAGATTATATTTCCGATTAAATTGTATAGCTTTTGACATTGTTTAGTATGGACTTGTAGGAAAGCATTAGGAGATATTTTAAAGGTGTTTCCTAAGATTATTTCATCGTAATTAGGGTTTCCGTATATATTTTCAATTTTTCCGTTATGTGGAATACTATCGGAAGGATCTTCATAGTTTTGGATATTTAAAGAAACTATATTATAAGGTTCGAATTAGTTTTTTTATGTAAACAATGGTATTAATTCATTTTTCAATTTCTCTTTGGAATCATCAGAAAATTCTTTTTCATATTTAACTACTATATTTATTAATATTTAGAATGTTTAGAAACTTTAACGGACGACTAAATATCTCCAAAATCCTTTATGGGTAAACCTGTCATATACTTGGAAATTAGATTAATTTTAAATAATATATTCTTATAAAATTTCTGCTATTTTAATTTATTCGAGGGTGGAAAGACAATTTTTTTAAGCATCGTCTATGAATGCGATTTTTTTGTTGAAATTAGTTCGGTTAAATCCTACTCTTATTTCATCTTTGTGGTTTTTACCAATTGTAAATTCCGATTTGTTTCTGTAGTTGAAAAAATTCTCAGTACATTCAATAAATATAATTTTTTCTTCTTCAGGTTTCCTAGTTACCCATTTGGGAATTTTTTATATGTCATTATCTTTATTTAACTAAGCAAGGGCTCTTTTTTTATAATTTTATATTATTTGTAAAAAATCGTTATTTTTGAGTTCTATTTATTAATTATATGGAGTTTAGTACAAAGGACATATTTTCTCTTCTAAAGGAATTTTTAATTCTTCTTCGATTTCGGCTTCTAATGGTATTTCTTAGATGGTATTTTAAGAATCTTTGGTTTATTTTATTTCGTCTATAGGGAGTGAATATTTGATGTTTTTGTCGTTTTTGAATACATTGTATGCTTTATATTACTTAGGTTTTTTACTTAGTTTACCTTCTTAGACATATTTTCGGAATTTTTCAGCTTCTTGTTCGTTTGTAAATTTTAAAAAGGCCATGTTCTTATTTTTGGCTTGCCGATTTTTTCGATTTTATTAAATATTTCTTGTTCGAGATTTCGATTAAGGTTATTGTATATTTTTCTCTCGCGATCGTAATGATCTACTCCTCGAAGGCATACCCATTCGGGATCGTATTGTGCATTTTTGCCTGAGTTTATTTGGGATTCTTCGAGGTTTTCTTCATTATCTTAGTTTTCTTATTATTATTGTATTTCTTCGTTTTTTAATTGGGTTGGGTCTTAGGGGAATGTGTCAGGAAGCTTTCTTTTCATTATTTTTAATTTATTTTGATTATTTTTGTTTTATTTTAATTTGCCTTATTATTAATTATTATTTATTTTTGATAAAATAAATAGTTAAAATTAACCTTTTATTTTTTTAGTTAATTTTTTTAAAATATTAGATTTTAATTTATTTACATTTTTATATAATATTTGTAAATGATTTCAAACAGGCACTAAGTATTATTTCTTTTTTTTATATATATAAAATTTAGAGGGAATGCTTTTCTTTTTTAGAAAATTAAATATTTTGTATTATACATTTTTTTTATATATTATATGTTTTTTAATATTATATAATATTTTATTAATTTAAGTTAAAATATTAAAAAATGGATTAATAAAAACTCCCCTATTTATGAATAATATTAAAAGAATAACTATGAAAAAAATAAAGAAAAAAAATACTTTTTTCAAACAATGAATATAAAAATATATTAGAAAATTAAATAAAAAATAAGAAATAGAAAAAAAAATAATAGATTAATCGTTAATTTCAACTGAATGTTTTTTAATAAATTTAATTTAATTTATAAAATAAAGTTTTAAATGAAAAATTAATTTATATATTAACAAATAAATTAAGAAAATCATAATAAAAGAAATTTAATTTGTTAATATTTGATTTATTTTTTAATGGAAATAATTTAAAACAATAAATTTATTATATTATATAAAAAATATAAATAAAACAAAAAAATGGATTTCAAATATGCAATTTAGGAAATAAAAATCAATTTCTTTTAATAAAAAATTTACTAAAAGTATAAAAATAAAAAAAGTGGAAAAAAATAAAAAAAAAATCCAACTATTTATTATCTTTTAAATTTTATTAAATTTAAATATATTAAAAATTATCAATTACTATATCAAAATTTAAAGGATTTTTTCGGAAAAATTAGAGAATTATTTTTTATTTGTAAAAAAGAAAAGAATTGTCTTTACATATTTTGAAAATATCTTATTTTTGGTGAAATAATAAATTATTATAATTAAGACTTGGAGGGTTTTATGAAAACATGCGGATATGCCATATTTTTGTTAAAAAACTTATTTTGATTTAAAATTATGATTTAAATTATAAAGACAAATATACTGCTTTAATATTAATAATTTTAATCGGAATAATAGTCTATTTCAAAAAATTTAATAATTTTAAATTATATTATTCAATTTAATAATTTATGTTAATTTAAATAAATGTATAATTCTTTATTATTATTTTTTTGGCTTTTAATTTTTTATATATTGAAAAAAAAAAACAAAATTATTAAATATATATATATATTTATTTTAAATATTGTTTATTTATTTTTTTATTAAATATTTATTATTATTTATAAATTTTATTTTATATAAAATAATTAAATGAAAACTATTAACTATTAAAAGAAATATTTTCCTAATCTTAACTAAAGAACTAGTATTTCAGCTTGTAAAACATATTTTTTTTAAATAATTATTTTATATATTGATAAATATTTATTAAAGAATGTGATTAATAATAAATTATATCTTTTAGTAATATAATTTAATTGAAAGAAGAATAAGTAGATATTAGAAATTAATATAAATCTTAATCTAAAATAATTGTAACAGGTTTATAAAATAAATATAAATAATAATAATAATAATAAAAAAAAAATAGGAACTAAAATTAGCGAAAATAATGAACTTTAATAATCTTCTTCTTAATAAAAATATCAATAAAAATAAAAACTATTTTTAATTTATAAGAATAATATGTCTAAGACAGTATAAAATTTCAAACAAAATATTTTAAAATCAAATAATTAAGAAATTCGAAAATAATCAGCAACAATAAAAGAGAATATAAAATAAACTAATAAGAATGAAAATAAAAAAGAACATTAAGATATTAATTCATTATTAAATTAAATAGTTAAATTAGAATAATATTAAAAAAAACCTAAAAAAAGCTTGATAAACAAAGAGCAGAAACAACCGATAAATAATAAATAATAAATTAATAAGAAGTTTAAATTAATAATTTACAAAATGAAAATTCTTAACTTTAAGATTAGATTTAAGACTATTAAAATAAAATAAATGATTTAAATTTAATAAAAGAATAAGAACTAACGAATTTATAAGCAATATAAATATCAGAGTATGAAAAATTAAAAGAATAAATAAGAAAAAATAACGAAATTATTGAAAAATAAAGGAAAAAATAATCGAAGTTACTACATAAGAATTAAAGGTTGAAAATTGGGAAATTTTATTTAAAAGTTTGAATTTTTAATGGATTTCTTTAATCGAAAAGGATATTTTAGAATACGAATAAATGACAAAATTTGATTAAAAAAATAAAAAAGATATCGACTAAATAAAAGAAAGTATAATATAAGTTTAATAAAATTAATAAAAACTTGAAAATAATTTAAATATAGTAAATCAGTTTTTCCTAAATTAAAAGAAATAATTTTTTAATAATAAATTAATTTAAGAATTATATAGTTTTTCTTTATAAATCTAAAGTTTTTTTGATTGTAATAATTGTAAATAACCTTTAGAATCTTAATGTGTAACTGCAGTGCCTTGTGGTCATAATTTTTGTTAAAATTGTGTTTGTTTATAAAAATAATAATTATCTAATAACGAAAATGATAATAGGTTTTTTTAGTGTTTTTTATGTGGGAAAAAAAATGGGGGTAATTTGGTTTTTTAAAATGATTAAATGACAGAAATTATATAATATTATAATATATTAGATAAATTAAAATGTTAATTTATTGAATTTTGCTTAAATTAACAAGATTGATATTTATAATCTATAGATTTATTATTTTTCAATGAAAAAAAATTATTAATATAGATTATTTTTCCAAACAATGTATTATTTATATATCATAATTAATTTTTTTTATAAAATAATATATAAACAAATATATTATTATATGATCGAGTGTCGGATATATATAAATATTTTATTTTTAGTCTTATATATTTAATATTTTAAAAATAATATTTTTTAAAATAAATTAATTTTAAATTTTTTATATTATATTTTAATGATATAATATAAGTAATTATTTAAATTAATTAATTTAAAACAAAATAATTTATTTAATTAATAACCTTATATAATTTAGATTAATGGAATTAAAGATAGAAATAACTTAAATAAAAAATTAAAATAAAACTATATATATTTTTATAAATGATTTTATAAAATATATAAATATATATAATATTAACGATGATAAACAATTTTTTTTTTAATTTAAATAAAAAGTAAACATTATTAATAAATTATTAACTATTTTATATCATATTTTATAAATATAATTAATAAATATTTTATAGTATATATATATATATAAACAATTATTTTTTTCATATTTTACAGTCTAATTAATATATTTTTCAACTATATAATATAATAAGAATCTTATTAATACTTAAATTATTATAAAGTTATTATTTTTTAAATACTTTATAAATAATATTTTTATATTAAAAATTTAATAAAAAAATAATCATTTTTAATATTTTTAAATCTATAATTATAATGATAGAAATTGAAAGATAAATAATAAAAAATTTTAAAATAAGTATTATTTAAATATTATAAAATTTATTAATTATAAGCATATATCATTAAAATTAATGAGTTAATAAAAAAAAAAATATATATTATAATAATTTTTATCATTATAATAATTTTAAAATATTATTATATAATAAGATAATAATATAATAAAAATTAAAATAATTTATATTTAAAAAAAATATATTATTAATATAATATGTATATAAAAATAAAAAATAAAAAAGAATTAAAATAAAAAATAATAATAATATAATAATATAGTAAATTATTTTATAAAAATAATTATATAATTGTAAAAAAAAAAAATGAAATGAAATGAATTAAAATAAAATAAAAATTAATATATAAAAAATAAATAAATAAATAAATATATATTATTTATAATTTAAAAATAATTTTAAAAATTAATATTTAATATATAATATCTATACATAATATAAATATTTATACATTATAATTAGAATTTTTTTTTTAAATATATATATATTTTTTTTATTTTATAATAAAATTGAAAATATTATATTTTTTTTTTTTTATAAATTATTTTTTATATTTTTTTTTAATTAAAAAAATATATTTTTTTATAATAATTTTAATATGTTTTCTATATTTTATAAAATATTTTTTTATTTATTATATTTATATATTTAATTTTATATTTATTATATTTTGTTTTTATTATATTAATTCATATCAATAGTTTATATTTATGTAATTTTTTTAGAAATAATTTTTATTTTAATATTAAAATATTATATAATAGTATAATTTGATAATATGTATTTAAATATTTTTTATTTTTTATTTTTATTATTAATTTTTATCATTTAATATAATTATATATGCTAATATTAAATACAATTTTTATATGATATATATAATTTTTATATTTATACATATAAATATTTTTTATAATATTTATTCATTTATTTAATTAATTATTATAATGTTTTTTAAAATTTTTCATTAATTTTTTAATTTATTTTTTAAAGAAAAACACGTCAGAAACATATAAAATAATCAATTTAAATAATTTTTATTATATGATATATTTAATTAAGAAAAAATAAATTTAAATATATATTATTAAAAAATCATATTTATTAATAATTATATATAATATAAATTAATAAAAAAAAAAACCATATATAAATATATATGTATTCAAATCACATTTCTACATAAAATATAAAAAAATATATATAACTATATTTACGTTTTAATTTAAATGTAAAATCTATTAAAAAAAAATTCATTAGATTAAAATTCAAGTACTCAAATCGCTTCATAAAAATCACAAAAAAACTCTAATTCCAAATGTATAAAAACTCCATGGTGTGATAAAGAAGATAAATTTTTGATGAAAATTGTTGATTAATATGGACCTTAAAAATGGACTTTTATAGCCGAACATGTACCGGGAAGAATAGGGAAATAATGCAGGGAAAGATGGCATAATCATTTAAATCCGAAAATAAATAAAGAATAGTGGAGTTAGGATGAAGAGTGGATTTTATATTTATCTCATAGGCTAAAAGGTAATAAATGGTCAGAGATTACAAGGTTTTTGCCAGGGAGAACTGATAATGCGATAAAAAATCATTGGAATTCATCAATGAAAAAGAGGGTTCCAGAGCTTTATTAGAAGTATTTGTTTTATAGGACTCATAACTATATGGAGATTGAAGCTAGTTTGGGAATATATAGGAATTTTGAAGAGGAGATTATTTAACTTTTGGTTAATGGGAATGATAATGGGGAGGAATTTTATTTCGTATAAAGTTCAAGGAGAAAAAGGAAAAATAAAATAGGAAATTTCGGAGATTTATTTGAAAAAATTCCAAAAAAAATTAACTTTTAGAAAATTTTAAAAAATTGTTTTAGAAAAAGGGAAAGGAAATGAATTTTTGTAAAAAAATATTGATAAAATCATTAGTAATTTTTAAATATTTAAAGTTTTTTTGTAAAAAATATGGAATTTTTCGATTTGTTTTAGTTTACGTTGAAAAAAATATATTTGACTTAAAATATTTAATAAAAAAGAGTAAAGAAATCAAAAAAAAATGAAAATATTTAAAATTTTAGTTAATAAATTTTGAAATAATAAATAGCAAATAATAATGATTTGGAGAATCATTTTTTATAAAATTAAGTTTTTAATTAAACTCCATAAAAAATTATAAAGGAAAATATAAAAAAAGAGGTTAGTTTTTTTAATATTGGATAGTTTTCAAAGGAAAATTGTTTTAAGTAAAATTTTTTAAAGGAAAGTTTTTTAAAAGAAAGTTTTTAAAAGGAATTTTTTTTAAAAGAAAGCTTTTGTAAGGAAAATTTAAACCCGAACGATAATAAAGAATTAAAAATAAATAATTAGTATACTACACCTAAACGATATAATAGTTAGGATAAAAAAGATAATGATTCTGAACTTTAAAATTATCATTCTATAGGAAGATATTTTAATTAGCCTTTTAATAGTTCAAATAATAAAAACAATTTAAATCAAAAACAATTTTAGTAATCTTTTAATTCAGCTTTTAAATTTTGCGATGATAATAAATATATGTGAATTTTAATTTAATTTATTTATTTTATTTAATGTTTTTACTTTTTAAAATAATATATAAAAAATAATTTATATTTTTATAAAAATAACTTGGTTTTTTTTTTTTTTTTTTTTTTTTAAATAAAAATATTTTTCTTATAAAAAAATTTAAGAAAAATAATTAATAAATATATATATATATATATATATTTATATTTATATATATTTATTTATTTAAAATATTAAAAAAACATTTAAAAGATATGTATAAATTATTGCTTTTATTTTTATTTGTTTTTAAAATAAATACTATTGAATTCATTTTTTCTTTAGAGCCGGCATAATAGCATTGCTTATTTGATAGTTTAGGTAAAAACTATTTTTTTATATATAAATAATTAATCAAATTAGGATATATGATTTTATTAAAATTAAATGCCAATATAATAAATACATCGGAGAAATTTTTAAAATTATAACTTTTTAAGCCAGATTAAACATTATTTTTTGAATAATCTGAAAAAGAAAAAGTTTAATATTCTGTGGTGACAGATATGGAAGGGGATTATTAATTTTGTTTCTAAAATTTAAGTATTGAGTAAGATATATAAGTAAATTTCGCTTATTATACAGGAGTTGAAGCAAAAGATTATACATAATTAATAAATAAAGATAAAGGAATCAAATTCGAAATTTAAAGTAAGATATTATCTGATACTTTGAAGGATATTTAATATGAAAAAAACTTAAATACACATAATTAGAATTATAATAGTGAAGTTAGTAAAAATGTGACTTATAAAATTTAAGGATTTTCTATTATTAACATTACTTTAATAATATTTTTAACAATTTTTTAAGGATATTATCTAAAAAAATTTTTCTAATAGAAAAAAATAGTTTGAAAAAAAATTAGAAAATGGTATATAAATATATTAATAATTAATATATAATATAAAATTTTAGTCATTTATATTTTTTTATAAGTAATTTTATAATTATTTAGAAAATTAGTATTTTTTATTTTTTGAAAATATTTTTATTATTTTTTACAGACATTTTTTTTATAATACCTGTAAAAAAAAAAAAATTAATAAGTTTTTTTTAAAAGATTTAAATTTATAAAAATAAAAAAATAAATGTAAAATTAATTTTCTTATTATATTCATATATATATATATATATATATATATATTTATATATTTATAATTATTTAATATTTGTTATATCTTTAATTAATAAAAAATTAATATATATTATATATGTTTTAATTATTTATTTTTATCTAATCTTAAATTTTTAAATATTTTATATTTTTCATTTTAATTATATATAAATTAAATTGACTTTATTCATTATTTTTGATTCGAATTTTTTTTTTTGATTCGAATTTTTTTTTTTTTTTATTTTTTTATGTATAGAAATGAAAATTATATTTATTATATTATAAAATTTGTATAAATTTAATTTAAAATTTTTAATTAATTAATTACATATTCACTTTTAATTTTTCATTAATTAATTGGAAATTTTTCAAAACTAATTTTTTTAACTTATTTATTTTTATTAGATATTATTGGAAATGATTTAAAATTGTTTAATATGTATTTAGTGTTTTTTTATAGTTATATTTTATAAAATTTTAACAGGAAATTTATATATAATTTATAGTATTTGTAATATTTTAGAATAATTTTATATTGATTTATTATACATGTTTTTTTTCATAGCTTTTATATCCATAATAATTTAACTAGAAATAATATTTATTTTTAATATATTAAAATCAATAAATACTTTAAATATTAGTAAATATTTTTAAATTTAATATATTGTAAAATAATTTTTTGTTTTGTTTTTTTATAATTTATCAAATTAATTTAAATAATATTTATATTTTATATAATAAAAAAATTAAAAAAATTCGTCTTATATCTATTAATTGAATACTAACTAATTAAATATTTTTTTTATTCTATTATATAATTAAAAGTATGTATATATTTACATTCTTTTTAATAATAAAATAATAAAATAATTAATAAATTATAATAATTAATTGTTTTTAATATTAATACTAAAATAACGTAATAAAGTTTAACTTAAAAAGTAAAAAAATTAAAATTGTAAAAAATATACTGATATTATAAAAAGTAGAAATTTTTATTTATAACAAAAAATAAATTAAATATATAAATCAATGTAAATATAACTTTTAAATATATATAAGTAAAAATAAAATCATTATTATTATTATTAATAAACACCTTCTTACCAAATTCCTTCAATAATATCACCTTTATAAGTAAGTATTTTCCCTTTTCCATGCATTTTTCCTTATTACCATTATCCTTCATATTTATTTCCATTTTACCAATTAATAATTCCAAAACCGTCAAATTAATCATATAGAAAATCCCCTTTTAATCTTAGAAATAAAATATTAAATAATAAATACCAACATATTTTTTTCCATCTGGCCATATAAATTCCCCTTTTCCCATCATTTAATTGTTTTCCCAAGATCCTTTATAAACTTTATTATTTTCCCATACACAATGACCAAAACCATGTATCTATCCATCTTTAAAATTGCCAATATAAGTATATTAATTTAATATTGTATACTATCCTTCGCCATTCATTTTTCCGTTTATAAAATTTCCTTTATATTAAGTTCCTTTACTAGAAACTTCTTCTCCATATCCATTTTTTAATCCATCTTTACTTTATTTTTTAAAATAATTAATTTTAAATATAAATTATATATATGTATTTTTACAAAATTCCTTCAAATTTTCCTCCTTCTTTTTTTATTATAAGACACTTTCCTTCTGGTTTTCCTTCTTAAAAAGTTCCTTTTAAAAAATTACCTTTTAAATCAATAAAAAAGCCTTATCCTTAAAAAATATTATTATTCCAAAATCCTTAATATAGATAATTATTTGATAATAATTAACCGAAACCTTGAAGTTTATTTTCGTTTTCATTTAAATTTCCAATAAAAATATTATCATTAGATAATTTATAGTAGTTTTAATTGATTTCTAGTTTTTCTATTTATACTTCCTTGTTTATATTATTGAAAATATTTAAAATTTCTTCTTTAATGTTTTTTATTTCTGTTTCATCTATTATAATATTTATAGTTTATATGTCGAATTTTACTATTTATTATTATGTAATATATATATTAAAACTTTTATTATTAGAATTATTTGTATCAGATTCTAAGTAAGATGTTTGTAATAATTAATTATTTTATATTTTTTATGTAATGAAGCTATCTTATTTAATTTATTATATATCATTTGCATATATTTCTTCTTTTTGTATAATAAACTAACCGCTTTTGGTATTAATAATATCTTTTTAAACATTGAAATCCTTTGATGGATCAAAAGTTTATATATCAGAGGAAGTTTTTTTTTTTTAATAAAATAAATTTGTTTAAGATGATTCTTTATTAATTTCATTAATTTATTTTATTTAATTTATATTTGAACAACATTCGTTTCCCATATAAAAAAAAATTAATATATATATTAATAAATAATAATATATAAAAAAAAATATATAATAATATGAATATATATATAAATATAATTTTTTATATAAATAATTATTATTAATATAATAAATATATATATTATTTTAATTTTTCATTTTATTAATATAAAAATACTTATTTTTTTTTATTTATATATATAAATATATATATATATATATATATATATATCTATTTAATGTTTTTTTTATAATATTTGTTTACTCAACATTTTTTTTATTTAATTAATTCATTAATAATATTTTTAAGTTTTTTGTATTTTTTATTTTTATATATTTCAGAATTAAAATAATATATAATAAATAAACAAATAGAAAAATTAAAATATATACATATATATAGAAATAAATATTTTTTTTTATATATATATAAATATATATATATATATTATTATATATTTATTTATATATATATATTTTTATAAAATATATAATTTATTTATTTTCACATATATATGTATATATATTTATTTTTTTTTTCAATTTAATTTCATTAATTTTTAAGGAATTTTTCCATTTGAATTCGAATTGAAACTTTAAGGAGAATCTTTTTCAATTAAATTCTAGAATTAATTTGGAAAATTATCTATCTACAAATCAAGTTTAAATTTTTACTATTTTCTCATTGTTGGCGTATTATTTCCATTTTCTTCATTTTTTTATGTGTCTTATATGTTAAGACTCATTTGATTTTTCAAGTTATTTTATAATATTTATTTAAAAAGACTATGTTAAGGTATACTTCTTTTACTTTACACCATATTTTATTATTAATTTATTCCTTAGGAATTTTATTTATTTAAACCAATTTTTATATCTATACTACTTTCTCTAATTCTACTTTAAAATTTACTTAATTCTCCAAATTTACTCTAAACATACTACACTGTTTGCCTTTTATTATCTAAATTCTATATAGAGTTTGTACTACAAATGGAATTAACTGTATTATCTAATCCATTTATAGGCAATTTTCCAGTTGAAACTATGGCTAGTGATTCTTATAATTCTTCTTTTTATCTATTTCTAAGATTAGAGAGGAATTCCACATCATATGAACCTAAATTTTTAGTTCCTAAAATTTCCACTTACATATCTTATTTTACATTTTCGCTATATAAAAATGGATGTTCTAATGTTTCTAATGCACTTAGTCTTTTTTAAGGATTCGGTTCTAACATTTTTTTTAATAAATCTTAAGCTTCTAAAGAAACGGACTTTAATTCTGGAATTTCATAATTTATTTCGCATTATTTATTCGCTCGTAGTATTTATTTATAGTCTGAGCCTACAAAAGGCTGCTTTCCAGTTAATAAAAGATAAAAAATTACTCCTGCAGAAAATACATCACAATTCATACTATATAATGGTTCTCCATCCTTTTTTTTTTAAAAAAAAATAAAATAAAAAAAAAAGTTTTTTTAATATTTTTTTAGGATACTTTGTATAGTAAAACTTCAGGGGCTACAAAACCGGGTGTACCACATCGTTTAAAAATCACGTTTTCAATGTCTGTTTTAGTTGCGAGTCCAAAATCAGCTAATACGATATCACTTCCATCCGATTCTTTATTTTTAAGAAGTAAATTTTCAGGTTTTAGGTCTCTATGCATGATATTTCTGGAGTGTAAATAAGATATAGCCTTCATAATGTTTCGCATGAGATTAATTAATTAAAATTGGTTCATTTGGCCTTTTTCACGAACTCTATTAAGCAGTTCTCCGCCATTAACTATGTCTAAAACAAAATAAATGGAGTTGGAAGTTTCGTAAACTTCATAAAGTCTTAGAAGATGCTCGGAGTTTAATTACCTCATGATATATATTTCATTTATTAAAGATTCTTTTCCTTTATGTTATGTGGACATAAATTCCTTATTAAAAGCCTTTATGGCAAATTGAGAACCGGGAGTCGATTTTTTGGTTGCCAAATAAACTTTCGCAAACGACCCTTTTCCAATCATTTTAAAAACTTGGTATTCTTCATGAAAATTTAATTATATGCATCTATATGTTAAGGCGTTTTTCCAGTCATCATACTGTTTTTGGTCGTGGGTAAATATATCTAAGTACTTATTATTGTGATATAGACGGAAACCATTTAATATAGAAGGATTTTAAAGGAACTCTTTGTCGATTTATGAAGCTTAGGAAGGCTATAAATTGGAAAGGAGCTCCATTTTTACACAGGTTAGGTCTAAAAAGCTTTATAAGATTAATTAATTAGGCTTTATTTGGTAAAGACCTTCGTCATTTAAGATATATATTATGGATTTGGAACGACTGTATATTTTTGAACGTTTGTAAAACTAACTGAATAAATATATGTTGGTTATGTCCTTTAATTCTTTATTTTTGTATGAGATGTTTTGCCATATTTTTTTATGTTAGACTAATTCGTTGCTATCGAAAAAAGATATTGGTTTCATTTTTAATTTTATTTTTATTTTCTATATTTTATTTTTTTTATATATATATATATATATATTTGTTTTTGGAAAAAAGTAATCTATATTTTTTGTTTTGATTTAATTTTATGCATTTATAATATATTTTTAAGGTAATAATTAATTTTTTTATATTTTTGATATTTAATATTAATATATATAATTAAATTATTTTTTTAATTATGATATAATTTTATTTTATAATAAATATATATGTATTTATATATATATATATATATAAATATATATATTTATAAGATTTTCATATTTATAATAAATTTATATTATTATAAATAATATACTTATATATATAATAAATTTAAGATTCTATTATTCTTCTTTAGTAAAAATTAATTAAAGATATACTTTTTTTATAAGTATCTATATTTTAAAAACTTTAAACTTACTAATGATAATAACTTAAATTTTTTTCTTTTAAAAAACTTTCTAATATTTTCAAGTATTCTTAAAAAAATTAAATTAAATTAAATATTATTTAATATTTGTATAATTACCAATATTAGAATCATTATAATATCTTTAATCTTTTTGTAAATTTTCATTTATATATAATATTGAATTATTTGTATTTGTTTTAAAATAACTATAAATAGCTAATATTTTCAAAAGATTATTATTTAATTTTTTATTATCAAAATAAAACATATCATTTAATAAATTTAAATTTTATAAAACTTCTAATTATTTTTCATTTTGATTAAACATTTTTTTTAAATCAATAAAAATATTTAACTTATCATTATCTAAATTTTCATTAATTATACTTTATATATTTAAGGTAAATATTATATATATATAAAAAAAATACCCTAAATTCATAAAACTATCAAAAGAAGAAATTTGTCTGAAATGAATAAAAAAATCTTCTTAGTCATAAAATTAACAATCTGAAAATAATTATATTTTTTAATCAAAAAATTAAATAAAATTATTAAATTATAAATCATCTTCTTAATTACATTAATTATTTCTAGATATTTTATTATATTTTCCTTAATCTAAAAAAATAAAAATTAATATATATTTATAAATATATAAATATAATAGATATTAATATATATATATAATATATATATATATATATATATATATATATATATAAATATTTTTTTTTACTTATATGTTCGTAAAATGGTACAATTATTGGAATTGTTTTATTATTTAAATTAGCAAAAATTGTGTTCTATTTAATAAATATAATTATTTAATTTAATTTTGTTATTTTAAATTTAAATTCATTTTTATTTAATTGTGTTTCTTTTTCAAGAAATCTTTAAATATCAAATACCTAATTTTATATTTATATTAAGAAATTTTAATTATCTAAAAAGTATTTTTTATTAAAATAAAATAAATTATTTTCTAAAAACTAAACTTCTTTTTCATCCATTTACCAATAAAATTATTTATTTTATCGTAAATTTAAATATTTATTTAAAAATTCATTTTCATTTATATTTTATTTTAAATAAAAAACTTAAAATATCATATGAATATATTATTAATGTAAATTTTCATCTATTTTAAGCTCGTAAGTCATTAAACTTTATATTTTATCCCTTTAAGGATATTATCTAATTCCATATATGCAGTTTTATAAATCAGATGTAAAAAAAGGCTATTTTTTAAAAATATATTATCCATTAATTTTAATTGAAAATGAAGATTTTTATTAATCATAGGTAATTTTTAATTAATCAGAAAAAAAATGATGAAAATGATTTTCAACAAATTAAATATATTCTTAACTATATTTTTAACAAAATTAATTATTAATAAATAAAAAAAATATTATAAAAATCATTTTTTATTTAATTTAACAAAAATAAAAATATAATATATATATATAAATATATATATATATATATATATATATATATATAATATTAAATTATTTTTTTTATTTTTCAAAATTTTTTAACAGGTGTATTTTATTATTTATTTTTACATCCCATAACTTTTTTTGCTATTCTTAATGATGTAAGTGTTTGCTAAAAATATTTCTCATAAGGATTTACATTTATAATCATTAATGTTTTGGAATTACCTCCTAAATAATCCTATAATAAATGTGTTAGTTTTGAATTTCTATAAGGAATATGTTAATCTTTATTCATAAGTGACTAAATAACATCACTTAATGCCGTTAAACTCTTATTGATATGTATAGTTTCAGTTTTTCTATCTCCCTCTACTTGACTTAATTCCAGTCTTTCTGATCCTGCCAAATCTACTAGATTTAGAGTGCCAAAAAGCTTATTTTGGACTAAAATTTTCATTTAAAATATAGTATGACTTCTGGAAGATTATTAATTGCAAATTGTTTCGCTTACTTTTCTATTTTGTAATGCTATTTTAATGATTTGTAGTATTTTTTGTGCACTATTTTCTTTAATTTTAATAGGCAAAAATTAAATTTCTTCTTTTTTTTAGCATTTTTTTTCTTCTATTAAATCTTTATATTCTTCGTTATAAATTTCTATTAAACTAATTTCAATATCTATATTGTTATCTTTTTTCTAAATTTCTAAAATTTAATTAATTGTTTATATTATAGATCTAGGAATTATGCCCTATTATTCAATATTTTCCTCCCTACCGTACATTGTATAAGTTTTACCAGATCCAGTGGGACCATAAGAGAATATACAAACATTATATCCATGTATAGCTGTCGAAATAAAGAAATTTAATTAATCAAAAACATCTTTTTAAGATGAGTTTTAGTCAAATATGTGCATAAAATTAAATTAGTAATCTTTGAGGTTGTTTGAAGACTTCATTTAACTTTATGGTACTTAGAGTTTAAGCGTATTTTAGTTTTATACATTTATCATTTCAAGAGTTTTATCTAAAATTTCATCGTCTAATAAAGGTCTGATTCTACAAAATACACGAATATTTCCTTAGACCTAACATAATAAAAAAATATAATAATATAAAATTAAAAATATTTATAAGATAATATATATAAATTATAAAAAAATAAAATCAAAAAAAAAGAGAAAAAATAAAAAGTTTAAATATAAAAATATAATAAAAAAATTTAAATAAATTGTATAATTAAAAATTATTTCTTGTTCAGGTCTAATAACAGATTATAAAAGAAAAAAAATTAAATTTTTATTTTATAACATTAAATAAAGAAAAAGAAGATATAATTATTAAAAATACAATATATATATATATATATATATATATATTTATATATATATATTATTTTTATTTTTTACACTTAATAATTTTTCGTTATTTAATATTATTTAATTTTTTTAGTTTTCAATAAGTTAATCAAATATGTTTTGTTTTTAATTTTTTTCTTAAATTTAATCATAAATCTATTCTTTTTTTAATAAAAAATTAGCTTTTTTTTTTCAAAATCTTATTCTTATTCTATTAGTTCTTTTTCTTTTATTTTTAATTTATTTAAATTATCTTATATTTTCTTCAGTTTTTTTAAGTTTCTTTAATATTACTTTTTTATTAAACGTTAATTTTATTGTTTTTGTATATTTTAATCTAATATCTGTTAATATTATTTACTATTTTATTATTATTATTCTAGATATTAGTTGAGTATTTAATTTTAGTTTTCATATTAAATAGAAATTTTATTTTGATTTATTTAAAGAGAATCATTTTGATATTTTAACAATTTAATATCTTTATCTAATATTGTCTAGAAAATAGAATACTATTTTATTAATTTTTATATGGTAATATTCTGGTTTTTAAATATTTATTTTTGATTTTACATTTTTTTTTTTTATTATTATTATTTTTTAAATTAGCATAGTATACGCTAAATATTAAAGAATTATATTATATAAATATATTGAATTAAATCACATATATTCTTATTTTTAGACTATATTTTAAAATGTGTTTTTTTAGCGTATTAATAAATATTTTATTAAAATATATATGTATAAAATATATATGTATATATATATATATATTATTTATTTAATATATATATATATATATATATATATATATATATATATTATTTATTTTTAAATAAAATTATATATGCTTTGTTTTATTTAAACTTTCAATTTATTTTAGATTGTAATTTTTGTTTGAATTCTCTGATTAATTTATAGTTTTAATATATAATAAATCAAATATTATTAATCAAAATTGATATCGTTTTCATAAAATTAAATAATTAAAATACACTATTTTTTTATTTTTTTTTTAAAATAAAAATAAAAAACTATTATAACAATAAAATAAAAAACTTTAAAAATTTAAATGGATTAAAAATTAATAAAAAATTAAATAGAAAATATAAAAAAGGGTAAATTATAAATATAAACAAGTTTTATTCTTATTTAAAAATAAAAATAATATTATTATATTTATAAATAAAGGTTCTTGGGATTACTAAGAAGATGAAAAATTAATATTATGGGTTAAAAAAAACGGGCCATCAAATTGGTCTTTATGTGCTGAAACAATAAAATGTCGAACAGGGAAACAATGTAGAGAAAGATGGCATAATAATTTAAATCCAAATGTAAAAAAAGGCAATTGGACTAAAGAAGAGGATGATAATATATTTTAATAATATTTACAATTAGGTTCTTCATGGAGTTATATAGCTAAAAGTTTAAAAGGTTATTTCGAATATATATATATATATATGTATATATATTTATATATATATAGGAAGAACTGAAAATTCAGTAAAAAATAGATTTTATAGCACAGTAAGAAAAATGTTAAGTGATAATGGAAAATAAACTTTTATTACAGATTCTAATTGTTAATAAGTAATAAATATATATTTATGTACCATATTTAGTATTTTATTTATTTAAATTTAAGATTATAGTTTTAAATAATAGTAATTAAGAATTAAATTTAGATAATAATAATAATAAAATGGATAAATATAATAATATTTTAAGTTAAAATGATGGTAATATTAATATATTGATTGAAAAATAATAAAATAGTGAAAAATAAAACGATTTTAAAGAATAATAATATTCTTTAAATGTAAATTAATAAGAATTATTTAAGAACGAGAATTAAAAAATTGAAAAATTTTAAACAAATAACATAATTGAAGAAAAGGAAAATACATAAGAAATAAAAATAACTTAAAATAATATTAATACATATTAAAAAAATTAAGAAAATAGTCCTAAATAGCCCATTTTTAGTAGAAAAGAATAAAATTAAATATAATAACAATAACATATGGATTAATATGTATTATAAGAATAATATAAATAAATAAATTATTCAGATTAAATAATTCTAAATAATTAAAAGCATGATATTAATAGTTTTTAAAATCAAATATAATAAAATAATTAATAATAAACATTAATTAATAATAATATAATATAAAAAAGGAAATATATTAGAAAAAAATAACCCTAAAATCTTAATTTAACACAAAATTAACTTTATTAATTACTATAAAAAAATAATGTATAAATAAAAAATTCAAAATGTCTATAAGATTACTCTATATTTTATTCTAAATATAAATAAAATAAAAAATAATAAAATTAAAAGTAATAATAAGTTATATAAAAAGATAATAAAATAAATAATAATGATAGTATTATTATAAATAAAAATGATATTTAGTTTTAATAATAAAAAAGTTAATAATATTAACATGATAAGGATTCTAATATAAGTGATATTGATTCGAATGATTTTTAAGAAATATAATCTTAATTTATTTAATATTTTTCATAATAAATGAATAAGTTTTTTACTAAAATGATTGATTAAACATAGTTAGTAATAAAAATATTTATAATATGAATTTTTTTATTTTGGTTATTTTATTTTATTTTTAAATAAAAAAAAAGAATTTTTAAATATAGACTAAAAATAAAAATACTAGAAATGATTATTAAAGATAATAATATATACCAAATACAAATTAATAATATATTAAATAAAAAATAAATTCTTAAAATTATTATGATATAAATTAAATAGATATCTAAATAAGCAATTTTTAAAAGTAATATAAATTAAAATTTAATTAAAGAATAATAATTTTATTTATAGTATTAATAATCTTTAAAAAAATGAAATATTTTTTAGCCCACGATAATAATTTTAGGTATAAAATATGATGCATAGCGAATTCTAACAAGAAGGTGATAATCATTTATTAGATAAAAGATTAAATTTTTTAATAAATTAACTTAGTACTTTAGAAAATATGCTATATTCAACAAAATAAGAACTAAGTAAATTAGAAATTTCTATTTAATAATAAATAAAATGAAAATTTTATATATTATTATAAAAAGATAAATTAAGATATAAAATAAAAATAAAAAACAATATTATAATTGTTTTATTTTGTATAAGATTAATAAAAAAATAAATTAAATATTACTAATAAATATATACTTTTTATATATATAATTTTTTATTTTAATATTTACTTTAAATATTTTTTTTTTATATTAATGTAAGAATTTTAGATATATATTCAAATTTTACAATTAATATGATTTTTTTGTTTATAATCTTTATTTTTTATTCCTTTGTTTATATAATTTAATTTATGAATTATATAAGATACATATATCTATATTTTATATTAAAAATATCTGTATTAATTTTATTTTAATATCTTATTTTTATTTAATTATATTTATTTGCATTAATTAAATATATATTATTATTATTTATATTTTTTATTAATATATCTATATATGCATTATTATATTAAATGTATATACGTTTTATATATTTAAATAAACAAACAAAGCTACTTTTATATAAACTTTAAAAAACTTATTTTTATCATTTTTACTATTTTTAACAAGGTAATAAAACTTTTAGTAATTTTTAGAAAGTTTTTTAAGACTATTTTCTTTTGTTTTAAATGTATTTATTTAGGTTGTTTTCTCTTTGTTACAATTTTATATGTAATTTTCAATAAATAATTTTTTAATACTCATATGTTTTTAATTTGTATAAATGTAAATCATCTAAAAGTTAATCTTTTATTTAATTAATAAAAATATTTTTTTTTTTTTTTTTTTTTTTTTTAGAGTTATCCAAATTTTTTTTAAAAATATGTTTTAAATTAAATTTAATTTTTTATAGACTTTTTGAAATAATTAAACTTATTTTTATATATTTTAATCTAAATGCTTTCTTTATTTAATTTTTATTAATTTAAGAACAATATTTAATTCCGATATCTCATTTATTTGATATTTTAATTTTTTTAATATTTATGGAAGATTCTTTATACACTATCTGCAATTTTATTAACTATTAAATATTTTTTGATATAATTTATTAAATATAATCTATCTCTTAATAAATATCTAAAATAACTTTTTTATTAATAATTGATATCTTAATATTTATCAAATAAAAGCTGTAGAGATTATTTTAAAATTATAGACTTAATATTTTTTTTGAGAGTTAATTTTTTATAATTATATTAATTTTTAAGGAATAATTATTAAAATAAATTCTTTTTTTCACCCATATGTGTTATCTTTTATAAGATAATTATACCAAAATTAGTTTTTTATTTATATATATATATATATATATATATTCTTATTTATTATTTGATTATTAGTAAATTTTAATTTATGTAGAAAATATAGAAACTTCAGCAAAAAATAATTTGAATTTTTGTTTATTTATAAAAAATATATTCATAGAAAACTTGTATTATCTATTGTATAATATGCAAAATATCATTATTATAAAAAAAATATATTTAAATTTTGAAAAGTTTTAAAAGGATCCAATTAAAAAATAAAAATACTAATTTTTTAATTTAATTGTAAAATAAATAGTTAGTAATAATAACAAAAACTTATAATGAAATCTGAAAAAAATATACTTTAAGCCTTTTTTTTATGTAAAGACTATAAATTGGAATTATTTAAAATAAAACATTATTGATAATTATTTATTTATATGTCAAATTTAAAAATAATAATATAAAAATAAAAATACTTTTCATATTCGTTTTATACTGCTGAAGAATTACTAGATACACTAAAAGTCATATTAAAATTGAAAAAAAAGATAAACTAAAGATTAATTCCTTAAGTATAATTTGAACAATCAAAAATGTGGTTATTATAATATATTATTATTTACCAAAAATAAAAATAAAAAATTAATATGTTATTTAGATAAATAAAAAAAATTCAAAGTATAATATTTTATTTTATTTAGAAAAGAAAATTTAAAAATTAATTTAAATAAATAAAGATATATTTGGAAGAAGAACAAATAAAATATTAATATTACATAAATAAAACTTAATTAAAAAATTTTAAAAAATACAGAAGAAAAAAAATATATATTAAAATATAATTAACGATTCTATAAATAAATAATTATTTTATTTTTCTAATTTATTTATAATAATATAATAATTATTATTTATATATAAACTTTGTTTTTTAATTGAGTTTTTATAAAAAAATAAAAAAAATATATAAATAAAAAATAATAAAATAAAATTCAATTATATTATATATTTAATTATAACTAAAATAAAAAGATTTTATTATTAATTTATTTAAATATAATATTAATTCATATATTTATAATTATTAATGATAATTATATTATTTTATAAAACAACATATATAAGCATAGAAAATTTTTTTTATATTATTTATTTATTTATTAAAAATTATATATATAAAGTTTAATTAAAATGTTTATAAAAAAAATAAATCTTATTTTGTATTTTTTAAGGAAACATATTATATATATAATATTAAATTATATATAAATATATGTATAAATATATATATATATATATATATACATATATATATTATTTCTTATAAAAATTTAATATATATTATGTAAAATGTTTCATGTATAAAGTAAAAATTATATTTAAAAATAATAGAAGAAAAAAATATATAAATTTATTTATTTTCAAAAATAAAAAATAACTTAAAAATATTAATAAATAAAAATATATAAAAAAAAAATATATGCAAAGTAGTACATATTAACAAAAACATAATAATTTTAGTAGACATGAAGTAGAAGATGCATTAGCAAGAGAATTATAGAGAAGAAAACTATAAAATGAAGCTAAAGAACGAGAAATTTAAAAAATATATGCAGAAAGTGAAGAATTAAAACTTTTAAAAGAAAGAATTAAAACTGCTTAAGTAAATAAAGAAAGAAACAGATAAATAGCTGAGAATTAACTAAGAACATTATAATAATTAGTATATAAAAAAAAAATTAATATAAATAAAAGAGTAACTTTTTTTTTAAAGAAATTAGAAGCGGAGTTAGAAGAAAATATACTAAGAAAATGTGAAGATGAAAAAAGATATGAAGCTGAAAAAGAAAAAATTTTAGCAGAATAAAGACTTTAAGGAAAATATGTAATTTATATATATATATATATTTTATAATATAAATTATTAATAAAAGGTGTTATAATAATAAATGATGGAAAAAAAACTATAAGCAGATGAAGCTTATTAATAATATTTAATTGAAAAAGAATAAGTAAATTAAATAGTTAGAAGTATAATAAATGAGGATAAATAGTATAAATTTTAATATATATAAATATATATTTACATAAATATATTTATTTAGAGCTTTTTTGAATGATAAAGCTAAGAAAAAAGATCTTATTAAGATATGATTGAGGCATTAACTGAAAAAGCCGAAAGAAAAGCTTAAGAAAAGATAAATGAATAAATTGAAAACTAGAAATATAAGAAATTTTATTAATAAAAAGAATAAATGTAATAGGAAATAAAATAAAGAAAACAAGAATTAGAAGCCTAAAAAGAAATTATTTTTCAAAAATTAAAAGCAGAAGAAGAAAGAAGAAGAAGAGAAAAAGAATAAATAGAAGATTTAAGAATGGAATTATATAAAGAAGAATTTGAAGCTTAAGAAAGAAGAAAGTAAAGGGAAGAATATGAAAAAAAAGAAAATACTAAAATGGAATTATAATAAGCCGAAAGAGACCATAAATTAGATAAGGAAAGATAAATTTAAGAAGAAAAAAGAATGGAATAAGAGCTTAGAAAAAAATGATGGAGAAATTTGCTTTAGATGAAAAGTTAGAACAAATTTCAGCTCAAAGAAGAAAAATGAAAGAAATGGAACATAAATAAGAAGTGTTTATTATTTAATTAATTATATTATTTAATTTATTAATAAAAAAAATAATAAAAAAAAAAGGTGGAAAGAATGTGGTAAGAAAAATTATAAATGTATAGATAAGCTAGAGAAAATGAAATTTAAGAATAATAGAAAGCTATAGAAATGAATAGTTATAAAGATGAATTAATAAGGTTGGAAAAAGAAAGATTATTAAGATTATATATGGATGAACTAGCTGGATTTTTACCAAAAGGGTTTCTTTAAACAGAAAACGATGCAAAATTTTTAAAAGATGGAAAAAATACAAAATTTTCATCGAATTTTAAAATTATGTGAAGTTATAGAAAAAAATAATTCTTAAATTTATATAAAAAAAAATTGTTGTTAATCAATATTTTATAAAAATATTAAAAATTTAATGTAAATTTTTTACTAAATAAAAAAAAGAAAAAATTAAAATATAAAATATATAAAAATATATATATATATATATATATATATATTTAATATATATTTTTATTTATATTATTTTATAAAATAATAAATATTAATTTGCATTATTTATTTTATTATTATTTTTTAAACAAATTTAATTTTAATTTATTTTAGTTAACTAAATGCTTTTAATTATATTTAAACATATAAATAATTTAAATAATATTACTTTTATATCTGTTCTTTTATTTATAATATTATTAAATAATTTGCTTTAATTTTTTTTATAAATTGTTCTATTGTTATATATAATTTTTTTTTATTTTAAATATATTAATATTTATTTTTTTTTAGACACAAAATATTAGAAAATTATTATTATTTTTTTTTTAAATATATATAATATTAAATAAAAAAATAAATATTTTTCTTATTTTTTCAGAAAAAAAAAATAATAAAAGTACTAAAAATTTCATTTTTCGTATAAATCAAACATTTATTATATTTTATAAATAAAAAAAAGGATTTTAGAAGGAAACACAATAAGTATAGAAAAGAAATAAGAAGCCAAAATATAAAATAAATAATATAATTTAAATAATAAATTCAATAAAATAAATTAAAAAAATAAAAATAAAATAAAAAATTTATATTCATTCAAGATTATGTAAAAAAAAATATATTCATATTATGTCAGATATTTATCGAATAATAACTTAAAATAAAATAATAATTATAAAAAAAATAATATATTTTTATTATATTATATATATATATATATATATATAAAATAAATGTTTATTTCATATCTAATATTTATTTATAATAAATTCAAGATTCATATAAAACAAAAATGGCAGGAGACATTTATTTTAAATTAATATCAGAAATAGAGAATATATAATATCTATAGAAGCTAATAAATTATAGTTAGTGAATTAAAAAAATTAATAGGATTATAATTGGGTAAAAAAATAGATTTAAAATAAAAAATATAAAAATATTAGGACATAAAGAAGAAATAGGAATATATTATGATTAAAATTAATAATAAGAATATTAAGATGATTAAAAAATAGTTGTAAATAAAAAAGTATACGTTGAGAGAAAATAAAATGATCCTTTAGGCTTAACTGGAAAATATTTATAATGTCAAAAATGTAAAGGACCAAATCCTTAAAAGACAGCTTGTTGCAAAAGATATATATGTAAATAATGTAAAGAAAAGAGTAAAAAGACAGGAAAATGTATTTTTTGTGAGAATAATATTTAATAAATAGAAAGAAATCTTTAATTAAAATACGAAAACTTGAAAAAAATAAAAGAAAATCATAGTTTTCCAAGTAAATAAGAATTCGAATAAATGCTAGATAATGCAAAATTTTATATGATTAAAAGTTGTAATTAAGAAAATATTAATGTCGCTCTATAACATTCTGTTTGGGCTACGACATTTAAAAATTAAGTACCTTTATTTATTTTTTTAATATAATTTATTATATTATATAAATTATATATATATTAATGTATTATATATATCAATATTATTATTATTATTTATATATATATTATTAATTTCTTTTATTTGCTTTTTATTAGAAAATTTTAAATGATGCTTTTCTTAAATTTTAAAATGTTATTTTGATTTTCGGAGTTAGTAAATAAACTCATTTTTAAGGTGTTGCTAGAATGTAGACTATATCAGGTGCTATGAATAATAATAATACAAATAATAATAAATCTTATTGGAAAAATTTAGGTATTATATATAATAAATTTATGATTTAATTTACATTTAAATATATAGGAGAAATAAAATTAGGTGGAGATTTCAAAATTAAATGGTTAAGAGTAGAAGAACTAAGTTTTTCTTAATGTTAAGATTTAGTCAATTAAATAAATAAAGAAAATATTACTAGATAAAGAGATTGTTAAGAAATAGATATTTAAACAGGAATTAATTTATGTATGAAATTCTAATATTAAGAATATAAAAACAATTGTTTTTAAGAAATATAAAACTATAAATAATAATAATAATAATAATAATTATAATAGTAATAATAATAATAGTATTAAAAAATCAAGGAAGAAAAAATAAAAAAATACAGTTAATAAGAATAATAATAGAAAATTTTAGAGAAGGAAATTCAAGACGAAAATTTAGAAATTACATATAGGAAAAATTTAGAAATGGAATAATTTGATGTACTCTAAATTAGCGAGTTTGTTAAAAAATATAATAGGAAAATGTAATTTTAGGAATAGGAATTTTTGGATGTTTTATAATTAGAATTTTAATAGGAAGCAGCTTTATAAGAAAGCGAGAAATAATTTTAACAATTAATTAGTTAGTTTTCAGAAAATAAAGAAAAAGATGAACTATCTAATCCATAATAAATATAAGAATAAGAATAATTATAAATAGAAATAAGTGAAGAATAAAATGATAATATTGAAAAAATTTTAGAAGAAAAAGAAGAAATTGAAGAAAAAACGAAAAGTGATAGTCTTTCGGATATTAGTCATTAAGAAACAGGAGAAAAAAATAAATAAAAGTGAATTGTTATACAAATATAAATAATTAAAATTTATTAGGTTTAAATAATAATAATATATTAAATTAATAATAATAATAATAGTTTAGTTTACAATAAAATTTTAATTTGAATCCATAAATGGCATTTATGTAGCCTAATTATTATTAATATAATCCTATGTTAGTTAATTAATTAAAGTATTTATTTTTGTTTTTTAATATTTTTATTATATTATTTTTATTAATATTAAAAAGTCTTTATTATTCATAAAATAAAGGAATAAATTTATTACATAATTTTAATTCTATGAATAATATGAATATAAATATGATTTAAAATTTTTAATAATAAGATGAGTAGTATTAAAAAAAAATACAGAAAAAGAAAGATAATAGCGATAGTGAAGAATATAAAAAAGAAAGAAAATCAAGAAATAAATCAAGAGAAAATAAAAGGAAAAAAGATGATAAAAAAGATAAATATGAAAGAAAATAATCATCATCTTCTAAATATAAAAAAAGAAAAAGTTAAACTCCTAATAAGAAAAAATAATAAATATAAATAATGAAAATTTAATAAATATATATATATATATATATATAAGTATAAAATAATTTATGATATTTCTATTTTTAAATAAGTTCTTATTTTAATATAATTATAAAAAAAAAATCATTATTTATATAAAGAATCACCTGTTAATCTTAATAAAATATCAGGAGATCTTAAAATTTTAATAAGAAGTTCATAATTTTTTTCTTCTTTAAATAAATCAGTTTCAAGTCTAGCAATATATATACCTTAAAAAATATAAAATTATAAAAAAATAATTAATATTTATATAGTTTATATTTAATACTTTCACATAAATCAAATAAATCTTAAGTATTTGGTAATTCTTCCCATATACATCTCATTGATATTTTATCAAAATATAGTCTTAAAAATCTACCTACAGTTAATACTACAGTCAAATAAATTCCTACTAAACTTAAATTATCACTCATAGCCCTTAAAATAGATGAAAAAGCCATTTCACTCATAGTCATGAAAGATACAGCATCTGATTTTGAATCAAAAGGTACAATATCATCTATTAATTTTTTATTTTTATTTTTTTAAAAAAAACAATTAATTACCAAAATATGGATTTTTATTTCTTATAAAAAACCAATTAAATTATCCTTCGAAATATTTTAAAATAAGCTTACAATCAAGTTCTTACATTACATTAATTTTTTACATTTATTCTTCTTCATCTAAATCGTTTATAAGTTCTTAATTTTTCAAATAATATTTTTCTAGTTAAGACTTATCTATTGGTTCAAAACTTCGTTAAACGGCAGATATTCCGTCTGTTATATAAAGGAAAATCGGGTTAAATTATATAAGGGGGAATTCGTAGTTTTTATTTTAGGGAATTTTTTTAATATTATTATGATCATCGTACATTTCATTGATCAAAACCTTAAATTTCTTTACAAAATCTTTATTCATTTTTACATCTTTTTTGCCTAAAACAACTTCTTTACCTTCCGGTTTTGGTCTTCTGAAATTCCATTGAATTTATAAGAATATAGACACATTTTCGTTTTATAATACTTATTTTAAGTCATTTAGTATTGGCTTATTTATATTAAATGCAGAATCTGATAATGAATCGACTTTAATCACTTACATTTTTTGCTTCCATAAATCTTCAACACCATAGAATGTATTTTGGAAAATATCAAATTAAGGATCGGTCATATCATTTACTTAAACACTTCCTTTTTCAAAAAGTTTAATGTTATATTCTTTTTCTACGTTTCTGACTTGTAATTCGATTAAATAAGTTCCCGAAGTTAAATTATTTAATTCCACTGCCGGATTTAAATTCGAAAACAGGAATATTGGCAAAAGAATGATTATTAAAAGTATTATTAAAAGCAAAAACCCATATTAACATTTTTCCATAAAAGGCCTTTTTTAGCCAAATTAATGTAATTCTTTCCGAGTATTCATTTCTGCTTTTACAGAGTATAAATTTTGGTAAGCATCCTCCATTTTGAACCATTAGAAAAGGTCCAAAGCAGTACAAGTGAAGGTCCAGTCGATTACGGAACGCAATTCATATAAAAAAGGAAGACTTTTATACACTAAAAAGCAGATTCTATATATTAAATCTGTGTTGTTTTGAAAAATAGAGCCTACAGACTATAAAGGGTAACCATATTTAATTTATAAGGAAGAATAAAATAAATATATACATATGAGAATATAACAGCATACAAGGGAAAGGCTTTCATTGAATCTTAAATGAGTTTAATAGGTTAGAATAAAGAATAAGTATATGTGAGTAGATAAGGTAATAAAGAAGTGGAGAAGGAGCTTAAATAAAAGAGAGTTATGACTAAAAAAATCAGAGGAAGATATTTTAAATTGGACTCGGCGAATTTTATATAAAATACGGTCAAAAACAATTATTATTATTATTATTATCATTATTATCACTATTTCACTAGAAAAACGAGATTGTTATGAAATTCCGGAATTTCCAGAAGGAGAAGTCCTTATCATATATGGGTAGAAAATTATAAAATATATAAGTATTATAAAAGAAGATACAAATTAGTGGGCGTAGTAGTTTTTTCCGGGTTTAAGATATTGTTTTTGGTCCTCCTGCTCTTCTTTTTTTATTAAAGGAATGGATTCGAGGGTATATAACTTTTTTAAAAATTTTTTTTCTTCTAATTAATCTTTTTCGAGTTTATCTAAAAGATAAAAGGGGAATAGTCTATAGAAAAATAACATAAAAGAGGAGTATTATGCTTTTTTTTAATTTTATTGTTAATGTTAACCATCTTATTCAATAAAATCTAATAATTATAATTATTATTATTATTATTATTATTATTATTATTATTATTATTATTATTATTATTATAATTATTAAAGTACTATTTATTAGTTGTTTTAAGAATTAAATGTAATGTCTGAAATTCCTGCATATTCGAATTCTACATCTTATCCTTCTTAATTTAATTTAATGAAGTTATTATATTCTTCTTAAGGGTCTCTAAACTAAGGAATAAACATTTAATGTTTATCTAAGTACATATAACTCCACTTGCCCTCAATTTACATAAGACTCCTTTATATAAAAAGCGCCAAAAGTATAAGATAGTCCCACATAATTCCCCAGAAAAAGCCTTGGTTTTAAGGATATGAAGACGGGCCCATATATTTTTTAATTCCAATAAAAAAATCGATTCTTTATCGGACTTATTCTATAGTGACATTATATGCTAGACATTCTGAATCTTTATTAAAGAAAAAAATTGTATATGGGGGAGATCCGCAAAAAACGGGTAGTTAATAAAGGAATTTTAAAGATATAATTAAAATAGTATAATACATCATTATTTTCCAGTAAATTCTTGGAATAAAATAATACTCTAATAGGGCATATAAAAAAAATGATAAAGGGTATATAATAGATATTAGATCAGAGTTCATTATTACATTTAAAATAAATAAAATTAAACATATTATATAGAAATTGTGTTAAAGACTTAGAATTAGTACTTAAGACAGGTTTCGTTACATTTTTAATTATTAAATATAAATTTAGTCTGCTTCTTTTAAGGAAGTCGACAATATGTTTATTATTAAATCTATAATGAAGTCTTTAGCTAGTTTAATTTGCATACTTATATTTTTGGTTTAAGATTTACTATTTGATTTATCATCTCCACTACTTTCTTCATTAGAAGATGATATATATAAAACACTGGATTCATCAGATTTATATATATTTTTTTTTTCTTATTCATGTTTTTCTTAGTCAATTTTTTTTTATTTATTTTAAAGGTATTGTTAATATTCAATTCTCTATAAAATAAATATATGTATATATAAATAATATAGATTATATATATAAATATAAATTTACAAATATATATATATATATAATAATAAATATATATAAAATTATAAATATTTATATTTTTATAATAAAATTATATTTATTTATAAATGTTTATTAATTTGAATTCTACAAATTAATTTATTTGTTAATTTGTATATATGTAACTGTTATGTATTTATATTTTACTTTTATTTCATATAATTAATTTAAAATTTCATGATATTTAGATATTCCTATATATTAATTTTAGAATATTTTTTAAAGATTTTTATTTTCAAGTTCTTTTCTTATTATTAAATATTTTTATTTATTTCATTTTAATCTTAAGATTCATAACAAATTCTTATAACAGCATTTAAATCTAAAGCATTATCTAATAAAAATTAATAAAATAAAAATTAATAAAATATTTAATTAATAATATATATATATATATATATATATATTTATATTTATATATATATATATCAGATTTATATTTATACAAATATTTATATACCTTCTTAATTTTATACTATTTATTCAGCTTATATTGTTTTATTCTCTTTAATTTATTAATTAATAATATCCTCTTTTTGTTCATTTATGTTATTTTATACTAATAATTATTATTCTTATTCTTTTTAAATATCATTATTATTTATTTATGATTATCTACTCCATATTATAATTTTATTTTCTACTCTTTACTAAATAGAATCATATACACTTTTTTAAACTCCTAATTTTTAAAAGTCTCTGATTTTCCTTAAATGAGCCTATGCTACTAATTAAGCAGCATTAATTTTTTGTGCTTCAATTTACCTTTTGAAATAAGGATCTATATAAAATATTGTATATGGATGATTCCAGATATTTTTTTAGATTAGTCCAAAAAAAAAGAATAGTATCATCATAGTTTCCTTTGAAAGATCAAAATTAAATTTCCTACTTTTATTAAAGCCTAAAATATGAGAAAATAAAATATAAAAATCGTTAGTTTCCTCAAAATCTTCTTAAACTGCTTTTTATATATAAAATTATCCTCTATTCTTATTTTGTTCTCTTAGGCATTCCTCTGCGTTTAAATAATATGTATTAGATGGATATTCTACTGGACATTTAAAATATGGGCATTAATATAGGCATAAAATACACATTACGCAAGTGTTGAAATATAGTAAATACTACCAAATATCGTTCTTTCGTTTTTGTAGAAGTTTTGTCTTAAAAAGCATGCAAATACTCACGAAAAGGTAAGTTATGGACACTAAATCGGTATAGTTTGATATGTTATTTAAACATCCGATTATAAAGAATATAATTAAGGCTATTTAATAGAAGTAGCCGAAGAAAAATAAACTTAAGTAGTCTTAGAATCTATTTTTTTAAGTAAAATCATGTTCATCAAGGCATTAAATGTTCTCATGTACTCTCTAAGCTCCCCCTTATTATTTTATTTCACCCAAATATTTATCATAGATGACCATAAGCTGGAAATTAATAACATCCAAAACTAAATGCAGGTTATTTTCTTCCTCTAAAGACAACCAATGTGTCCAATCATTAATACATTTTTAAAAATCACTTAAACCTCCTTTTTCCTAAAAACTGTTTTTACCCTTCTCATTGCAATCAAAACTAATATTTTCCCAAGGAAATGCAATTTTCCATTCTAATGGAAACCAAACTGAAATGACATATTTCCTAGTAATATCAATAATCATACAATAATTAACTATTTTCCACAAAACCTATATAAAAGTTAATATATTGGGATTATATCTTTCTTTAGAATTAATAATATAGGAAAAAATAGCCAAAAAACTAGCCAAAATTATATGAGAAAGTGAAACTGCATTCATTTCGAAATAAGCGGCTATTATAATAATAAATAAACAGAGATCATAGCCGTAATATTTAAACGCTTCATTCATTTTTTTTTCGGACTACTCATATTTCTAATATGGACGCCATCTTAAATATCTTTAATAATCTCTTTATTCTTCTTCTGTTATTAATAGGTTTTCTTATATTTAATTATTCATTTATTCTTATTATTATTATTTATTTTAATCTTTTTTATTTATTTTTTCTTTGGCTTTTTAATAGTTTTAGTAGATTTAATCGAATTTTAATTTATAATGTTAATATGAAGAAGTTTTTAAATCTTCTTCTATTTTTTAGAGTTTTCTTAGAATTATACAGAGTATTTATTGTATTATATATAATATTAAAAATATCCAATATTTAATTGTCTAATATTTAAATAAATATATAAATAAATATATATTATTATAATTATACATTAACAGAATATAAACCAGCCCAATCTTTTTCTTATAAAGTTATTTGATCACCTATTATATGTAATTAGCATAAATATTAAGTAATTAAAAATGAAAATGATAAAATCCATAATGGAATCCATATTTTAGACCAAAACTCGCTTCTATTCCATATAAAAACTATCATTTGTAGAAAGCAGAATATTATTCCTGAAATACTATAATGAAAAATAGATAAAACAAGTCCATAGAACATTATTATTTTAGAAAAATGATTTATAAGGAAACATTTTAGTTATATTTTCTTCTTATAGATATAATATTTTAATGTTCCATGTTAATTTTTGGACATTTTATTTTAGAGGTTTTTATTATGAATATATGTTTCGTTATTTAAATTACAATTAGAGTCTTCTTCGTATATTTTGGCATTTATAAGTCTTCTTTGGGCATTTAAAAACATTAATATAAAACCGTTTCCAAATATTTAAAAAATATTAAAAGATAATGATAAACCTAAGTCTTCTAAATAATTATTTTGGATAATTATATTTTTGAGTTTTTCGTTAAAAAAACTAAATAAACAAATATATCTTATTATTAATATGGAATTGCTTAGAAATACTAAAAAAGGCCAACCTATCATTACTTATTTAAAACCAGCAGATGAACCCAAAAATAGAGTGAGAGATATAAATAATTATAAAAAAATTAAATAAAAAAAACTAAGAATATTTGCAGGGGGTAGCAGTCCAACTATTAATAAATTTAAATAACATATCCAGATACCTAATATAAATATAAATATATAAATATATATATATATATATATATATATATATATTATTTTATTATTTATATTTATTAATTTTACCGTATTTTATATAAAATTAACTTAGAAAATCCATTTTTTTTATAATTTTTTTTTTTTCTTAATATGTCTTTTAATCATCTTCTAAATCAATACATTATTATTTATATTTTTAATATATTTAGGATTTTGATAATACATTAGTTTAATAATAAGATAAAAATAAAACTATTAATACTAATATAATTTATTCAATTAAAAAGTTATTTAAATCTAATTTATCATTAATTCCTTTAAAATTTTTAATTTAAAATATAATATATATTTAATATATATATATATATATATATATATATATATATATATATATATATATATATATACCAAATAATTTCATAGTATCATTTATTTCTACTATAACTTTAGTATTATAAAGTATATTTACAATATATTTAAAAATAATAACAAGATAGGAATAAACAATAACTATTTACATTACAAATTTCCAATATTTTACATTTATAAACACAAAAACAATAAAAGCCAATAAATAAAATGAATGTATAATATCGATTTTTTAAATCGCAACTACAAAAATAATACATATAATAAGTTTTTCTAAATGTACAAAAATACTTAAAAGGAAATCTAAAAAATTATTAATTTTTTTATTTGCTGTTTTCATTTATTTTTATATTTTTTTTTATGCTTTTTTTATAAAATTTAATGTTTTTTTAGTATTTTTTTTTAGTTCTTCGTTTTCTTTATTTTCTTCTTATTCTTCTTCATTATTCTATTTTACCGATTTTTGGGATTCATACATGTCTTTGTCTAATATTATAGGCATTGTAAATTCACTTTTTTGTATATTTATGTCTTCTTCTTATTATATATTTACAATTAATTATTATTAACTTAAAAATTGTTTGTTTTGTCTTTATTTTATTTTTAATAAAATTAAGTAGTATATAGAAAATGTAATAATAATCGAAGTTAATATATATCTCATTCTTTCAAAAAGTCCACGAATACCACTTTTTTCTTCATTTATACTGTGTAAACCTTATTTAAAAATAAATATAATTTATATTTTTTATATATATATATATATAAATAAATTACCAATAATATTAAATATAACTTTTCCTGTAATATATTTAAATAAAAAAGGAATATTAAAAAACTAATTAATAATTAAAAAAATCCATCCATAATTATTTACAAAAATCGCTGATTTAAGTTTAAAATTTTTCTAAAAAATAAATAAAATAAATAAAAAAATATAAATAATAATAATAATTTATATATATATATATAAATATATATATATATATATATATATATATATATATATAAATTTTTTTTTTTATATATATTTTTTTTACTTTTTTTCTATTAATACTACCTATTAATGTAAGAATTATAGGAATAATCATAAAAATACTTTAAACAGTTTAAATCCATAGAAGGCAAATAACAATAAGTATTCCATAATAATTATTATTTATAAAATTAAATAATTTACTTTATTAGTTTTATTAAGCTTATTTTCCCTAAATTAAGTCTATATGATTTTCTTTTATTTTTTATAATAAATCTTATGTATAGATTGCAAACATAAGCAAGAATATTTAAATAATAAAAACTAAAAAATATAAAATAAAGCTTTTGGTAATATATCCGCTTATAAATAAAGTAATTCCTCTATATTAACTATTAAAAATGTTTAATTTCCAAATTATACCAGCATAACATGTTAAAAAAGAAAATATTTTCAAAATATTTAAATATTTTACATTTATTTTAATTTATTATCCCACATCTTAACAGTTATCTTTATCTAGTTTATTCATAAACCAAATTGACATAATCATACAATATATAACACCGAAAATGCCATCACTTATAATTATTAGAAAACCTAATAATATGTATATAACCGTTAACATTTTTTCAGCTGAATCATATTTTTATTATATAGTAACCTAACAATTCTATACTAATGTAGATTTTCTTATAAAAACTCTATATTAGTCATCTTAATTTAAAGAATTATCTAATATGTCCATTCCTCCTTTAAAAAATTACTCTTATATATTTAATTCAAAATAAACGAAAACACCTAAACAAAAAGCTATAAATGCCAATATCAAATTTAAAGAAGTTTGAAATATAATATCTGATGTAGTATTATACTATATACAAATAAAAATATATTTATATATATATATATATTTATATATATATAATTATAAATAAAATATATATATAATAATATAATAATTATTTTTATTTTTTACATCAAAACCTAAATGAATTAAAGAAACATAATATTATTCTTAGTCTTTTGATAGTATATATTCAATTAAAATATAACCATGAAATACCATTAATAAATTGCTAAATGATGTTAAAAAAACTATTACAAATCTTTAATTTTTAAAGTAGATTTCGTTTTTATCATCTAATTTTTATTTAATTATAAATAAATATATTATTTTTATTACCTAAACATAATAAATTATATAAATAAAATAATATTGCTAACCATCATATTGTAGAAAATATACTTACATTTATCCATGTACCTTTATATAAATATAATATATATATAATATATATATATATATATATATATATATATATATATATATATATATCTTTATTTATTTTTTACCTAGTATTAATACAAGGATATATAAATAATTTATAAATCCAACTCCTTTAAAGTTCATTAATATTTTTTTATTTATATTTTCTTTGTATTTTAATAAAAATATTTTTTTTTAATTTATAATTTTATTAATAGTATTTTTTTTCTTGTTTAGATAGTAAAAAAATAATAGAAAAAGGTACATAAAGGTTAATAAGGTAAAAAACGATATTATGTTTTTTTTAAAACGTATTTATTTATGTTTTTAAAGTAAATAAAGAATTATAAAAATGAATTATATATTTTTATATTAATATATTTAAAGATTTATTTATTTTGTGCAAGATTGAAATAAATATTTTATAATATTTTATATTTTTATATATATCAAAAAAAAAAATTGTAATTTTTTTTTTTGTTGCTTTTTTTTAATAATTTTTATAAATATAAAAAAATTACTAATTAAAAATATATAAATAAATGCTTATTTTTATTATTAAATGCAAATAACTTTTTTATAATTATTGCTTTATATATATATATATACATATAAAGAAATAATTATATATATATATATATATATATATATATTTATATATTTATATATTTATATATATTTTATTTTTTTAATTTATTTATTTATATATTTATTTGTTTTTATATTTTCATATTTATATATTCATATATTTATTATATTATAATATTTACTAATTATTTATTATTTGAAATAATATAAATATTCTTTATATGATTTTTTTTAATTTAAAAAAAATAGTTTTTATTAAAGTTTTCTGGTATAAATATTATTATTTATAAATTTATATAAATTAGTCTATATTTTATATCTATAATGCATTGTTTTGTTTAGAAAAAATTATATTTATTTACATTTTTTATTCTTATTTATAAATTTATACTAATCAATAATTTTTTATTATTATATTTCATTCTTTCATCATTTATTGTCTTAAAGCTTATAAAAATAAAAACTTTTATTATATTTTTTTGATTTATTCCTCTGATTCTTTTTCTAAACATTAGATATATTAATTGTTGTCCTTTATTTGTAAACATTTTTAATTCATATTATGTCTAATTTTCTAAATTTAAATAAACATTATTGCAAAAATGATATTACCTATTAGTCGTATTCTATATAATTTTAAATAAAATACTTATATGATTTTCTTTAGTGTTAAATTTTCTTTTTACATTTAATAAATTCGTTTTCATTTTTTAATTTAAAGCATTAATCTATTATTTTTTATAAGTAATTTTTCTATTTTTTATTTTGTTTTATTTATAAATTTTTTAAAAATAAACCTCAAATTCTACTTAATCTTTTAGAAATTATTCGCTTTGTAAAAATTTGTCAAATAAAAATTATGTTTCCATTTGTGTTATTTTTTTTTGTAAAATAAATAAATATCCTTTTTTATTTAAAAAAATAACAAAAAAATAGCAAAATTTAATTAATTGTATTTTATAAAGGAATATAAAATATCTTTAAAATATATATACTTAATATATTAAAATTTTTTATTATAAATAATGAATAATGCTTTATTTAAGAAATATTTATTTTTAAATTCTATATTTTAAATAGGTATTTTTTAATATAAAAAACTACAAAAATTTTTTTTTTTTATGTAATTTTTTATTTTATTCTCATTCGAAATAAATTCTTAATCCCTTTTATTTATTGTTGATATAGTATTTTTGAATAAATAAAAATATATAAAAAAACAATATTGTAAAATAAACATAAACAAATAAACAATTCAGCTATTTTTTTTTTTTTTTATAATTTAATATATTTAGTTTATAAATTAATAAATCTTAAATATTATAGTATAATAAAATATTTTTTTTTTAATGTCTTTCCGTAATTAATAATTTAAAAAAAAAATATTTAATTTATTTAAAATCCAATTATGTTTTTATTGCTTTAAAAGATAAATATAATTTAAATTAAAATCTATTTGAAATATAATTTATTATATTACTTTATATTTTTCTTTCTTTTTGGTTTTAAAGAATTAATAAATATATTTTTAATTTTAATAAAATTTAAAACTTGAGAAATTTTCTAATGTATATCTTAAATTATCATTATTTTTTAAACTAAAAAATAATTTACATATAAATTATTAATGTATATGAAAATTAATTCAAAAAGATATATAATCGATTATAATATTATTATTCTAATATCTTAAAATATAATTATATAGTTTTTTATATATTATTAATTTATTATTATTATTATTTAAGTAATATATTTAAATTAATGTTTTTTTTAATCAAACCTTCTGTAATTTCATTATTTATTTTTTAAACAAAAATGAATTATCTACTATCGTTGTATCTTATTTTTTAATTCGAAGTAAAAATTATGTTATATTTTTTAAAAAAGGGTTAAATAAAATTTTATATATGAAATTCATTATAATATAATGATATTAATATGCTAATTCTTATTATAATTATAATAATTTGTAATTGTCGATTATTGTTTTGTGTGTTTTTTATATTAAAAACAATTAATATCAATATTAAGTAAATAAATTTTTACATTAAGTGTTTACAATAGAAATTTTGATTTTTATAAATGATATAATTAATTGATGATTAAATATAATTTTAGATTTAATAAGTATTTTAAAATAAAAATAAAAAAAATTATATTATTTCAAAATAATTTCATAAATAATATAAATATATAAATAAAAACATAATAATATAATATAATATATATATATATATTTTTTTTTAATTAATAATAATATTAAAAGATAAGAATAATGAAAATGTATTTATTACAAATAAATTATTTCATTAAATGTTAACCATTTAATTATTTATAACCTCTGCCCAATCTTAATTAAAAGCAAAAACTTATTATTACCTTACACATTTAATAGATATATTAACTAATTATGGAATTTTATCCCCAAACTCTAAAATCTCTAAAAATTTTTTAATTTCTTCCTCAAAAGAAATTTATATATCATTCTAATTATCTTTAACTTTAATTCCATAAAAATAAACACAACCTAAAGAATAATCTCCTAATTATTCCTTCAAACATAAATCTATAAATTTCGAAAAAGGATGAATTAAAATTATTTTACTAAGCTTTCCATTTTCAATAATTTTCGTTAATTTTCTTAAATTAATTTCCACATGACCTTTCCATTGGAAATACTCATTTTTATTTTTCGCTAAAATTCTTATTTATAAAAATGCATTATATCTTTTAAAAAATTCGAAAGGTTTAAAAAGATCCTAATAGTCATAATGTGATTAATTTTTTTATATTTCATCTAAAATTCTATATCCGTATTAAAACTGCTCTTATATTACCCTCAAAGTACTCTCAGTGACATTATAAGCACAATTTATACAAGGAAAACAAGGGGTTATAATCATCATATTGCTTATTCCTTTGTTTTCTGGAACCCATTAATTTCCACAAATCATCTGATTATATATATCTTCTTATATATACTCTATTTAAACTGCCATATCATGCCATTTCCATCTTGAATAAAGAAAAAAAAACCTCTCAATTATACCATAAACGAAATAATTGGGGTATAATTAGCATATTTTTGCGACTAAAATGCTCCAAGCTATTCCATTTAAATAGCCTAAAATATTTGAATAAATACATCTATTTTAAGCCCATAATTTTATACACTTTAAGGCTTTTTTAAATGTATCTTTATTTTTAATATTTTAATTAAACCATTCAGCCACTCTATATCCATTTAAAGCTCTAATTGATTTTTCGTCCATTCCTTATAAAATTTATATTGATTTTATATCTAAATCAGATTTAAATTGACTTTGGGATTATTTCGAAAATGAAATATCAAAGGGAATTCCAAAATATCTCATTTTTATTAAAGGGACAGAAGTATGTTATATAGAAAAAATGTCTTCTACCTCTTTTTTTTAAGATAATATATGAAATAAATCACCAAAAAAATGCTTTTTGCATTCTACAAAAGATGGGACAAAACAAACTGCGTCTATATCACTATTTTTTTAATTTACCTATATTTTTTTATTTATATATATATATAAGTTTTTACTTTTAATTTATATGAACCAAATATTAATAAATCACCGTTGTATTTAAAGTCTATTTATTTTTCTTCGGCTACTTAGGATATCCAATTTAATATTATTTCGCGAAGTTTTTGGACTTTTTTATCCTTTTGTTTAATTTCTTCTTCTGTTTCGGAATAGTTATATTCTTTTTCTAGTATGTTGAGTATTTTTTGGGATATTTTTAGGGCTTCAGGAGGTTGGTCTTTTTTATCAATTGGAATGTGGGGGTTTTGTAAGGTTATTAATAATTGTTATGATTAAGAAAGTCTTTCTATGAAATTATTTATATACATACTTTTTTTATTTTTTGTTTTTTTTGTTTTTTTTGTTTAAAGAATTAATATAAATATATTATTAATTTTTGATTTTTTTGTTTTGTTTTTTGGCCCTAAAAATATTGGTTTTTTAATAAGTTTATTACCTTAATTTTTTTATTTTTATTTTTTAATATTTTTTTGTATTTATTAATCCTTTTTTGTTTTTTAGTTTCTTTATAATCAGTGTTTTTTTGTTATTTTTGTTATTTTTGTTATTTTTGTTTTTTTTTGTTTTTTTTTGTTTTTTTTTATTTTTTTTTTATTTTTGTATTGTTTTTTTTTTTTTTTTAATTAATTATTTTATTAATTTTTTTAGTTTACTTGTTTTGTTCTCCCCCATAAATTAATACAAAAAATTAACAAAAGAAAACTAAATTAAATATTATTAATAATAAGCTAAAAGCAATTATTAAAATTAAAAAAAAAAAATATACAAATGTAGGTTTTTTTTTTTTTTAAAAAAAAAAAATTGTAGAATTTTATAATAAATAAAAGAAAAGTACAGACAAATAAAAATATATATATAAAAAGTAAATATAAATTAGTTTTAAAACTTAAAAGAAAAGCTATAATATTCATTAAGTAATATAATTAAAAATATAGGAGATATATTCATTAATAAATTATATATTATTTGCCAAATTCTTATCTTTTAAAATCTATTTAAGAGGTTAAATAATAAATTATCTAAATAAGACTTAATAATTTTATTCACTTATAATTAATTCCAAGAATTCTAATTTATTCATTTTTTAAGAAATTATTTATTCTATACACTTGAATTCTTTATAACTTTCTTTACTTATTTTTGTTTATAAATAATGGGAAAAAGAAATCATTAATTCCTTTATTTTAATTTAAGATTATTGTCGTTTTTTTAACTTGTTCACGATTTTTTTTATTTCTTTTAAAATTTATATCCTTTAATCACTTAAAAGCTTGTATTTTTATTATATTACTATAGATTTCTAAACTATCTATTTCTTTTAAATTTATTCTTTTTCAGTTTAAACAAGTTCTTTATCTTATTGTTTTTATATTATGTAATTTGTATTTTATAAGCTATATTAATTCAATTATCTTAATGATAAAACTGGTCTGTCTATTAATTTTTATTAAATTTATTAATTTAATATCAAAGAATAATTATTATTATCATTATTTGGATTTAATTCGAATTTTCCAATATTATCATTCATGATATTAGATTTTAAAGGTTATATATATAAAGACCTTTAACTTTATTAAGGAAATAAGCTTAAAGAGATAGATAAAGGATTTTCATTTATAAAAGTATTTACTAAATTATTTTAAGGATATAATTAGAATATTTAAGTATTTTACATATTTATTGGAATATAGTGTTTTTTTTTTTTTTTTTTTCAAAAAAAAATAAATATTTTTGTTATATTAGTTTTTTAAAATTTTTGTTCTTAGTATTTTTTTTAAAAAAAAATTTAAAATAATAAAATTATTATTAATTGCAGAATTAAGTACATTTTATAATCAAATACATTTAAAAAAATATATGGTTATATAAAACAATTTTCTTTTATTTATATTTAAAATTTAAATATACGTTTTTAAAATTACATTTTATTAATTTATTGTTAATTATAATAAACATATTTTTAAAAAAGAGAAAAATTAAAAAAATAAATGGGTAATTTAATTATAAAAAAGAATTTGATTATAAAATATATAAAAATATATTATTAAATAGTATGGATTTACGAAAAAAAAAAAAAAAAAATATTAATCGAATAATTATTAAAATAATTTTAATATTATACAATTTTTAATAATTATTTTTAAATATTTTAGATTAAAATAGATTTAATTCTGAAATATATATAATTTAATTTATTTAATTTAAAATATATTAATAAATTCAATATAATTATTTCATAAAAATATTAATATATTTTTATTATTTCTATATTATTTTTTTATTAAATAAAAAATGAAAATTAATATAAATAAATAATAATAATATAAAAATTTTATATATATTTAGAAAAAAGTATTTAAAAAAAAAAATTATTATATATTAGTTTATAAGAAATACATATATTATAAGTTTATTTTTAAATTTAAAATAAAAAAAATTTATAAAAATAAATATAGATATCTTTTAATTCCTTAATATAAATAATTTTTATTTAATATATAAATATATTAGTTAAATATAATTATTAAAATATTAAAAATATAATTTAAATTTTATTTTTTATAAACTAAAAAATAATGAAAAAAAACATATAAATTTAATTGATATATAATACTAAGAAAACTTATATAAATTCATAGATGTATTATATTTTAAATATATAAATATGTATAAATTTTGAAATATATTTAGAATTTATATATTTTTTATAAAAAAAATTATTTTAGATATAATTATATAATTAGAAATGTAAATAATTCTTAAAAAAATGTAAATATATGTTTAAATATCCTTATTATCTATTAAAAATTAATATTATCTAATATATAAATAAAAAAAATTGAAAATAAATATTTTCTAATTATATAAATAAAATAGTTAAATATAATAGAAAATATAATAATTTTAAAAAAGAGATAAATATGTATATTTATATATTTTTAAAATTAAATTTGTATATAATATAAAATTTATTTAATCTTTAACAATATTAAATTAAAAAAAAATATAAATTAATTTATGAATGTAATTTGTATTATATAAAAAAAAATAATATATTTTTATATATATAAAAATATATATATATAAATATATATATATATATATATATATATATATATATAAATTAATTTATTTATTTATTTATTTATTTTTTTAAATTATTTTTTATATTATTAATTTTTTATTTATCATTATTATTTTTATTTTATTTTTATAAATTTTTTTTTTTTTTTTATATATTGTTTATTTTTTTAATTATGCTCAGAAATTTAATCTTATTTTTTCTAATTTATTTATAAAACAAAATTATCAATATTTTTTTATGGCAAATTAAATTATTATTTATAATAAAATTTTACTTTTTTTTTTAAGAAATAAATGAAAATTTTATAAATTTTATTTTAGTTATATCATAATAATAATGCTGAAATTATAATGCATTTTTTTTTCTATAATATTATCTATATTTATAGTGTATTTATAAAATATAACTGTATTATTTTGAAAAGAATTTGAATATTTATTATAATATAGATATTTAATGTAATTATTTTTAGTGACAATTATCTTCAGAACATAATATTAAGCTTTGAAAAAGTATATAAATTAACGAAAAAATTGTAATTTTTGTAATCAAGCATCAAAGTTTTTTAGTAAAAGAATTTTTTAGGAATTTTTTATTATTTTAGTGAAAATTAAATAATTTTAGACCTTAATAATATTTTAATTACAAATTGTTTGTCAGGCAAGTCTCAATCTTTTAAATATATTAAAAAAGGAATTTAATAAATTGCAGTTTTGAAAAGAAAGTTTTAAATAAAAAAAATTATTTAAAAATATAAAAAATAGTTTATATTTATATATTTAAATTTATATTAATTTATATATATTTATATTTATATCTCTTTTTTTATAAATCACATATTATTAAAATTTTTATTTATAATATTTTTACAGATTAATTTTTTTTTTTTTTTTTTAAACAAATATTTAATAAATTAATTAAAAAACTTTAAATTAAAAACATAAAAATGAAAAAGCATTTAATTGTAAAGAAAATAAAAATATTTTTATTTATATATTAAATATTTCAATAATTTTTTATTATTATTTATATATTTAACATAATAAAATATTAAAAAAGGAAAATATAAACTCAGAAATCAGTTAATAATTCCTTACAAGATAAAATTCAAGTTTTTCAGATAGAAAAAGCAACAAAATATAAATGTATTTAAAATAATATCTAAAAAATTCTAAAAAATATATAAAAGGATGTTTTTAAAATAATAAAATATAAATAAATTTCTCTCAAACCAAAATTAAAAATAAGATAAGTTAGAAAAAACACAAGTATAAAAGAGAAAAAAAATCAATTTTTTTTTTTTTTAAAAAAAAAAAAATTAAATAGTTAAAAACTTTAGAATTTAATGATAATACTATTAAATAAGAAAATATTGAAAGGATATATATACCTCCCTCATTATAGTATAAATCAGAAATAATGATTAAAATGAAAAAAAAGTATCCGTAAAAATAATAATAAAAGACAATTTTATTTATATAATAAAATAGTTATATTGGTTATAGAAAATTAACTAAGACGACAAGTGCATGTACTTTAGAAAAAAACGGATTTAAGGGTACTTAAAAATATATAAGTGAATCTGTAAATAAATTAGTGTAAACAAAAGCAAAATTAGGCATATAAAAATAATTAGAATAAAGATAATAATTTGATTTATAATAGAATAATTTAGTGAATGAAATTAATAAAAGTAACGTCTAATTAATATAAAATTAAGAATAAAATACATAGAGCTAAATTTTATTTTGTAATAAAAAAAATTTGGTGTAGAAGAATAATGGGTTTTATTAAATTAATTAAAAGGAAAAATTATTTAGAGATAATTTTATTTTTAAATAAACATAAAATGACAATGAAAAAAAGATATGTTATTTATAGGAAAAATTAATGAATTCGGAAAAATAAAATATGAATTTAATTAAATAATGTGAAGATAAAAATTAATAAATATTAAATTAAAAGGAAGATTATGAGAAATAAATCAATAATTTAGAATAAATTAAAAATAAAGAAATCGAATATATTTAAAATTAATAAAAAAATTAAGAAAATTTGTTTTAAAATAAAGAAAAAGAATTTTAAGAAAAATTAAAGGAATAAGAAATTTTAATAAATTAATAAAAAAATTATATTTAAAAATAAGAAAATGAATTTTAAGAAAAAATATGCTTTTTGAATGAAAAAATATGCCTTTAAGAAAATGAGAACGAAAATATA